GACACAGTTACAGAAAGAATAAGCAGCCGCCTAAAAAGCTCTGTGCGGCAGGTCGCTCAATACAGACTGGGTCGCTAGTGAAATATTAGTGGAGATATGGAGAGGCGGTCTTTTTGTCGTCTCAAATCAGATCAGTTTGACAGGTCTTACAGCCACAGTAATCCAAATCAAATGAAGCGTTTGTTGACGTAGTGTACATCGGACTCCAGCACGCAGCCTTTCATATCTAATGCTACACACTGGCGCCAGGTCAACAGATCGATCAACAATTAAACGAATGCTGCATATCTCATGAATTCTGCAAGACGCCTTTGACCATCCGCGCTATAACGAATGTGACGGGTTGCCACTTCCTGGTCTGGGTATCTGACATTAGCCGTATATAAACCTGCCCATCAAAATGTTCCAGATGTCGACGTCCTGCTGGCTACAGAATGTTATACCTGGGAGCGCATCAAGACATAGTACATCACAGTTATCTGTAATAGCACAACCAGTGGCTGATTGCGAGAACAAATATCCATGACCTCTGGTCAGTGCGAGTGCGTGAATGTTGATAAACGCAGCAGTCAGCAATACTGCAGCTATATCATGACAACCGGTAGCAGTCAGCAATACTGCAGCTATATCATGACAACCGGTAGATAATCAAGAGTGCACAGCAAACCAGTGACTGAAAGCACGAGTAACGATTCGCCTCATCGAGATGCGATGGCCTGTAATCACCGTGCAGGTCTTCCCTTGAAGCCACCCGATTCCCATGGAGTTCAGTTGGCGCTTTGAAGAAATGGCTACAGTAGGCGCCTGCGTGTTTGTTTGGTTGATTGGTTGGTTTGTTGTTTAACGCCACACTCAGCAATAGTCCAACCATATGACGGCGGTCTGTAAATAATCGAGGCTGGACCAGACAATCCAGAGATTAATAACATGAGCATCGATCCACGCAATTGGGATCGATGACATGCATTAACCATGTCAGCGATCCTGACCACCCGATCTTGGTAGCATCTTACGACAAGCATAGTCGCCTTCTACGGCAAGCATGGGTTGCTGAAGACCTATTCCACCCCGGATCTTCACGGGTAGCATGTATGTTTGAAAACCTTTTCAGCCTTGCTATTTACTGTGAGTGAATATACTGCTATGCCAATAGAATAAAGTATGCATGATCATGGCATGTTTAACTCAATATGCACATGTTAATGCCAACAAGGAGTACTGTACTAATTTATATGTTGTGGGTGAATCAGTTGTGTTTTATGCCGCTTTACATATTATATATGACGACGTGTTATCCTGATGCATGTGAAAGGAAATCCTGTATAAAGATGCAGGGCATCAATTTCGTGAAATCCAGGCGCGGTAATATGTGGATATGTCTTACTTAAACGGAAACTGATAAAAATATTAGCACATGCACCAAAGCAATATTATCACGCGTTTAAATAGTGCGCCCGTTCCGTTTCTGGCCGGCGTGTAAACAAGGGACGTGGTTACCTTCATTTCGTCATCAGTGAAACAAATTTTCTATCCCTGAATTTCCCCTGTGTAGCTGAAACATGGTTGACTCCGCAAATCGAAAATTCGGTCACATTTTCAGATCTAGGCAAGAAACATTAGTAGGTTCAATGGTTGCCTTTTTCATTCATGTATTGGGTTTCTCAACTCATTTTACTCATGATCAATTGTTCCTCAACCAATTTTACTTATTCATCAGTGCCATAACTAATTTCACTCCTTCATTTCTTTCCGACTAATTCTTCACTCAATTAAAACGAAGTAAATAATAAAATCACTAACGATGTATAACACTATGACGATATTTATCTAATGGATTACAAGTAACTATTGTAATAACATATATGAACTCCCAAACAAGCCAGGTCAATTCGTATGGATGTCCGCACTATAGTGAAGATTGCTGATTGGTTCGCAACGGGTTACTCGTTATACCGAGGGGTCGCTTCATGGCTTGTAAGCTAATAAACATGCACGCGTTGATCAGCTGGCGACCGCATGGACAGGCAGGGTCAATTTCTGAAAGACCAAACTGGCCACAAAAACAGCCAAGCATCAAGATGACACACCTTAGCCTCTATCTCACATCAAGTATTACTGGAGTGTGGAGTGCGCATGAGTGGCCCCACGCGGGGTAAACTCGCGTACATGTGTTCAGTTTGTCACAGATATATATATATTTCACGGGATATTGATAAATGCCAAATAATACTACTCGGCATGAAGAAATTCAAGGTCGTTTGTAGATATATTCAATACATAAAACAGCTATCCAATATATACCAACAATTTATGACAATAAAGTTGTGTTTAAGTTTGTATAACTTCTTCACATAAAGTACAGGTACACTCGGCATCGTGTGGGGGCACAGTGCAATACATAAACTCAGATTAGGTTTACCTATTAATGTGCCTACATTTTAACTCCGGTCAATGCTTGAAAATATAATTGTCAATTTCATCAATTCAATCAATACACTAACAGATAAAACAACTTCCAGGTGGCGACATCTGGTTCTTATTTCTGGTTATTTTTCACCAACCGCCATTTTTGGCGTGACGGATCTTTCGCTGAAATTATAACAGTGATTGTTAGACATATCCCTAATATTTTGAGTGAACTTGTAAACTCTTCGATTGCCGTTTAACGCGTTTCACTGGGATGGACTTCTGGACTTTGTATAGTGTATCATGCTTTGTATGAATTGTACGTGGGTTGAAAGTTGGTTGAACAGAAAGAATTGCGTAATACTGAACTATTTTGTTGTGGACATTACATAGGAGGTATCTCCACAAAACAGTTGACAGGTCAGTAAAATAGGCAGGAGTCTTTGACCTTGGGAAAATGGACAAACTTGAGGAGTGAGTGAGTTGGGTTTACCACCGCTTTTAACAGTATTCCAGTTATATCACGGCGTTTCAGCTTAATGTGGGAGGAAAGCCCGAAGTGATGCAGATCGCAGACGTTTACAACTCAAGGGCGGTTCCAGCCTTTGTAAAAGTGAGGGGTCCAAGATATCAAAATCGTCTCTGCTTACAACATACTACATTCGGTTTTCAAGGCCACATGAGTCGTCGGGGGATGGCATTCTCCGACATATGCAATGTTTTATGATGAGATCTATGTATTTTGAGGTAGCATATTCATAATACGATTGTTTGTTTCCGTGAACAGTTAAAACGCTATATTTTGACAGTTTACTTAAATTGTAAAAGGCACCACTTCACTACCATGTATGTATGTGTACGTCCCGATTAGATTTGGTTTTGGTTTGTTGTTTAACGCCGCACTCAGCAATATTCCAGCTTTACGAAGGCGGTCTGTAAATAATCGAGTCTGGACTAGACAATCCAGTGATTAGTATCATGAGCATCGATCCAGGAAAGTGGGGTCGATGACATGCATCAACCAAGTCGGGCGGACATATGCAGATCCAGGATGACAAATGTGAAAGCCGAAAACTTATCATTTTGTTTTGTGTTTTCGAACAAACTAATAACAAATAGAGTCAACATCGTTATACCTAACATGTTTGTTTTCCTGGTTTATCAATGACGAGGGCATGTTTGTTTAAACAGTTTTCACTCTGTAGGTAAACAGTAAATACAAACATCACGATCTCCGCGGTACGGGATGCGTTATTTCCTCCTCTGTACTTCCGACATCACATCATTATCACGTGTCTCCTGGTAGTTCTAAGAATACGGTAGAGGACATTTATCTAAAGCAATTTCTGAGTAGACGGAACATGCACTCTGGTTGATATTTTCCTTATATGGAAACTGCTCTCAATCATACCGGAAAATCTATCAATATGTATAAAGGCGATGGATGGTGGTAAAATCCAAAAACGACCGGGTTCGATTCCCACACAGGTAATATATGGTCTGGAGTACGTTCTTGGTCCGTCATAAATACGTACACAATACATTTCTATGGACCGGATCTTGTAAACCCATTTCGATTTTTTCCTCTGTGTGGCTTTGCCTTATTCTTTGGCAAACCTCGACATTTTATTTTTCACATTGCCTCAGTCTGGTCTGTAACATGATGAAGTAGCATGCAAAAACACCAGCTCAAAAGTAACATAGACACTTAGTAAAAACCTGCTCATCCTGACTAACTTTGCCTTGAGAGTGAGTGAATGAGTATGGTTTTACGCCGCTTTTAGCAATATTCCAGCAATATCACGACGGGGGACAACAGAAATGGGTTGTACACATTGTACCCATGTGCGGAATCGAACCCGGGTCTTCGGCGTGACGAGCCAACGCTTTAACCACCTGGCTACCCTACCGCCCTACTTTGTATTGTGTTTGTGATGTATATGAACATTATTTTAAAATTCTGAAATTCATAATCAGTTTTATCATAATTTTAATTACATGGATGTAGGATGGAAGATAAAGTCATTTCTTGAACATCGGTCTATCATTGGCAAATGAATACAGGTCCAAATTGATATTTTTTTCAAACGTCGATTACCACATCGTTGGCGTGACCTTGGGCAGTAGTCATTTATTCAGTGTTGAAACTGTGCCATGTGTACATGATGTAATTTACTGAAACTGCCTGTCGCGAAATCAATCAAACATTATACCTGCTATTGACCAAACACCGGCTTTATTATCATATTGTGATAGCAGCATTGCAACACATGCATGAGACCAGTCACTGGTTATTTACACTGGTTTTCAAGTTACCACAGGGGCTGGTAACAGTGATCATGCACCTTGTTGGTTTGAGTCAATTAAGTTTGATAGTTTTTGAAAAAGATCATCGGGAGGAGGGTGTGTTTGGGGGGTTGTGTTTTGTTTTGATTTGTAATTGGTGAGGAGTGGGGAGAATGAGGAGAGATCACATTTTACATCGACATCTCAGTAACATAGTGTTGATAAACAGTAGACTGTGCGTTGATGCCCTTTGGTTGAGAGCCTCATTCACTTACGACTAGCTCGAAACGATAACATTTGAAACTTACCTTCGCTGTTCCGGGCAGCCCTTTCTCTAGTTCATCTTTTAGAGCAATCACTTCTTCTTTTAGTAAAACCTGATAAATCATGGTAAGGGATTTGCCCCAGTGTAACTCCTCTGGGTTAAAGTTTTCTGTGTGTAAACCGAAAAATCTATGTTGTCGGGGTTCCTCGGCTTGGCGTTTGTAGTACAAACAAAATACCATTCACTATTGGGCAGAAGGCATTTCGTCAGCACACTGATGATATGCACGATCTGTATTCTGCTGTCGGCTGACTAAGTCAGAGAGATCTCGGCAGCCTCCAGTCCGTTGTGTTTATTACAACACATGCCATTCACTGCCGACTGTCACCTTACTACGAGATCATTCAAGGAACTTGGAGCCATCACGTGGACAGGCGAAGTCGTGACCCCGATGTGAATGTCACGAGTGACGTCACAAGGTTAGAGGTCATATCACACGGGGAGGTATCATTGTAGCTGAACGGTGAAGTCTGTGCGCATTGCTTTTTGTCAAGATTCAAGAAAATAATGCAGTATTGGAGGCCTCGTGGCCCAGAGTACAATATATTTATACATAACCTATCGAGGGATCTTACACTACTGATGTACAATGATACTCAATGAAATGAGATGAATACATAATGCATATAAATATATTTTTAATCTGATTTACATAAATTTCTCTTCAGATATACCTTCAATTATTGAATGTGTTGTGGAGGAACTCAGTTCAATTTTTATTATCAGACGAGAAGAATGGTTTATGGTAATATTGTGGAGTGAGTGCATTTCTACTTTCCTATTGATAAGAACAGACATGGTATTTTGTGTCCACGTATATGACGTCCTTTGTATCAGTATTTTTTATGTATTATATATATATCGGCGACAAGACAGTGATTGAAAGGTCAAAGATGTCATTGAAGCGTATTTATAGGAAATGGATAAAGTAAAAACAGGAGAGACACAAAAATAGGATAAATGTGTATGTTGTGTCAATATATATATGTATATATCCTGTTAAGAAACCACCGCTATATATTCATATATCCAGTTTGTTTTTTGGTTTTTTTTGATAAAAAAGGGAGATATGCAAGATTCATCGCAGCTTATAAGGGTACACTTGCACCCTTTACATCATTCTATCACGTAGTAATAGTAATACATAGGTACATATGCATGTAGTTCACAAGCTTAATTGTCAGTGACACCTTGTTTAGATTATACATATTATACTCACAAAGTGAAATTTGTAAGTAATTTAAGACATGCTGAAGTAATACTACGGTTTAATGAAGACATTGTAGACATGTGCAGAATACCGATCTCGGGTGGTGCCCGGTGCTGCCTGGTGCTGTCTCGGTGTTCGAGTGTAGCCATTATATCTTACAAGCGGATCCCGAGGGACAGCCGCGCCTTTTTCTAAACCAGGACCTTTGGGACAGGAAATATCTCAAATTGTACACAACTTGACAATGACATAACATCGCGTTTCAAGTTTCAACTTACGTGACTGTTTGAACGAACTTTAACACGTCGAAGTTGTAGTACTCGTCCCTGGCGAGGCGTCGTGACAGAAGTCAGTCGAGGGGTGGGGGAAATTGCATGCACGTGCTACAAGTAAACATGCATTCGCATCAGAGCACCTTACAATAGCGTTATTATTCGCTCTCATCGCGGTAACTGTTTCGTTTCATTCGTCTCGTTCCTTTTATGCGAATTTGTACGATTATGGTAGGTATAATGATGTATTTATGTGTGTATGTGTGGGGGGGGGGGGGGGGGGTGGATTTTGCAATGTCATTTTGATGTGTTGTTTCCGTATTGCATACGTATAATGAGATGGACGAGGTTGTGTTGTATCTGAAGTGATGGACGATGTTGTGTTGTATCTGTTGTGATGGACGATGTTGTGTTGTATCTGAAGTGATGGACGATGTTGTGTTGTATCTGTTGTGATGGACGATGTTGTGTTGTATCTGTAGTGATGGACGATGTTGTGTTGTATCTTTTGTGATGGACGATGTTGTGTTGTATCTGTTGTGATGGACGATGTTGTGTTGTATCTGTTGTGATGGACGATGTTGTGTTGTATCTGTTGTGATGGACGATGTTGTGTTGTATCTGTAGTGATGGACGAGTTTGCGTTGTATCTATAGAATGGTCGAGGTTGTGTTGTATCTGTTGTGATGGACGAGGTTGGGTTGTATCTGTAGTGATGGACGAGGTTGGGTTGTATCTGTAGTGATGGACGATATTGGGTTGTATCTGTAGTGATGGACGAGGTTGGGTTGTATCTGTAGTGATGGACGAGGTTGGGTTGTATCTGTAGTGATGGACGATATTGTGTTGTATCTGTAGTGATGGACGAGGTTGGGTTGTATCTGTTGTAATGGACGAGGTTGGGTTGTATCTATTGTGATGGACGAGGTTGGGTTGTATCTGTTGTGATGGACGATGCTATAGTTTTTATTAATGTAATACCATGACATGGAGAAACGCAACGAAGCCGAGCACGTGACACGAATAAGTGTTGTACAATAGCGCCCGAGTACAATGTTGACAAGACTTGACATATCCAGGGAACGAGGCCGGTCTGCCTTACACATGTTACGTAAGCCCCTGTTGCGGCGCACATTCAGACAGAGGTAGAATTCTGTCCTGGAGTTCACGACATGTCGTCTCGACAGACATAAATGGTGGGTGTTATATATCGATATGTATATGTTAACGTTTGGTCAGTTTTAAAACTCTACATAACTTTGCCTTATAACTATGATAATAATGATGACCATATGATGGCACAGAAAAATATAGAACAATGGTCGTCATTCTCAAGGAGTATACAGAGTGGTAGGTCGATCAGCGGTTAAAGCAATCGCTCGTCACGCCGAAGACTCGAGTTCGATATCACATAGATGTAGTATCTGATGTCTATTATGTGTGCCCTTATCCCCGCCGAGGTATTGTCTGTTATTCAGACCGTGAAACATATATGTCCAATACAACTCATGCAAGTCTATAATAGTGGGCAAGTCTGGATTACTGCAGTTTCGTGAAGAGAGTCTCTGGGCTACCTTTTACTTTATTTCTCACAATCATGCAACTTTATTTCTGTAAAATATGTCAATTTCAGAGATGTTAGTCTTCACAGAGGTATCTACCTCTAAGCAGAGATAGAAATTAACAGTTTTAGTCCACTAGTCCTTATAATGATAACATATAGCAAAACCAACCCTTTAAAATGGTAAATATCTACTATTCCTTATGATGCCTTAACAATTTGGCAATTTCTAACGCTGCAGCTACGGCTCCAGTCTGTCTTACAGACCCTGATACAAATATATCAAATACAGCCCATGCAAGTCTTTAATATAATGTTTGGCAAGTCTCGATTTCTGCAGTATCAGGAAAATGAAGAGAGTCTCTGGGCTCCTTTTTATTAAATGTTTATTGAGATAATTTAACAACTATTTTTTTTCCTGTACAATATGTTCATTTCAGAGACTAGATGTTAGTCTACTACGGACCCAATGAAACTGGGTATTACTACAGACTGGGGCAATGTAGATGTAACACTATTTCTATGGAAACAACGCGACAGTACTCGAGTTCCTGGTATCGACTCTTCACCATATTGATCTACCCATCTATTCCTGTCTTCCCCATAAACCCCCAAACTAAACACTTGATATAGACATAGCAGTTGAATCGTTATTTGTAATTCTTTCTGAAAGCTTCCATTTGATGAAATGATATTGAAACATACACAAAATCCTTCGCGAATATTCTAGCGTGTGGGTGTAGCGCTTTCCCAAAATGACTGCTCCCCGAAAAAAAACTGAGGTAATGTATGCATGCCAACCCCACGTGATCAAACTCAACACAGCTGACCTGTATAAGCCAAGCGGGGGTATCTTCAGCAAACCTTACCAGGGGACGTAACTAATGTATGGAAGGAGTAGTATATACAGGCGATTGCTCATGTGCGTGGTTAGTGGGCATTGGTGTTCGTCCGTCCGTTTAGCAATGTCATAGTCTCAATTTACATTGTTCAAACATCCCAGATATCGAGCAATGCAAGTTGTTGTGGACCTACTTTCTTGTTAATTGCGGTTAATTAACCCTTTTAATTATAAACGTAGTAATTATAAAACATAGAAGGGTATTTGGGTTTCAGACCTGCGATTTGTTTTTTCAGAGACCATATCGGTATATGATCTGCTTTTTTAATGTTTAGGGGCTGAAATATAATAAATAAAATAAACTGGTGCACAATCATATTATTTTTAAATAAATAAAAATATCGAGCTGTATTCTTTTGATACTTGTACCGAAGAAAAGGCACATTATTTTCTCTGCTACAATGTGAGGACGATGTGGGGGAAAAAATCAGTAAAACGTACAGGAGTACGATTGTGTGTCTTCTGCTTAGCCTGCTCCTGTCAGTCGTTGCGGCTCAGTGACCACACACGCAAGAGGCTGTGGATTCGGTGTTAATGTGAGATGTGAGACTTATTAGGTGGGAAACGAAACCCGCGTTATTCGGGACATTCGGGCCAGCTGTGACTGGACGGAAGTAATGCCCGAAGCGGCCTTAATCCGAACTGTATGTGTCCCCTACTTCATCGCCATCCTTTCCTCATGGTATACTTAATGTCACAATTATGAATAAAGGTTCCAAAAGTGTGATTTACAATTTGTTAATTGTTTATACTGTAAGTCGTTTAATATAAGTTGTGAAATACCACTCTTTGTCGAACTGAGATGCGTGCACAGACGGTTCACGTGATACTCACGTGACGCGTTAAATTCCCGTCGCTCAACTTTTGACCCAAATATCGATGGATGATCCAAGCCATGGTTTGCAGCACGATATTCTGAGTTTGAACATTGCAAGCATGGCACCCAAATTGATGGCAAGTGTTGCGGTCTTCCTTGAATCAGTCGGCTGTGGGTGTATCAGCGTGTAATTTGATGTGCGGTGTTCGATTTACAGGTTGAACATGCAAAAAGGCAGTTTGTTAAATTTATTTGCATATTGTTTCTGACCCTGACCTTTATGTGTCGCCAAAGTTGTAAAATTGCTAACGAAGCCACTTGCTGAACAAAGCTGAAATTAAATAGGTGTTAAGGCGTCAATTAATTATTTAATTTTAAACTGCAAAAAATGACGGAGTTAAATGTAATTTCAACCGATTTTTCAATCGTTTCTGCATTTATCATTATCACAAATACTTTATCGTGCGCATTTTTATTGTACGACCCTAGTGTGACCTTCAAACTTTACATACCATTAGAAATGAACCGTGATATTGACATCTCCGAAGCCACCGGGTTAATAGAGCTTAATGTTGTATCGCACGAATCCAGCAATAATATCTGGTCCTGTTATTGTATTATCTTATGATATTGGCGGGCCTGTGCTGTAATGAATGTGATGCTAGTCATGAACATAAACAAGAATCACATGACTATATCGCTCCCTTGAAAATTTCTGTCCCCTCACGAGGGGAAATCAGCAGGTTTTGACCCTGGCATATCTTGGTTGTTGTTTTGGTTTCGTGAAACATTAGTGACATATATATGGTATAGATCTGTGGTGGGTGAGCCATCATGATTTGGGGGGCTTCAGTCCATTGCCTGCGACACTAAGGTGCACCTATTAATAGAATTGAAATAGACATAACTGTACAACGCGGACTGCTGAGCATCATACACAATCAATTAACAAGTTAAAGTTTGTTTGTTGTTGACGTCGCACAATCCAGTAATTGATATCATGAGTATCGATCCACGATTGGGATACAATGACATGCCTCAACCAAGTCAGCGACCTGACCACCCGATCCCGTTAATAGCCTCTTACGGCGATCATAATCGCCTCTAATATACAAGCATGGGTTGCTAAAGAGCTATTCTAACCCGGATCTTCGCGGGTCAGACATAACTGAGTATAAAGCAGTAATGAACATTCTTATACCATATAGGACCGCTGTATGCAACCTATGGAGAGCCTGCACCATCATATGCCACAATTAAACAGCAGGCGAATTACACTTCATGGGTTAGAGAAGAACACAAAGACGCTGGGGAAACGTAAACAATCCTACATGTACATATGTCAAAGGTTTGTGCCCGATGGGTTCCTCGAATGTTATCGGATGAAATGAAAGTTATGCGGGCAACCACCTCTAATGCCCTGTTAACAAGATATATAATCGCAACCCAGCTTTAAAAAAATCATTTTTGGTTGGTGACGGATGATGGGAGCTGGATCCATCACTGGGATGCCGAGACAGAACAAACATCATTGGCTTGAAAACACTTCGGCTCCCCCACAGTCAAGAAGTTTGAAACCTCCAGATCCACTCCGTAAGTTAGGTCCACCTTCTTTCAACTTCGATTATGCAGCACGGGCAACAACTATGACTGATGAAGATAATGCCAGCTTATTGAAACGATTGCGCGAGTCCATCCAAGAGAACAGTCGCGGCAAACGTCGATTTGGGGGGTCTCCTCCATCAGAACAGTGCTCCATCTCACATATGTTGCAATGTTGTTTGTTTGTTGTTTAACGCCGCACTCAGCAATATTCCAGCTATATGACGACAATCTGTAAATACTGGAGCCTGGACGGGAATGTGTATGGATACGAGTTACTGCCCACTCCATCTTACTCCCAAGATATGGCCCCTAGTAAACGTCCACCTGTGTTCAAATTTGAAAATATAAACACTTAGGTGGTAATAAATATAACGAGGACCAAGAATTGGTGGCTGCTTTTGGAGGGCTGATTGACAGACGATGATTCAACATGGAACAAAACGGAAATATGACCCGGGATAGAGGTTGAACAAATGTAATAGACTGTAAGGGACTACCTTGAAAAATATGAAGCTCATGTATATCACTCCCCTGAGGATACCACTATCGTGACTATACAACTCCACTGTCCATACCACTCTTGTGATTAATTATTTCCCCCGTCTATACATCTCTCCTGACTGTTATACCACTTGGCTGGTATAGTCTATTGTCCAATACAGTCTGCACAACTCTAAGTAAGACTCAGGTGAGGTGAAGTGAAATGGGGTTTAACGTCATGTCCAAGATGGTTGTACTTATATAGCATGTCCATGTACGTATGGTCGTGTGCGTGGCTGCTTGTCCGGACTGATGTCGAGTTTATAGTGCTAGCCCACTGAAATACCATGTTGCAGTTCAACATGAAGACCCCACTCAGACACAGTATAATGACTCTGAGCCAACCAGTCCTTGTTTTAGCCCCTTAATGCCGAGTGACAGGAAGGGTAACAACAAGTACCATCCTTTAAAGTCTTTTGGCATGATGCAGCCAGGGATCAAAATCCGAACCTTCCGCTTTCCGGGGGGTCATCATTTTGAAGAGTAGAATGATTATCTGCTAAATTGACTTTGCCCTCATGTCAGGCTACTCGCTGTATCACCAGTTGAGATGCAGTTCGTCATCCTCATCACTGTCTCTCAGTACATGTAGGCCACAGAGTAAACTACATTCTCAGATCCTTATTTGATAAAGGAATCTTAAATACAATTATCAATATGTAATTTTATGTAATGTCCATCTGTTATCTCTTACAAGTATGTTGTTCACTCTTGCGCTACAGTTCAGTAGAGTTATTTCCTCAGCAACGAGAGGAGTTGTGACAAGCTAATTAATATACCTACAATACTGCTCAGTGCCACGTTACACAAACAAAATAATCAAATATTTGCACAAGATTATGTTTTCTGCGTAAAACTTCAAATTAGTTGACACGAGCCCTATCAGATGTGGTAAAATTCATCCAGTGGCCAAATGGTTGTGTTTTAAACTTAAAACACTGTCTGCCAAATCCTTGTCATATGTATATTATCAGCTGTTGTGTCTTTTTCAGTAAATGGGAGGATTACGGAGGTTCACGGATTTGAATCTTCACTTATGTTAATCGATCTCCACCACAAAGTTGAGATAGATGTGATTAGCCTAGATCTGCAGATTTCCTCAGTCAACAAGAGATATTTGAGGTCTTTAAGAGTTGGTTTTCCTCGGCCTGAACTGACTGTAAAACACACTCATGGCCGATCCCTTACCATGATGAAGCATAAATTCTCATGAACATGTTTACTTATCTTGTCCCAAACTTCGGAGAGCATGACATGCAGTTTTCACTTGAATCCAGGTAGGTTTGGCCAATACTAAGTGATAAACATTTTGTAGTGGCCAATACTAAGTGATAAACATTTTGTAGTGGCCAATACTAAGTGATACACATTTCGTAGTGGACAATACTAAGTGATAAACATTTTGTAGTTGTTTGGTAAGTACTGGTTAGGCTGAAGCAGCAGACCAGTCAGGTGAAGATCTCCTATAAATGTGTTTTTGTGGTGGCTACGGCCTTTTTTAGCATTTTATTTAGATATGTTTATAACACCAGGCAGATATCTGACAAGCAATAATTAAGTTTAAATACGGACCCAACTGTGGACGCTATATACACATACATGTGTTGTTCATTAAATGGCTATAGAATGCAGAAATGTTGTACAATGGCAGAGACAGACAGAAAGTCTGTTTAGTGAAGAAAATACATGTGAAAAAAAACATTCAGTAAATCCCACAATAACATTATCATGTAACAACAGCCAAGTGTCTACTATTGGCACTGCACATACATGGAAAGACCCGGCCACACCACAATCATGTTCATTTCAGTGACATAATGTATTCCTACTGGACACACAAAGTTTGAGTGATTCTCCAGTACTACCCAGTACAGTATTCTCCAGGACAGTGGCAGGATTGCAAGTAAGCCATGGTGTTCCGATCACTATAGTTATTCAACCTAACATTATATAGTCAACATAACATTCAGCAGATATCAGCATGAGTTGATTCTAACCATGCATTATGTGAGAGAGAATGGAGACAGACAGCAATATTTACCAACACATCACCAAGTGTGGGTGACCAGTAAGGGGAATATTAAACCAAGTACTGAAACAAACCATACTGGACAACAAAACACATATTCCCAAGAAATGCTATTTTATTCCTGCTGAGTAAGGGGACTATTTGTCTGTTGCAAATCTGAACATAACAGATACAAAAATGTATTCAAAGACAAAAATAACTGTGATCACATTGATATATTGATAATTTTAATGATGATATGGAATGTATGACTTTGCAGAAAGAAATCAGTGTACAAAACACGAGCTCTGCTCAAGACAGACCTGGGTGGGTTGATGCCATTTTCATGGGTATTTAGTTTAAAAGGAAAGACACACCTAAAAATATCTTTCCCTTTGAAATGTGTGTACATTTATACGGGGGGACCAACATTTATCATACATTTTACATCACATCAGTGTTGCAATTTCAAATATATTAAATTCATTTCAATTTCTATTTAAAAAAATAAAAATCATTTGAGAGCCTATGGTCCGTCACTTTGGTTCATTTAAATACTTTCATGAGTTACGTGTTTCTAAAACATTGGAATGTTATGAAAGAGAAATTGAGACCTACTTTGGCTTTTGAGGAAATAGAATAATAAGAAAACATTCATTATGTTTCAGTCAACACTTTCCATATACTGTGTGGCTCACCTGTACTGGTGGGTGTAATAAAGGACATGGAAAGTATACTGACTATAAATACATTACTGAATTATGTACAAATGGTGTAAATAAAACTAATAAATGAGAAAAAGAAAGGTGTCGTCCATTTTTGATACATATTACCAAAGGATAGAGGAAAACATCCACAGGCCATGTAATGGACAACAATATCATCATGAAAATGTGTACCATGTGAGCCATAGTGGAACATTCACAATGAGCCACGACAGAAGCCTAAATGTGGGAATAACAATATAAAATATATATACTATCAGTTCATGTATATAGTTATTCTTATAATTTTTTACCCGTGTCATATTGCATAAATAACAATGTCATAACAAACATGAGCATAACTTAATTGCATATATTTGGCTGCAATGATGGTATGTATAGGTAAAAATATTTCAGTGTAAAACATCACAATTGTATTTCTCTGCTGTTCAAAAGACATGAAAATGAAACCAATAACTGTTAGGACTACAATCATAACTATGCAGAGGACAACCTACTAACTGAGGAGGCCAGACTATTAGGTAGTGACAGGATGGCACTTCTAGTGATGTATGGCTGTGTGGAGCTGGGCTGTGAGGCCCTGTACATGGCTGTGTGGAGCTGGGAGTGAGGCCCTGTACATGGCTGTGTGGAGCTGGGCTGTGAAGCCCTGTACATGGCTGTGTGGTGCTGGGCTGTGAGGCCCTGTACATGGCTGTGTGGAGCTGTGAGTGAGGCCCTGTACATGGCTGTGTGGAGCTGGGCTGTGAGGCCCTGTACATGGCTGTGTGGAGCTGGGAGTGAGGCCCTGTACATGGCTGTGTGGAGCTGGGCTGTGAAGCCCTGTACATGGATGTGTGGAGCTGGGCTGTGAAGCCTTGTACATGGCTGTGTGGAATTGGGCTGTGAAGCCCTGTACATGGCTGTGTGGAATTGGGCTGTGAAGCCCTGTACATGGCTGTGTGGAGCTTGGCTGTGAGGCCCTGTACATGGCTGTGTGGAGCTGGGCTGTGAGGCCCTGTACATGGCTGTGTGGAACTGGGCTGTGAAGCCCTGTACATGGCTGTGTGGAGCTTGGCTGTGAGGCCCTGTTCATGGCTGTGTGGAACTGGGCTGTGAGGCCCTGTACATGGCCGTGTGGAACTGGGAGTGAGGCCCTGTACATGGCTGTGTGGAGCTGGGAGTGAGGCCCTGTACATGGCTGTGTGGAGCTGGGCTGTGAAGCCCTGTACATGGCTGTGTGGAACTGGGCTGTGAAGCCTTGTACATGGCTGTGTGGAACTGGGAGTGAGGCCCTATACATGGCTGTGTGGAACTGGGAGTGAGGCCCTATACATGGCTGTGTGGAACTGGGCTGTGAAGCCCTGTACATGGCTGTTTGGAACTGGGCTGTGAGGCCCTGGACATGGCTGTGTGGAGCTGGGCTGTGAGGCCCTGTACATGGCTGTGTGGAACTGGGAGTGAGGCCCTGTACATGGCTGTGTGGAACTGGGCTGTGAAGCCCTGTACATGGCTGTGTGGAACTGGGCTGTGAAGCCCTGTACATGGCTGTGTGGAGCTGGGCTGTGAGGCCCTGTACACAGCTGTGTGGAATTGGGCTTTGAGGCCCTGTACATGGCTGTGTGGAGCTGGGCTGTGAGGCCCTGTACATGGCTGTGTGGTGCTGGGCTGTGAGGCCCTGTGCATGGCTGTGTGGAACTGGGCTGTGAGGCCCTAGCTGTACATGGCTGTGTGGAGCTGTGAGTGAGGCCCTGTACATGGCTGTGTGGAGCTTGGCTGTGAGGCCCTGTACATGGCTGTGTGGAGCTGTGAGTGAGGCCCTGTACATGGCTGTGTGAAGCTGTGAGTGAGGCCCTGTACATGGCTGTGTGGAACTGGGCTGTGAGGCCCTGTACATGGATGTGTGGAGCTGGGCTGGTCTGTGTATGTTAGAGTATGGTACACGGTTGTGAGAAGGACTCCCTGGTCTGTGTATGTTAGAGTATGGTACAGGGTTGTGAGGTGGACTTCCTGGTCTGTGTATGTTAGAGTATGGTACAGGGTTGTAAGGTGGACTCCCTGGTCTGTGTATGTTAGCGTATGGTACAGGGTTGTGAGGTGGACTTCCTGGTCTGTGTATGTTAGAGTATGGTACAGGGTTGTGAGGTGGACTTCCTGGTCTGTGTATGTTAGAGTATGGTACAGGGTTGTGAGGTGGACTACCTGGTCTGTTTTTGTTAGAGTATGGTACACGGTTGTGAGGTGGACTACCTGGTCTGTGTATGTTAGAGTATGGTACACGGTTGTGAGGTGGACTCCTTGATCTGTGTATGTTAGAGTATGGTACATGGTTGTGAGGTGGACTCCCTGGTCTGTGTATGTTAGAGTATGGTACACAGTTGTGAGGTGGACTCCCTGGTCTGTGTATGTTAGAGTATGGTACAGGGTTGTGAGGTGGACTTCCTGGTCTGTGTATGTTAGAGTATGGTACATGGTTGTGAGGTGGACTCCCTGGTCTGTGTATGTTAGAGTATGGTACATGGTTGTGAGGTGGACTCCCTGGTCTGTGTATGTTAGAACATGGTACATGGTTGTGAGGTTGACTCTTTGGTCTGTGTATGTTAGAGTATGGTACATGGTTGTGAGGTGGACTCCCTGGTCTGTGTATGTTAGAACATGGTACATGGTTGTGAGGTTGACTCTTTGGTCTGTGTATGTTAGAGTATGGTACACGGTTGTGAGGTGGACTCCCTGGTCTGTGTATGTTAGAGTATGGTACAGGGTTGTGAGGTGGACTCCCTGGTCTGTGTATGTTAGAACATGGTACATGGTTGTGAGGTGGATTCTTTGGTCTGTGTATGTTAGAGTATGGTACAGGGTTGTGAGGTGGACTCCCTGGTCTGTGTATGTTAGAACATGGTACACGGTTGTGAGGTGGATTCTTTGGTCTGTGTATGTTAGAGTATGGTACAGGGTTGTGAGGTGGACTCCCTGGTCTGTGTATGTTAGAACATGGTACACGGTTGTGAGGTGGATTCTTTGGTCTGTGTATGTTAGAGTATGGTACATGGTTGTGAGGTGGACTCCCTGGTCTGTGTATGTTAGAGTATTGTATAGGGTTGTGAGGTTGACTTCCTGGTGTGTGTATGTTAGAACATGGCACAGGGTTGTAAGGTGGACTCCCTGGTCTGTGTATGTTAGAGTATGGTACATGGTTGTGAGGTGGACTCCCTGGTCTGTGTTTGTTAGAGTATGGTACACGGTTGTGAGGTGGATTCTTTGGTCGTGTATGTTAGAGTATGGTACACGGTTGTGAGGTCGACTCTTTGGTCTGTGTATGTTAGAGTATGGTACATGGTTGTGAGGTGGACTACCTGGTCTGTGTATGTTAGAGTATGGTACACGGTTGTGAGGTGGACTCTTTGGTCTGTGTATGTTAGAGTATGGTACATGGTTGTGAGGTGGACTCTTTGGTCTGTGTATGTTAGAGTATGGTACACAGTTGTGAGGTGGACTACCTGGTCTGTGTATGTTAGAGTATGGTACAGGGTTGTGAGGTGGACTACCTGGTCTGTGTATGTTAGAGTATGGTACACGGTTGTGAGGTGGATTCTTTGGTCTGTGTATGTTAGAGTATGGTACAGGGTTGTGAGGTGGACTCTTTGGTCTGTGTATGTTAGAGTATGGTACATGGTTGTGAGGTGGATTCTTTGGTCTGTGTATGTTAGAGTATGGTACATGGTTGTAAGGTGGACTACCTGGTCTGTGTATGTTAGAGTATGGTACAGGGTTGTGAGGTGGACTCCCTGGTCTGTGTATGTTAGAGTATTGTACACGGTTGTGAGGTGGACTCTTTGGTCTGTGTATGTTAGAGTATGGTACAGGGTTGTGAGGTGGACTCCCTGGTCTGTGTATGTTACAACATGGTACATGGTTGTGAGGTGGACTCCCTGGTCTGTGTATGTTAGAGTATGGTACACGGTTGTGAGGTGGACTCCCTGGTCTGTGTATGTTAGAGTATGGTACATGGTTGTGAGGTGGACTCCCTGGTCTGTGTATGTTAGAGTATGGTACAGGGTTGTGAGGTTGACTTCCTGGTCTGTGTATGTTAGAACATGGTACACGGTTGTGAGGTGGACTCCCTGGTCTGTGTATGTAAGAGTATGGTACACGGTTGTGAGGTGGACTCCCTGGTCTGTGTATGTTAGAGTATGGTACATGGTTGTGAGGTGGACTCCCTGGTCTGTGTATGTTAGAGTATGGTACATGGTTGTGAGGTGGACTCCCTGGTCTGTGTATGTTAGAGTATTGTACAGGGTTGTGAGGTGGACTCCCTGGTCTGTGTATGTTAGAGTATGGTACACGGTTGTGAGGTGGACTCTTTGGTCTGTGTATGTTAGAGTATGGCACATGCTGCTGAAGTTTCCTTCATGACTCCTTGACTTGAGAAAGCAAGCGCCAGGGCTTGTGCTTTCTTCACAGACTCTGGGACAGTGTGGACATAGGTTCCCTCCAGCATCTGAGTCAGCCTCTTATTGGGCTTCAACACTGCCACACTTGCCACATTCTCAGGAGCATAGGCAATGGCTGACAAGTCTGAAAAAACTGCCATAGCATTGACCTGGCAATGGGCATGGTAGGAGCTGATTGATACTTTCTTCTCAAAGTCCCACACCACAATGGTCTTGTCTTGACTGGTGGTAACCAGAAACTGACCACCATGTGAAAACTCCATACACACGATGAAGGACTGATGTCTGGTCAGCTTGCATCCCAAACTGCCATCAGACAACATCCAGACATAGATGGAGCGGTAGCCAGACGTGAGAAGATTCTTGCTGTCTGGGGAGAAGGTCATATTGGTGATGGACGATCTCTGACTCATCCTGTACATGTAGCGATTCGTTTCAGCATCCATGACCCGTATAGAGCCATCACCAGAACACGCTACAGCAAGGCAGTCATCTGGCGTGAAGCCCGCTCCGCAGCACGCGCTCATCATGGTGTCCGGCTGCCCTACCATAGAGTCAGTTTCATTTTCCTCTAGATTGACATTAAAGATGATTGGGTAGTCGAACATGGTCATGATGAACTGGAAAAGAAGGCAAAGACATTTATAGGTAACTGAAAGTGTCTGTGATAGTAGCGATTCTATAGAACAGGAGAAGAATGTTTGTTTGTACAAAACTTATACCCAAGTGTTTTGGTACACCACTATCTATGCAACCTGAACACTCCCCACCAACACACATATCATCTAAAAACACACAGAGGTAGCCCAGTGTTTTAAAGGATGTCATTTTCTGTGCAGATTTGTGTCCTTTTGCCAAGATTTGCTAATGATGGGTTTGAATGTCAGATGTGTGCTGATCGAAGTGTCGGCACCAAGGCTGTACTTAGGGTTTCAAGCTGTAAACGTTTACGACCTGCATCACTTCAGGTTTTCCTCACACATTAAGCTGACACGCCATGACATAGCTGAAGTACCTTTCAACTCGGTCTTCATGGCTCATTCACACTGATATAAGGTGAGGTGGCTACCAAGTAAAGGTGAAACGATACATCGGTGAACAGGTGCATTGTGAGTTTTCATGTGACGATAGGATACAAGAAATGTTTTATTCTGTATCGATACAAGACGATACACTTGCTGAAATACATTACTTACTACTTGTTCAATGACCATCCAGTGTTGTTTCCATGCTTCCATGTGATTTGACGTAATTATGGGAATTGCAATACATATCGTATCATGACCCAGTCTTGTGATACGTATAATATCAGGATACTGCCCTAGGCCTCACCATCTCCCACACAGTGTCTGCAACAGTGCTGCCAGAAGATGGTGTGACTACCAAGTATTTCATGTCATCACTGCCCTAGGCCTCACCATCTCCAACACAATGTCTGCAACAGTGCTACCAGAAGATGGTGAGACTACCAAGTATTTCAGGTCATCACTGCCCTAGGCCTCACCATCTCCACACCAACACCACAGTGTCTGCAACAGTGCTGCCAGAAGATGGTGAGACTACCAAGTATTTCAGGTCATCACTGCCCTAGGCCTCACCATCTCCACACCAACACCACAGTGTCCGCAACAGTGCTGCCAGAAGATGGCGTGACTACCAAGTATTTCAGGTCATCACTGCCCTAGGCCTCACCATCTCCACACCAACACCACAGTGTCTGCAACAGTGCTGCCAGAAGATGGCGTGACAACCAAGTATTTCAGGTCATCACTGCCCTAGGCCTCACCATCTCCACACCAACACAGTGTCTGCAAAAGTGCTGCCAGAAGATGGTGTGACAACCAAGTATTTCAGGTCATCACTGCCCTAGGCCTCACCATCTCCACACCAACACAGTGTCTGCAAAAGTGCTGCCAGAAGATAGCGTGACTACCAAGTATTTCAGGTCATCACTGCCCTAGGCCTCACCATCCCCAACACAGTGTCTGCAACAGTGCTGCCAGAAGATGGTGAGACTACCAAGTATTTCAGGTCATCACTGCCCTAGGCCTCACCATCTCCACACCAACACAGTGTCTGCAACAGTGCTGCAAGAAGATGGGGTGACTACCAAGTATTTCAGGTCATCACTGCGCTAGGCCTCACCATCTCCACACCAACACCACAGTGTCTGCAACAGTGCTGCCAGAAGATGGCGTGACTACCAAGTATTTCAGGTCATCACTGCCCTAGGCCTCACCATCTCAACACCAACACCACAGTGTCTGCAACAGTGCTGCCAGAAGATGGCATGACTACCAAGTATTTCAGGTCATCACTGCCCTAGGCCTCACCATCCCCAACACAGTGTCTGCAACAGTGCTGCCAGAAGATGGTGAGACTACCAAGTATTTCAGGTCATCACTGCCCTAGGCCTCACCATCCCCAACACAGTGTCTGCAACAGTGCTGCCAGAAGATGGCGTGACTACCAAGTATTTCAGGTCATCACTGCCCTAGGCCTCACCATCTCCACACCAACACAGTGTCTGCAACAGTGCTGCAAGAAGATGGCGTGACTACCAAGTATTTCAGGTCATCACTGCCCTAGGCCTCACCATCTCCACACCAACACAGTGTCTGCAACAGTGCTGCCAGAAGATGGTGTGACTACCAAGTATTTCAGGTCATCACTGCCCTAGGCCTCACCATCTCCACACCAACACAGTGTCTGCAACAGTGCTGCCAGAAGATGGTGTGACTACCAAGTATTTCAGGTCATCACTGCCCTAGGCCTCACCATCTCCACACCAACACCACAGTGTCTGCAACAGTGCTGCCAGAAGTTGTTTGACTACCAAGTATTTCAGGTCATCACTGCCCTAGGCCTCACCATCCCCAACACAGTGTCTGCAACAGTGCTGCCAGAAGATGGTGAGACTACCAAGTATTTCAGGTCATCACTGCCCTAGGCCTCACCATCTCCAACACAGTGTCTGCAACAGTGCTGCCAGAAGATGGTTTGACTACCAAGTGACTTACCCTTGTTCCTGTGCTATTCATGGCGGTCTCATAGAAGGAGTACAGATAGGTCACATCCCGTATGACTTCACCTGAACACACAACAGTCAAATATTACATCATATCAAATATCATGGAAGAACTGTCTCTTTGATTGCCTTTAACATTAACCTTCAAGGGCAAGTAAACTGAACATAGCAACCCAATCACGAATGCTTGACCCAAAATGCATTTAGCAATCAGAAATAGTGTAAAACAGACAATAATATATGGCAAAAATCTGCCACTGGTGGATTCCCTTAGCTCAGGTTAAAATGGGTTCCTGGTTCTTGATGTGCTGTGCAATTTGGCGCCCAGTGTGCCTGCTTCCGCCTCAGATTTTTTAATCGTATTACTGCCTTTTTCTGTTGTTTATCCGTTTGACTACCATGTCCACAACTTATGTCAACTTCTGCCTTTTCAGTAACAACCTTGATGATGCCTTCAGTTGTCTTCTCAAACAGGCATCCATTGTGGGGAATAGGACCAAGGTCAGCAGGTGGTGTGTGGTAACCAAACAGAATGTCAGTCATAAAAGCAGGTTACAGATTGTTAATGTTATATTAACAGGCTATACTCACTGACTATTCAAATGATGCAGGGGACTTGATGTACAATCTACTCACTCACTATTCATAAGATGCAGGGGACTTGATGTACAATCTATCCACTCACTATTCATTGATGCAGGGGACTTGATGTACAATCTACTCACTCACTATTCATATGATGCAGGGGACTTGATGTACAATCTATCCACTCACTATTCATTGATGCAGGGGACATGATGTACAATCTACTCACTCACTATTCATATGATGCAGGGGACTTGATGTACAATCTACTCACTCACTATTCATATGATGCAGGGTACTTGATGTACAATCTACTCACTCACTATTCATATGATGCAGGGTACTTGATGTACAATCTATCCATTCACTATTCATTGATGCAGGGGACTTGATGTACAATCTACTCACTCACTATTCATATGATGCAGGGTACTTGATGTACAATCTACTCACTCACTATTCATTGATGCAGGGGACTTGATGTACAATCTACTCACTCACTATTCATATGATGCAGGGTACTTGATGTACAATCTATCCACTCACTATTCATTGATGCAGGGGACTTGATGTACAATCTATCCACTCACTATTCATTGATGCAGGGGACTTGATGTACAATCTACTCACTCACTATTCATATGATGCAGGGGACTTGATGTACAATCTACTCACTCACTATTCATATGATGCAGGGGACTTGATGTACAATCTACTCACTCACTATTCATATGATGCAGGGTACTTGATGTACAATCTATCCACTCACTATTCATTGATGCAGGGGACTTGATGTACAATCTACTCACTCACTATTCATATGATGCAGGGTACTTGATGTACAATCTATCCACTCACTATTCATTGATGCAGGGGACTTGATGTACAATCTACTCACTCACTATTCATTGATGCAGGGTACTTGATGTACAATCTATCCACTCACTATTCATTGATGCAGGGGACTTGATGTACAATCTACTCACTCACTATTCATATGATGCAGGGGACTTGATGTACAATCTACTCACTCACTATTCATATGATGCAGGGTACTTGATGTACAATCTACTCACTGACTATTCATATGATGCAGGGGACTTGATGTACAATCTACTCACTGACTATTCATATGAGAAAGTTACCATTGTCCAGATTCCAGATCCTGCCTGTGGCCTCCATGCCTGATGTTCCAGCAATGAGGATGTTGCCCCCCTCTGCCAGACAGTCCACCTCGTGACTCACATGCTGCAGGTCATACACCAACTCCACTGGAAAAATGATGCATTACGTGACTTACTGAACCTCTTTGTCTTTGTTCATGCATTAAGGTTATGTGTGTATTTCAATATTTTCAGAACTTGGTCCGCGTACACATTGACATTCTTATTAGCTACCAAATACATGAAATGTACATGAATTGAACAAATACAGCCATGGGTTTAGATCCGAGTTCTACTGGGACTACTTTCCTTCTCTGCTTGTGGGTTCCCCATCTGCCACCTACATCACACTGCCACCTACATCACACTGCCACCTACATCACCCTGCCACCTACATCACACTGCCACCTACATCACACTGCCACCTACTGATACAACTGCTGAAAGCTGCATCCAACCCTGACTTACTTATATACACTTTGCTGAATATATGTTTTGTTGCAGTTTGTCTTACATGTCTGGACATCCAGGACTAGGACTTTCTTCTTCCTGGGAACAGCGAGGTGTCGTCCACTACTGGTCAGGCACATCAGTCTCCGAGGTGTCCTCATCGACTCCGCCTCCAGCACCACGTCGGTACTGCCTGTCTCCATGTCTCGCTTCAGGAGACATCCGTGCTTTGTACACATGAACAGTTGCTTGTCATCCCTGGTAACACAGTGAGACGGGATTCAGAGAGCAGGCAATATACATAGAGCTGGAACTTGTGAAGAAAGAAATTGATCTTGTTTTGTTTGTGCATATCTCTGACTATTCCCACATACTGTTCTGATTTCAGTGACCTTCTCTGGAACCTCTGATGTTAGGACACACATGTTTTTAACTGACTTTACGGATCGATCGACTGTACACTTTCTTGAAATGGAATGTTTTCTTCACAATTTGTTCCCTTTTTTCTATCCTGCCGATAAGCTGAGAGCATATTGCACCCACTAAACAAGGACCCACGGAAGTGGACATTTTAAACATGGGAGTCAAACTAAGGTTACTGGTTGTTACTAAACATTTATAGGATTCCTAGATGCACAAAACTGTTCTCGTTTGATTTGTCAGGTTTGCATTCCTTAAAGCAACAGCGGTGTAGCAGTCTCTCCTCCCACAGTCTATTTGTATACCCGCCAACCTGTAGTGGAGCAGAAAACAAAACAAAATCAAATTGAATTTCCTTGTTTTCCCCTTTTACTTTCACACCTGCTGACAGGTATTTTTCTATAAAATCTCTAGTAGACAAAAGTGTGGCCTTAGCACAGTAACATCACAACTACAGGGAAAAAGTGAGCTCTGCCTGCTTCTGTGAGTTTACAGATCATGCTACAGCAGATTCCATGATCCCATAATCATAGTTTTCTGGCATACCCAAGGGATGCAATTCTGCACAGCGAATTGCGGCGCCTTAGACGCCTGGGCCACCCATCTCCCCCATGTGACATTGTATCTGATGATGGTTAAATCTCCTGCATGATAATTACATTGATAACAGTGTCTACATAGAGAAAGGTTGTTCAACATTATCTGTCTGCGAACTTCAGCAGGAATACACCCATCTCCCTCACAGTGATCTGTCAAACCTCACTTTGAGAATTTCAATGTTGAGCTCTGTCCAACATCTTGAATATCTAAAGACATTTTCTTTTCCTCATCTGTTTTTGTGGCCTCTTTATGAGAAAGTTGCTCTCTTGACACTTTCAAAAGACGAGGTAGGTCCCAAAGCTTGATAGTGTTATCAGCAGATGCTGAAAACATCAGTGTCTCATCCGATGAAACAAGGTATTGCAGAATAGCCTGACTGTGGTCCGTGATTGACCGCATAAGAACTGGCTCGGATAGGGGTGCTTTTCGCTTTCCTAACAAGACCAACTTGATTACTGCACTGCCATAGCTAGCTATTAGGGCCCATAACTCTTCGTCTCCAAACATTTTCAAATCAATATATGGTCCATTTGTACAATTGAGTTGGGATGTCAACTCTCCAGTCCTGAGGTTAAACAATTTGGCTTGTTTATCGGTATCTCCGTTGGTGATTCCTGTGGATGAGGACCCCCCTAGGAGGAACTCTTCCCTTGAATCAAGGACACACAGTTCCAAGCTATATTCCTTATATCCTTCCAACTTGAACAGGAGTTCCCCGGAAGGGATTTTGTTCACAAACAGATGATGACCTTCCTTGTACCCGAAGCCTCGGTGAATAAATTGGTCGTCTTTGGTGACAAAGGTCATACGACCATAATCAACATCTCCAGTTTGGAAACTAAATGGATCTTCAGTTGGCCCAACATCTGCAGTCATCTCCCCAGACTGACAGTCATAGATATGGGCAGTTTTTGCAGATAGGGTAACTAGGTGTTTTTCATCATGAGAAAACTGAACGTAGCTCGGTGTGCTTTCAAGCTCATGTTTGATATCAATGCCTCGTCCTTTTTTTTTGAACATTCCAATCTTGATTAGTTTTTTTTCATCTGAAATTTAGAACAGTAATGTTAAGGTAATCCAGTGTTTATAGCTTGATAAAAATACAAGTATTAAACCAAGCAACTAATTATATTGTGACCATCTACTTGGTGACATACCATGGGACCAGGCAACTAATTATATTGTGACCATCTACTTGGTGACGTACCATGGGACAAGTTAACTAATTATAATGTGACCATCTACTTGGAGACATACCATGGGATCAGGCAAATTATTATATTGTGACCATCTACTTGGTGACATACCATGGGACCAGGCAAATTATTATATTGTGACCATCTACTTGGTGACATACCATGGGATCAGGCAACTTATTATATTGTGACCATCTACTTGGTGACGTACCATGGGACCAGGCAAATTATTATATTGTGACCATCTACTTGGTGACATACCATGGGACAAGTTAACTAATAATAATGTGACCATCCACTTGGTGACATACCGTCAGACCAGGCAACTAATCTTCCCGAGCTGGACACACAAGCATTGCCAGGTTTGCCTCCCAGGTGGTAGGGGGCAGCAAGGGAACCATCACACACGTCAAAGTAGCTGGTGTAACTATATTTGCTGCTGTTGTGGAAGGATTCAACCAGAAGCAACCTGCAGATAAACAGTAAAAGGATTCAATATGGTTCCCGTATTTTGTTCAAACCACTATATTGGATGGTGTCTTCATTCATACATGAAAGTCTTTGTTTAACTTCAACAGTAAAATTGTCTGGTTCTGTAGAACTGACATCCATTTGTGAAAGAACGTTTGAAGACAGGATGATATTTTCTGTTTTCTTATTTTGATGGTCAGTTTGCCAAGTTGTAAGAAGCAAATAATGAATACAAGAATGTTGACCCGGTTCATTTCTCCCCTAAAAAACTCACTTTTCTGCAGCCTTGAACTGAACAGATCTGACCTTCCTGTTGAGGTCTTCCACAACCATGCAGGACATATTGTCATCCAGGTCATACACTCTCAGACAGTCGTTGCCATCACTTGGTTGCTGGTCTGTCACATACAGTTTATGCTTGGATTCCTGCAGGACCATGCAGCTCCCAAACATACGGTCGTTGCCTGCCAAACACCCATCAAGAAACCGTAAGCGAGCAGTTGGAGACCATTTGCAGAACAAACAACCCTCACAAGAGTTGACTTAACCAAGCCCCAACAATCACGGGAGAAAAGGTCATCTTCATATTTCTTTTTGTCTGAATACTTCTAATTACATGACATGTTACATTTCTGGATAAAAATTACTAATTACCAGGTCTTTGAATGGCATTTAGAAGTGATACACATAAGGAAGAGAATATATGGATGTCAAATTCTTTATTATGAGGAACACAACGTTCCATTACCTATTTCTTATCTATGATAACTTAAGTACTGGCTTCCATACCTTCAGCGCTGTAAAAAATTACTGTAAAGTGTTGGCTATTGTTTATCACCTATCAGTGCCAATCATCTGTAGACTTCCCTTGGTAGTTTCAACCTTTTGTGTTTTCCGCTTTTTGTTATCTTATTAATTTTGTTGTCCTTGCATATACATATATATATGGTCTCTGCCTCATGGCATTCATTCACCTGATGAAGGAGTAAGCATATACTCCGAAACGTTTTGTTCCTCATAACAAAGAAGTTCACATCCATATATTCTTTTCCTTACTAATTACTAGTTACTATTTTTTTCTGTTCTAGATTCTGCATAAGTTTAGACATGTTGATTGGGCAGTCACGTAGTTTAACTGACAGGTGGTAATTCAGTAACCAAGTCATCATTATTCGTTTGTAATGTAACATGAACACGGCCACACTACACTGATTGTTTCCTGAGTTCAGAGTACCCGAAAATAGGACGTCCTTTAAGAATATTGGTTCATTAGATCAAAATTGCCATCTAAAAGTATTAAAACATGTTATAAGTATAATTGAACTGCACTGAAATGTAAATGGAAAGCGTCCACGGAACTTGTTTATCTGTCAAAGTGTATGGAAGTGATCAGTGTTAATGTTTGCTTGTAACTGCACTAATCTTAATCACGACCTTCAAAAACATTACGTCATGTCTACAAATACAGAGACCGTATCGGTATATGGTCTCTGACAAATACTACAATACATATTGAACACAGACCAAGTTTTTTTCTGACGATCAGCGTTTCATTCGACACCTGCCAACAAGCACGAACAATAATTCGCAGGAAGAAAATCGATAACGTGCATCACGTGACATACACGTATACACAGCTGCTAGGCTGCAAGACTAAGGAAATATGGAAATGTAGTAAAAAATTCATTCATGAGTTGGTCACGTTTTCAAACTGTACCAAACTGTCGACCTGTCGATTGATTTGTAAGCACTGAAATAGCACATATATACCAGCTAATCAGTTGTTAATCTGTGTAAGGGAATACACTTGACATTTGAGTCGGAGCAAAGAAGCAATAATCACCTTGATACATTCAATTTCTTAAAGTCGGGAAGGAAAAACAATAATTACGTCTATTTTATGCGACATTCTCAGTTGTTCTAATGTACATCTACTTTCTACAAAGAATACATTATTCAAACAATATTAAAACAGAGTTATCTCCCCTTATCGAGTACTCGAGTCCTTCATAACGGACTCGAGTCCCACTAAAACCGACCCGGCCCCGAGTACTCGAGTACTCGTTGAAGCCCTAGTTCAGACAGCTGCAATCCGACAGACACCAAACCAGTGAACCAATTACTACTGGATTCTGATACTGTTAAGTTAGGGAACTCTGCACAGCAGATTGCAACATCACATATATGGCCCCAAACAAACTTTGAAACCCAGGAATACAATACTGGCAACTTGTGGGGTCTTTTTGATGACTTGACTTGGGGCATGACTAAATGTTTTCTGTTGCAGGAAGCCGTTTCACAGCCAGGCAGGTACAGCATGGACACTGTATGGATTTGAGTGTGGACCAGTAATCAATGGTTGACAGCATGAGCAACACTCCATGCCATGAAGGTACAATGACACACAGTCAGCCAGGTCAATCATTGTAACCACACAACTCTCTCTGTAGGAGACTTTATCACTAATTTAAGCATGGTACTGGGGACATAACTCTCCTGGAACACGTTTGTGGGGAATTATATGTGGAGTTAAATGCTAGTATTTGACACACCTTTGGTTCAATATGACATATTACTTTTGATATGCAACAGAAGTCACAATATTCATAATCGTGTGTCAAAGATCAATGTAAATCAATAACAATGTATAAAGAAGACAAAAGGTGAGCAGGGCTCACTACAGTCTCAATTAAATCAGGTCTAAGTTAGCACTTCTGCTAAACAAAGATCTGAGGATCTGAGGATACCCAGTATGGATCACATCAGACCGACCTTTCACAAACTGTGACCAACAAATGGAGTGACTGACAAGAAAGTCAGCATTCTTGATTAAAAAATTAAAACTGAACCAAAGAACATTCTGGAATGGCTAACAGATGGCAAATATTGTATGGATTCAGTCATAAACCATGTAACTGTCGTTCGGAATAACCTATGTTAAATTTTTCAATTTTGCATGATTAGGAAACACAATCCGACAGTCACTTTCCTGATCTGGTAAGCGACGATCTAATTGGTCGAATGAAAGGTTGTTCTGACATGACCCGTTATGGGATGTCCTCAGATCTTTGTTTAGTGGTACAACAAAGATCTTATTATAATAAGATTTGACAGCTGAAGAAAAATTTTAATATTGGAGATAGAGTGATGCCTTAACTTTTGAGCCGGTTTCTCTTAAAAAGCACAACAATATAACATAGGCATGATTAAAAGATGCACATGCATGATCAGCAAGCTTTGCTGGATACAGTACACTCGACATGAAAAAAGCAACATTTTCCAAGAAAATCCACATATCGAAATCAAACTTTTCATGGCATCTCTCCTATTGATATAGAAACTGTCCCTAAATCTGAAAAGAATTCATGCAGTCGTGTTCATGTTATAGGTCACACAGAAAGTTTTCCTTGAAAGGACAGAAGGATGGAAAGAAGGACCACCAGAAGGATGGATGGAATTGCTTGGTATAACTATATACCCCCTCCCTTTATGTCGGGGGCATAAAAAAAACATTCACAACTCAGATGATTAATACACAGGTATGCAAGTGTGTCAAAAATGAACAAAACATTCTACAGGTTCCCCGAGATGTTGTCTTACCAAGGATGTTGATGTCCACATTGATGGAGCTGAGGAGGCAGCCCCCGGGGCTCGGCATGGTCTTCCCCTGGGGTAGGAGGTGAGGGTGGTTCCCTGTGCTCAGCCAGGAGTGGGCTGCCTGGACTAAGCCTGTGATGTGTGGGGACCCGCGGTACTGGGGGCCCAGCTGGGACACAATCTGAGAAGGCAACATGAAGAATACAGCATGACCTCATACACTACTCTCAATACATGTACTGGTCCTCAATACACTACACTCAATACATACACCACCCTCAATACATACAATACACTCAATACATGTACTGGTCCTAAATACATACACTACACTCAATACATGTACTGGTCCTCAATACATACACTACACTCAATACATACACTATACTCAATACATACACTACACTCAATACATGTACTGGTCCTCAATACACTACACTCAATACATACACCACCCTCAATACATACACTACACTCAATACATGTACTGGTCCTCAATACACTACACTCAATACATACACTACACTCAATACATGTACTGGTCCTCAATACATACACTATACTCAATACATACACTATACTCAATACATACACTACACTCAATACATGTACTGGTCCTCAATACACTACACTCAATACATACACCACCCTCAATACATACACTACACTCAATACATGTACTGGTCCTCAATACATACACTACACTCAATACATACACTATACTCAATACATACACTACACTCAATACATGTACTGGTCCTCAATACACTACACTCAATACATACACCACCCTCAATACATACACTACACTCAATATAGTACTGGTCCTCAATACATACACTACACTCAATACATACACCACCCTCAATACATACACTACACTCAATACATGTACTGGTCCTCAATACATACACTACACTCAATACATACACTATACTCAATACATACACTACACTCAATACATTTACTGGTCCTCAATACACTACACTCAATACATACACCACCCTCAATACATACACTACACTCAATACATGTACTGGTCCTCAATACACTACACTCAATACATACACTACACTCAATACATGTACTGGTCCTCAATACATACACTACACTCAATACATACACTATACTCAATACATACACTACACTCAATACATGTACTGGTCCTCAATACACTACACTCAATACATACACCACCCTCAATACATACACTACACTCAATACATGTACTGGTCCTCAATACACTACACTCAATACATACACCACCCTCAATACATACACTACACTCAATACATGTACTGGTCCTCAATACACTACACTCAATACATACACTATACTCAATACATACACTACACTCAATACATGTACTGGTCCTCAATACACTACACTCAATACATACACTATACTCAATACATACACTACACTCAATACATGTACTGGTCCTCAATACACTACACTCAATACATACACCACCCTCAATACTTACACTACACTCAATACATACACTACACTCAATACATGCACTACACTCAATACATGAACTACACTCACTACACACACTACACTCCTTTTGGGTAAAATTTGGTTACATTGTACATTTTATCAACATCCTTAAAGAGGCAGTACATAATGCTGATATCTCATATAAGAAATAAACAACTTGTGGTCGTTAGTTTATCATACAGTCTGACAAGATCAAAAGAAGTACAAGAAGGTGATACAGATTTAAAAGCCAATGCAATGATCAGCTATGCATATATACACAGACCTGTGTTGCCAAGTTAGATGCACTTCTCCGGATAAAGTCACTGCCAAGGATGAGGACATCATTGACAAACTTGATGTCATCGTAAAGGGCAACATTGTCAATGTCTCCCGTGGAGTCCAGACTTGCCATGGCCTGCTTCATGTCATTGAGGACATCAGTGAGTGACATGGCCTGACACATGCCATAAAGCCAGCTGAAGTTACAGGCAACAGTGCTGTGGAATGTGGCAAGGTCGCCACACTTGACCAGGTGGTAGGGCAGCTCCTGCAGTTTCCTCACATTGTAGATGTTTTCATACTCTAGGGGCTGGGCTGGAACTTGTCGCATGGAATGAGGGTACCAGCCTTTCTTGTTTTTATAAAGTTCTAAAGGCTTCTCCAAATCACTCCATTTCCCTAAGAAATACTCTGCCAGTGCAGCATGGAACGTCTGCTGTAAAGATGCAGGTAAATATCTCTGAGCTGCAACTTCTGAGAACTGGCGATGGTACCAGTTCACTACCACCTTGTTGCCAGACTGACGCTCTGTCAAGTACTCAGAAATGTCACTGCGAATCCGTTTCCATAGCAACGGTGGCAGACGTATTATGTTTGGGTCGGGAGGGAGGTGATAGAGATATGTATCCTGCAGAACATCATCATCCAGAGACAGCAAGTCCTCCATCTCCGTGTCTCCCAGCCCTTGACGGGCAGCACACAGGTACCCTTGGGAGAATGCAGGGTCACACTTCAGCACATACAATTTTGACATTGCCGAAATTAGGGTACAATAAAATATGTTATTATCGATCAAATTCAAAATTTTATCATTGTTGGATCTTATCATCATTGATGAAGTACCATCATTCAAAAGAGAAGAAAATATAAACCCATAACATAAACTTATACATCAGTATATATGATCTTGTTGTAAATGCACTATATACATGCAGGATACTTGAAAATGTCTAATAGTTTACAACTCACCGAACGCTTTGCTGGCAATTACAAAGCCATGTGATCGCTCCATCTTGTCAAACAGTTTATTGATGGCTGCCCTCACTGTGTTTCCAACCTGAATGTCCGATAAGGGAGTGAAGGATTTCCAGGTGAGAGCTTCATCAACAATCAACTTCAGGAACAGGGGCTGGGGACATTTGGCAAAGTGTTCCATTAGGAAGTTTTTCTGAAGTCTTGTCAAGCAACGGCCTTTTCTGCTACACAGGCCCGACACCATCTTTCCCCCAGCTTCTTCTGAGAAGACTGAGAGCTGAACATACTGTTCTGTAAATGGAAGGTGCTGCTGGATGTTCTCAAGGCAGTTGTTGACACATGGCATCATGGACACCAAGATGTGGACATCTGGTGGGGTCTTTGTGGGCAGCCAGTTGAAGGTGTGAGCATGATCCGAGGGCAGTAGCTGATCCACAGAGTCAAAGATGATGACAAGTGGTTTGTTGGAAGAGTTGATCTTCCACAGAAGAGCATTGAAGTAGGAGAGGAGATACTGGAAGTCTGTGTTTAGATCTATACCAGAGCCTTTGGGGACATTGTAGATGTTCCAGATTTGCCTACAGATGCTGACAAGAACCTCTCGTATTGAGCTTGACATAGGAGATGTTCCAAGGTACCGTACAATCAAAACTGATTTAGGAATCCAGGAACTAGAACTTTTAGCAATTTGTGCCATGAGCGCCGTCTTTCCACTTCCTGATTTCCCATGGATTATCACTGGTCTCTTGAATGACCTCATAACAGGAAGCTGAATTTGTTCAAGCTGAGGGTTCTTTGAAGGGTCAGAATCATAGTCATCAAAGGTATCACCCAAGTGGTATTTAACTCCCATGGAACCAAGAAAATCCTTCATTTCCTGTGACTGTTTAATATTACCATCTTCCACCTCCTCCTCCTCAGCCTCCTCCTCCTCAGCCTCCTCAGCCTCCTCCTCCTCCTCAGCCTCCTCCTCCTCCTCATACCCATCAACAGATGAAGGCTCATCTTCATCCGTGTCCTTGAATATGTTTACAACCTTGTCCAGTTTGTCCTGAATGTCTTTTAGCTCCTCTTCTCTACCAAAGAATATTTCACTCTTCTTGACACTGAAATGAAGATGATGGAGAACCTCAGAGTAGAGGCCGTCATCGGCATGTGATGGCTGTAGGTCAAGGCTGGCATCAATCATCTCCTCCATACTGCTCTGGAAGGTGGCACAGAGAGTCTGTAGGTAGGCCAGATGTCTGGGGTCCTGGGGGTCGACACACTTGTCAGTCCACTCGATATTATACTGGTGGATCTGACTTGAGGCCAAGGCATCAGGTATCTTCTTTAGGGTCAACTTCTCACGCCGATCCTTCACCTTCATGTCAACTTTGCCCTCATTATCTACGTCAGTGAACCTCCCTGTGAAAGAAACATGCTGAATATTTTGTCACTGCCATGATCATGGTGTGATGAATTTCTGTGTCCCTGCTGTCATACTATTCCTATCTACAAGACACACTGGCCATTACATAAAGAAGAAATAAAACTGCCACAACTTGATATAGGGATATACTGTTTCCATAAACAAGGTAATAACACTTTGTATGGACATTACCATCTTCCTAAGGCAAGGGAGGTAACTGACTGTAAAAGTCCACACAGTACCTATGGGCTTATATCATGGCTGTACAAATGGCTGTAATATATGGCTGTATCTATGCAAAGTCCAATCAAAATCATGTAACGAAATCAACATCCAGTTTTTAAACTAACATGCAGATTTCGGTCAATTTTATGATTTGCAAAGCATGTGTCCTGCCCATTCGGTATCAACAGATTTCCGGCTTTTTATAAAGGTGCTCACAGGATTTGAGGCACTTTGTGAAGTAAGACCAGTTTTATCACCATATAGATTTTAATTATCGATCAGATCGTCTTGACTGAGCACTGCATTTTTGTTTGAAGCCAACAACAAGAGTGGAATCTGATTGGTTAATGGGAATGACATAGAAGTGACATAACCCGTAATAACCACTGGTGGCAATATGATCGAGCCACAAATTTCCAGGTTGTTCGGAAAGGGTGGAAACTAGACTTTTATAGTCAGTTAACTCCCCTGCCTCGGAAGACGGGAAATTACCAAATACTACAACAATCTACAATGTAACAAGGGACAAGTCCAAATTTACTACACAGGTACCCACAACCCTATTACCCGACCCTACCCGCTGTAGGTCTCAAGAGATGGGTACAATATGTCTGATTGGGAATAGTTTGACCATAGCCCTGGAAAAATGTATTTAGGTTCACTAAAAAATGATCTGGTCATGTACACACTGAAGTTGACTGAAGTTTTATCTGTATGCAAACACATGAGAGACTGAAGTAACCCATGCACAGTCAGAAAGAAATACAAACATTAGTCACTTGTAGTGTAACCATGGAGTTATAGCAATTTTTTGCCATTAAACAATATATCACGTGACTAACCACGGGGTTCGGGTATTCCTGTGGGTACCTACTCAGTACCCATGTGATTCGAGTACCCGAGTTACCTGTCCCAGCCCTAAATGCAACTACTTGAGGCATGAAGACCTACAGGCTAGAGGGTGCTGCACGTTGATGTTGTGGAGGACACGGTGGAACACAACAACTTTGTTGTCCGTCTTGGCTGCATCCAGAACTCCGTCACATATCTCACTCTCAGTCACTGTAATAACACAACATAGGGCACATATCTCAGTCACTGTAATAACACAACAGGTCACATATCTCAGTCACTGTAATAACACAACATAGGTCACAGATCTCAGTCACTGTAATAACACAACAGGTCACATATCTCACTCTCAGTCACTGTAATAACACAGGTCACATATCTCACTCTCAGTCACTGTAATAACACAACATAGGTCACATATCTCACTCTCAGTCACTGTAATAACACAACATAGGTCACATATCTCATTCTCAGTCACTGTAATAACACAACATAGGTCACATATCTCAGTCACTGTAAAAACACACAACAGGTCACATATCTCACTCTCAGTCACTGTAATAACACAACATAGGTCACATATCTCATTCTCAGTCACTGTAATAACACAACAGGTCACATATCTCACTCTGTCACTGTAATAACACAACATAGGTCACATATCTCACTCTCAGTCACTGTAATAACACAACATAGGTCACATATCTCACTCTCAGTCACTGTAATAACACAACATAGGTCACATATCTCAGTCACTGTAATAACACAACATAGGTCACATATCTCACTCTCAGTCACTGTAATAACACAACATAGGTCACATATCTCACTCTCAGTCACTGTAATAACACAACATAGGTCACATATCTCATTCTCAGTCACTGTAATAACACAACCATGGTCACATATCTCAGTCACTGTAATAACACAACATGGTCACATATCTCAGTCACTGTAATAACACAACATGGTCACATATCTCAGTCACTGTAATAACACAACCATGGTCACATATCTCAGTCACTGTAATAACACAACATGGTCACATATCTCAGTCACTGTAATAACACAACATGGTCACATATCTCAGTCACTGTAATAACACAACATGGTCACATATCTCAGTCACTGTAATAACACAACATGGTCACATATCTCAGTCACTGTAATAACACAACCATGGTCACATATCTCAGTCACTGTAATAACACAACATGGTCACATATCTCAGTCACTGTAATAACACAACATGGTCACATATCTCAGTCACTGTAATAACACAACCATGGTCACATATCTCAGTCACTGTAATAACACAACATGGTCACATATCTCAGTCACTGTAATAACACAACCATGGTCACATATCTCAGTCACTGTAATAACACAACATGGTCACATATCTCAGTCACTGTAATAACACAACATGGTCACATATCTCAGTCACTGTAATAACACAACATGGTCACATATCTCAGTCACTGTAATAACACAACCATGGTCACATATCTCAGTCACTGTAATAACACAACAAAGATCCATTTCTCAGTCACTGTAATACCTGACATAAGTATCGATCCATACAGTACCTGACATAAGTATATATCCATACAGTACCTGACAAAAGTATATATCTTTACAGTACCTGACAGAAGTATATTTCTATACAGTACCTGACATAAGTATCTATCTATACAGTACCTGATATAAGTATCTATCCATACAGTACCTGACATAAGTATCTATCCATACAGTACCTGACATAAGTATCTATCCATACAGTACCTGACATAAGTATCTATCTATACAGTACCTGACATAAGTATATATCTATACAGTACCTGACATAAGTATCTATCCATACAGTACCTGACATAAGTATCTATCCATACAGTACCTGACATAAAGTATCTATCCATACAGTACCTGACATAAGTATCTATCCATACAGTACCTGACATAAGTATCTGTCCATACAGTACCTGACATAAGTATCTATCCATACAGTACCTGACATAAGTATCTGTCCATACAGTACCTGACATAAGTATCTACCCATAGAGTACCTGACATAAGTATCTATCCATACAGTACCTGACATAAGTATCAGTCCATACAGTATCTGACAAAAGTATATATCTCTACAGTACCTGACATAAGTATCTGTCCATACAGTACCTGACATAAGTATCTATCCATAGAGTACCTGACATAAGTATATATCTATACAGTACCTGACAGAATTTTCTATCCATACAGTACCTGACATAAGTATCTATCCATACAGAACCTGACATAAGTATCTGTCTATACAGTACCTGACATAATATCTATCTATACATTCCCTGACATAAGTATCTATCCATACAGTACCTGACAGAAGTATCTATCCATACAGTACCTGACATAAGTATCTATCCATACAGTACCTGACATAAGTATATATCTCTACAGTACCTGACATAAAGTATCTGTCATATGCTGGCTGGTCAAGGTGTCCGGTCAGGTGAGCTTCCTGTGCCAGTTCATGATAAAGTGACTGAAGTGTCCTTTCAACTTCTCTCCATCTCTTCTGGTCCTGAAAGGAGCCAAGTTTTTATGCACCTGTTATCAAATGTACAACATGAGAAGGCTATGTTAACAAGCCTGGAGCTCTCTATTTTCCAAAATGTGTCTGCACCAAATTCCAAGATACTAGCACATTTCAGACACTGGCTTAAAAGACAATAAGTAGATATGGAATGTCAAACATCACACAAGATTATAAGGACCTATAAGTCAGAACATAATCAGTGGAGGTTAAATGATCATGCTTTTATTACCAAAAGTACATAAAAAAGTAAATCAGTGTGGCTTATCACAGCTACTTATTTTGGAAGGAAATCTTGTCAAGACTTACTTGTTCTTGAAGATGCTGATTGGCTGGATCTGGGTCATTGTAATGAGGTAGAAGGTTTGTGATTGGCTGTATCTGGTAGACTGGCGGTTCAGCATTGTTGTCAAGGAGATACCATTTATCGAGGAGGTAAATGTCCTTACCCATTGCCATGGCAACACGATGAAAAACTTTGAAATCGGTGACAGGCACAGTGGCTGGTAAAGGGCAACTGCCATATCGATCACCGAGGAACACCTGCAACACAACATCAAACCTCAAGGAACACCTGTAACACAACATCATACATACAGGAAGACCTGTAACACAATATCATACATTAAGGAACACCTGCAACACAATATCATACATTAAGGAACACCGGCAACACAACATCATACATACAGGAAGACCTGTAACACAATATCATACATTAAGGAACACCTGCAACACAATATCATACATTAAGGAACACCGGCAACACAACATCATACATACAGGAAGACCTGTAACACAATATCATACATTAAGGAACACCTGCAACACAATATCATACATTAAGGAACACCGGCAACACAACAACATACCTCAAGGAACACCTGCAACACAACATCATACATTAAGGAACACCTGTAACACAACATCATACATTAAGGAACACCTGTAACACAACATCATACATTAAGGAACACCTGCAACACAACATCATACATTAAGGAACACCGGCAACACAACAACATACATTAAGGAACACCTGTAACACAACATCATACATTAAGGAACGCCTGTAACACAACAACATACATTAAGGAACACCTGCAACACAACATCATACATTAAAGGGCAAGTTCACACGGAAATGAACCTATTTTTCTTGTACTTTTTCCACATTAAAAGTGTTAACCTAGAAGTGTCATAGACAAAAATATAAAAATATCACAATTAATTAACATATTTTTCGCATTAAAACGATTTATATTTTTCACATTTACCAAGTGTTCTATTTCCACAACATAAACACCATGGCTTATGCCCCTTGCAATATGACGTCATTGGTGCCAATTGATAAACATTATGACGTCATCATGCTTTGTTAGAGCCGCTTCACGTGGTGTAGGTCTAGGTGTGTGATTCTAGTGTCTCAGATGCCAGCCAGCATAGTGTTATGCTGAGTCACCACTGCGCCGGAGTGTGTCGTAGGCCATGTTGTTTAACCGCAAACTGGTACTTGATATCTTTTGCGTTGAGAATAGACAGGGACCCAGTTGAATTGGCACCAATTACGTCATAATCTAAGGGGGATAACTAAGGCCTGTTTAGCTCGAAAAACGAAGGCCTCATAACGGCATATCATTTTCACACTATTGTGAGCTTCCTACTTTCACTGTGAAAAAAATTAGTGTATATTTTCAAACACAGATACTAACTAATTCTAAAATTCTGTTTTCTTTAACATAAGAAAGAAAGTGATTTTTGCGTGTACACTTCCCCTTTAAGGAACACCGGCAACACAACAACATACATTAAGGAACACCTGTAACACAACAACATACCGCAAGGAACACCTGCAACACAACATCATACATTAAGGAACACCTGTAACACAACAACATACCTCAAGGAACACCTGCAACACAACATCATACATTAAGGAACACCTGTAACACAACATCATACCTCAAGGAACACCTGCAACACAACATCATACAATATTTATTTACAACAAGTAAATATACAGTTTGAATGCAGGCTATTAATTACCACAAAATTTGGGCCCATGGAGATCTGCTGGCAGTTCTTGATCTCCCTCAGGCACAGCTCTGTTGACATCTGGTCCACCGATGTTTCCTCTCGTACTCCCCAGCGCATGTCCACCACCTGCAACAGAGTTCTCCAGGTCAGACGACTCTCCTGTGTCCATCACACCATCTCCACTTTTCACAGTCCATGTCCTCTGTGTCTCCACTTTACACTCAGTCTATGTCCTCTGTGTCTCCACTTTACACTCAGTCCATGTCCTCTGTGTCTCCACTTTACACTCAGTCCATATCCTCTGTGTCTCCACTTTACACTCAGTCTATGTCCTCTGTGTCTCCACTTTACACTCAGTCCATGTCCTCTGTGTCTCCACTTTACACTCAGTCCATGTCCTCTGTGTCTCCACTTTACACTCAGTCTATGTCCTCTGTGTCTCCACTTTACACTCAGTCTATGTCCTCTGTGTCTCCACTTTACACTCAGTCTATGTCCTCTGTGTCTCCACTTTACACTCAGTCCATGTCCTCTGTGTCTCCACTTTACACTCAGTCTATGTCCTCTGTGTCTCCACTTTACACTCAGTCCATGTCCTCTGTGTCTCCACTTTACACTCAGTCCATGTCCTCTGTGTCTCCACTTTACACTCAGTCTATGTCCTCTGTGTCTCCACTTTACACTCAGTCCATGTCCTCTGTGTCTCCACTTTACACTCAGTCCATGTCCTCTGTGTCTCCACTTTACACCAGAGTGTGTTCTCCAAATCTCCATGGCAATCATTCAGTCCCAATCTCATTAAAATCAGATCTAAGTTCTCACTGCAAAGATCTGAGGTTATCCCATTGTGGGTCACGTCAGAACGACCTTTCACAAACTTTGACCGACTACTGAAACGACTAACCAGAAGTCGACATCAGCCAATTAGAAAGCAGCTTTCTCGAGCTTTACAGCACTCGTTTCAACCGGTTGACTTCCACTTCAGACTATGCTTGAAAAATTTGTTGACACAGTTCTCGATTAAAATTTTGATAACTGAATAAACAAACATGTCTAAAATAAGGTTGCGATTTTATGGCAGTGCTTCCCACATACTGTGCAACGCCTCCACCATTTAAATTTTATCCCACAGAAACCAGAGAAAGAGGATAATTTTGATGAAATGTGATTTTAATGCGATTTTAATGCGATTGATCCTTCCAGTTTCACCAGTCTACAGGGCCCTGTGATCCCACTGACATATTCCTGGGTTAAAGATCACATCATCCCTCCTTCACATCCCTTACTCTCTCACCCCTCAGTCCATCAATCCCTCACTGTCTCACCCCTCAGTCCATCAATCACTCACTCTCTCACCCCTCAATCCATCACTCTCTCACCCCTCACCCCTCAGTCCATCACTCTCTCACCCCTCAGTCCATCACTCTCTCACCCCTCAGGCCATCACTCTCTCACCCCTCAGTCCATCAATCCCTCACTCTCTCACCCCTCAATCCATCACTCTCTCACCCCTCACCCCTCAGTCCATCACTCTCTCACCCCTCACCCCTCAGGCCATCACTCTCTCACCCCTCAGTCCATCAATCACTCACTCTCTCACCCCTCAATCCATCACTCTCTCACCCCTCACCCCTCAGTCCATCACTCCCTCACCCGATCACTCTCTCACCCATCACCCCTCAGGCCATCACTCTCTCACCCCTCAGTCCATAACTCCCTCACCCCTCAGTCCATCACTCTCTCACCCATCACCCCTCAGTCCATCACTCTCTCACTCCATCACCCCTCAGTCCATCACTCTCTCAACCCTCACCCCTCAGTCCATCACTCTCTCACCCCTCACCCCTCAGGCCATCACTCTCTCACCCCTCAGTCCATCAATCCCTCACTCTCTCACCCCTCAATCCATCACTCTCTCACCCCTCACCCCTCAGTCCATCACTCTCTCACCCCTCACCCCTCAGGCCATCACTCTCTCACCCCTCAGTCCATCACTCTCTCACCCCTCACCCCTCCACTCTCTCACCCCTCACCCCTCAGTCCATCACTCCCTCACCCGATCACTCTCTCACCCATCACCCCTCAGGCCATCACTCTCTCACCCCTCAGTCCATAACTCCCTCACCCCTCAGTCCATCACTCTCTCACCCCTCACCCCTCAGTGCATCACTCTCTCACCCCTCACCCCTCAGTCCATCACTCTCTCACCCCTCACTCCATCACCCCTCAATCCATCACTCTCTCACCCCTCACCTCTCAGTCCATCACTCTCTCACCCCTCACTCCATCACCCCTCAATCCATCACTCTCTCAACCCTCACCCCTCAGTCCATCACTCTCTCACCCCTCAGTCCATCATTCTCTCACCCCTCACCCCTCAGTCCATCACTCCCTCACCCCTCAGTCCATCACTCCTTCACCCCTCAGGCCATCACTCTCTCACCCCTCACCCCTCAGTCCATCACTCCCTCACACCTCACACCTCAGTCCATCACTCTCTCACCCCTCACCCCTCAGTCCATCACTCCCTCACACCTCACACCTCAGTCCATCACTCTCTCACCCCTCACCCCTCAGTCCATCACTCTCTCAACCCTCACCCCTCAGTCCATCACTCCCTCACCCCTCAGTCCATCACTCCCTCACCCGATCACTCTCTCACCCCTCACCCCTCAGTCAATCACTCCCTCACCCCTCAGTCCATCACTCTCTCAACCCTCACCCCTCAGTCCATCACTCTCTCACCCCTCACCCCTCAGTCCACCACTCTCTCAACCCTCACCCCTCAGTCCATCTCTTCCTCACCCCTCAATCCATCACTCTCTCACCCCTCACCCCTCAGTCCATCACTCTCTCACCCCTCACCCCTCAGTCCATCACTCTCTCAACCCTCACCCCTCAGTCCATCTCTCCCTCACCCCTCAATCCATCACTCTCTCACCCCTCACCCCTCAGTCCATCACTCTCTCACTCCTCACTCTTTTACCCCTCACCCCTCACCCCTCACCCCTCACTGTCTCACCCCTCACTCCCTTACCCCTCACTCTCTCACCCCTCACCCCTCACGCATTGTGTGCTACCTGGAAGTCCAAGCCTCTGGCCAGACAGTAGTCCCTGAGACGGGGCACCGACTCCTTCATCAACATGTTCCTCTCCACCGTCATATCTACAACACACAATGTCATCATCATCACTGCGAGTTGGTGCGGTTTGATGCCCCAGTATAGCAGTCACAGTGTATCGGCTGAAGGGGAAAGTCCACAGTTTCCAAGTTTAGTCAAACTCCCAACCATATGCAACATATTGGCATCAAGTAGCATATCTGGGATTCAAACCCATGACAAGTGGATCCTGGCAGAGCTGTAGGACCAGCTGCAGACCACTGAACCACCTATTTCCCCCGACAGTGTCAGTTCCATATTTGATTGTAAAGTGAAGTCTGTACTGTTTTAATACCTGGATCAGAAATATGGGGGACCAATCATAAATATCAGGAATCAATGACACAATTCCAGCCAGGCCATACTTGACTCAACAGTTGTTGTAGTTTACATATTTCTATTCAGTAATGAGTTATCTTTAATAGGATTGATATGGATTACAGGTATAACTAAGAACCCAGGTATCCAGTTCCAAGTTATGTGGCAGTGTTGTATGTAAGTGTTCTTCATGCAGTTTTGCACATATATATATAGTGTTTCAATGATGTGGTGACCTTTTACCAAGTTGCTTTAAATGTAATTAACTTGTACAGCTGCTTAGTTTCAACGGTTATAAACTGAGGGGTAAGGTCGGCAGTGTGGCTCACTGCAGTGTGTTGTTTGTTTGTTCAAGTCAGCTTACGCCTGATTGGCCGTGTTCAAAATACTGACCAAGCACTCATTACACCAGCACACCAGCCATGACACCTACACTGACAACAACCTTCAAGTGTGTGGTGTGTAAGTTTGATCACTGTGATCATCCATGCAGGTTGATATTGTATTTCATATGCCTTATTATTTATTTGCATCTCTTTGTGTACTTCAGTTATATCAATATTCATATGAAGTCACTACAAATGCTTTAACTAGGTCAGTAATTTTGGAAATAGTTTAAGGCATGTAGTAATTCCAGCACTATATATCTTCACTCCATCTATAGCCTGAGAATGTTTGTTTCAGTGTAACGTGAAGCACCCATAGGTATATATTATACATAATGCTTGTTCACTACACTACCAAGTGTATGAATGTAATTATGTATATCATTCCATTAAGAGTGAGTGAGTGAGTATGATTTTACGCCGCTTTTAGCAATATTCCAGCAATATAACCACGGGGGACACTAGAAATGGGCTTCACACATTTTACCCATGTTGGGAATCTAATCCGGGTCTTCAGCGTGACAGGCGAATGCTTTAACCACTAGGCTACCCCACTGCCCCTCATACCATTATGCATGTGTATGGATACCTATATTAGTTATCTTAACTTGCAACATCCTTGAATGTAAAGGAGGCACGGGTGGCCCAGTCTAAGTCTAAGGCGCTGCAATTCACTGTGGAGCGTTGGATCTCTTGGGCACGCCAGAATGCTATGATCGTGGGTTCGAATCCCGGTTCTAGGTTTCTCAGCACCATACCCATTCTCGTGGGTTTCACCAAAGTGGTAAATGTCGGAGACCTGCATCACTTCAGGCTTTCCTCTCACAGTGAGCTGACACGCCATGATATAACTGAAATACTGCCATAAGCGGCATTAAACCCAACTCACTCACCCCTTGAACGTATAAATTGTAAAATACATGAGTTCTGTTTATTACTGAGATGTCGCCCATGTGAGGTTGTGAATGAATATATAGATGATTGCATATGATGTATTCTTAAATACCTATAAACATGTATATTTATTTTGAAGTATATGTTTGGGGGCATTTGTTCTGACTTCAGTTGAAATAAATCCTAGTGTTACACTACGACATGTGTGTTATCTATGCACTGCCCTGCTACAATTGTAAAATGTAAAATCAGTTAGGGGAGGCTGGTATGAATTACTGGGTCTTCGAAGTGATGAATTTCATTTTTTACATATAGCTATTTCTTTTGTGCTGTTTTCTCAATAAGTTGGGGATGAAAAGCTATTTTGGCATAAAATTAAAATATTGCCATGAATTTCTTTTGAAAATTGCTCGACACTGTTGTACTGACTTTCAAGTGAGCGTCGGAGTTGAATTTTATGCTATATTTTTATTGTTTATCAGAACATTTAATGTTTGTTCTGTTTTCAAATTAATAACAGTCTGTTTGTTTCATATTTTTTATAAGCACAAGAGAGTGAGTGAGTATGGTTTTACGCCGCTTTTAGCAATATTCCAACAATATCACGGCAGGGGATACCAGAAATGGGCTTCACACATTGTACCCATGTCAGGAATCGAACCCGGGTCTTCAGCGTGACAATCAAACACTTTAACCACAAGGCTACCTGACTGCCCCATATAAGCACAAGTATTGATATATGTTTATAAATGTTAATATGTCATTGTTAGTTTCCAAGTAGAAATATTATGTTGAGGTCAGTGGATGTGTAAAAATAACACAGAACAATGTTACAGGTATTTAACAAGCTTATTTGGTTTCAAAATGATAGTTATTCATCTAAAATGTCCATTGTGGATTAATGAACTTAATCTGTCATTAGTATTTATGATTTTTCCATAAAAAAGGACAGTTTTGTTTATAGTACCATAAAACAGTTCTTCCTTGTTATTATGACAAATCTGCATACACATTCTCCGCCCAAAATAATAAATCTTCCCTGCCCCAGTGAAATTCAAGGATCTGTCCTTGTAAAACAAGCCTTCTGACAAGTACATAGTAAATGTATTTATCAAACATTATTCAGTTTGTGTCTTCAAGGGGGCCCATTAAGTCTGCATCTTTGTTTTGTTTAATGTCTATCATAAATGACATAAAAAATCCATGATAACTAATTTCAAAGTATGCAATTATATTTTAAAAATATCTAGATCTAGATGATTAACATCTTAGGTCTGGTATATGCAAGTGTAATTACAAATATATCACTTTGTATACATCACGCTAACGATGATAAACAAATGATCCGTATCCAAGGATGCAACAGCTAACCAATACGATGTCGATGACTACAGACTAGACAATATCAGCAGGTCTGTCAAACAGTTTAATCCAACTATGCTCGCTTCCTCACCTGTAAACGTCGAGCTGAAAAAAATTCGTATTGTTTTCGACTCCTGGGCCGGCAGGCTTTGGAGCACACCATCAAACACTTTCCTTGTCGCCATTTTGCTCTGTATACACTCGGTCGCCGCCTCTCAACTCAATGCATCCCGTTGTTTACCTTGGAAACAATGAACATGATGACAGTGACAACAAACATCGTCAAGGACGCTCTCCGAAAATAAAGTAAATGTCCCTTGCCAATCAATATAACTGTTATTTCTGGATCTTTTCTGTACAAACATCATAGTAATTGATTGTTTACATCGTGGTTTAACATGTTACTGGGATCAGAAGACAACATTTGACAATGACCTCGTAACTTGGCATGAGTTACCTCCCTTCGCCCCCAGTGCTATTTATAGAATAAGGGGATTTCCATAGATAATAAACATTCACACGTTGGGTAAACGTTTAATGTCGTTCACAGTACATCGACATAGTCAGGCGAACATTTCAGATCGGTGATATAAATGAGGAGCGGTGTTCTCGTGGAGCACAGTTGTCGATAGCAAGGGGAAAGGACCGCTGATTGTTTCCAATGCGGTTAATTGTGATGTGCAGGTTGTGACTTAATTGGAATTGGAAGATATACGTACAATGGTTGGTTAGTCTTCTTACAAGCAAAATGTTAACTCCAAGCAAGAAAATTTGCTGCAGTCCGTTTCAGACACCATCGCCAGTCCGTCAACAGGTACCACTGAAGAATGTACCTTCTACTCCAGTCAATAAGGAAAACCGCAGTACGGCGCACCAACACCTGTACAGCCTGGTTCCCGACGTGAACGCTGTTAAGGAATTTGTGTGGACTAAAAAGGAGCAGCGAGATAGGAAACGAAGACATGGACGAGACGGTCGGGAAAAGAAAATGAATTTATTGGAAGAACACAGGATTGAGCTTGAAAAGTTAAAGAAAAGGCGTTTAGAACGTGAGCGACTTCATGAAGTGCGCATGAGAGAAAACGAAACTACACGAAGCGTTACACTCGCTGGAGAATTTGAAAACTGGGAGAAAGAAGAAAATGCATTTATGTTACGTCAAGCACGAGAACGAACTAAGATACGTCTGAGTCAAGGAAGGCCACAGCCAATAGATTTGCTGGTCCAGTACAAAGAGAAGGGGCACGCCGACCATCCAAGTAATTATCCCTTAAACGTCATCGCGCGACTCGGTATCCGTGACCTTGGCGTCATAGCTGAGGACATTAAAGTGTATAAACAAATGGAGGGTGCGCACTGTGCCTACTGGGACGATATCATGAACGTTGTCGATCAGTATCTGGAGGAGAACAACATGGATGGCGATGGGCAGAGAAGAAGGGGCATAAACCAAGCTGTGTCACCAGATGTGGACGTCGTATTGAGAGGGAAAACAAGCTGCCAGCTTGCCATTCTCAGAAAACAAATTGAACAGAAGCTAGCTCTGAAGAGAGACGTGGATGTCAGCTACTGGGAATGTTTGCTCCACAAACTACGATTTTATTTTTCGCATGCCAGACTTCAAGAACTCCAAAAACAGTCGGCGAAAGAAACGTTTGAGCAAATGTCTTCCGAACTGACATGTGTTAATGGCCACAACAAAAAAGCTGTTACGCAATCACGTGATGAAGACAGGCAGGGGGTGTCCGATGTGTCAAGTGATGAAACATGCGCGGCTGCTGTCGGTCAAGAGAAAGAAGATTTAAAATCAATAACTCGTCATTACATACGACGGAGTATTGACCTTTTCGAAGAGCAATACTCACCAAAATATTTAAAAGAATTTGAAATTGATAAGGACATTACAGTTACCGAACCAGTAGACGATCTGGAAAAACTACGAAAAGACCGTCAGCACGTGCGGGAAATGTACAACCAACCCCTGCACGTGGAGCATGTGGAGCACGTGGAGCACGAGGATGACATCGGTTTTGAGAACGAATATGCACTTCTTAAAGAAGCGTATCCTTGGGGATCTAAATACAAGCCAAGGAAGCCAAGATATTTTAACCGCGTTCACACAGGGTTTGTTTGGAACAGGTATAACCGTACCCATTACGACCTGGACAATCCTCCGCCGAAAACTGTCATGGGATACAAGTTTACCATCTTCTACCCGGATCTGATTGATCGGTCGGCGACGCCTAAATATAGTATTATCCCATGTGCAGAGAGCAAAGACTTGGTTGTAATCCGATTCAGCGCAGGGCCGCCATACGAAGACGTCGCCTTTAAGATTGTTAAGAAGGAATGGGACAAATCATGGAAAAGCGGCTACAAGTGCGCCTTTAACGGGAAAACACTTGACCTGTGGTTTCGTTTTAAACGGACGTGTTACCGACGATGAACAATAGTTGCGTGAATGAGAATAGTTGAAACATTGAATCCAAGGTGTAGTATTCATACGCATATTGTCAAAATATATATACCGCTAAAGCGCATAGGTGAGTTCCATCTAGTGTTTATGAATGTAAATATGAGCATGAGATTCGAAAGCACTTAATGATAATGGGGAGACACCAACATAAACTTGAATAACAATATCAAGGTCACACGAAGTCAGTAATGATAATGACTACCGTTAGAGCTAATTGTTGCTTGGCATCGCCTTCCCTTAGAATGAATCAGATTGCGGATGGAAGATCTTGGGATACTCTGATACTCCTCTCGCAGGACCAGACAAAGCTGACAGGTCTGAGGTTTGGGATGACGTTGCCGAACACGTCGTCCCGCAAATGTCCAATAGCCAAACTGACAGTTCGAATCTCTGTAGGCCATTGACGATGGTTGACGCACCACCCTTCGACGGAATTAATTGTTGATAATGACGGATAAATATGGGCGCCTATCAATGGTCTCCGGGGATGAATACCAACCCCACGTAATAGGCTCCTGGCGGTTTCATCGGAGATTCGACGGATCCCAGATACTGTGATGTGATAGATGATGCGTTTGTAAACCTGTTACATAATTTAAGTGGCTTAAACGGGTGGACCCGTCCTGAGGGGGCGAGGTGACACGTGGTCAATAAGAATGTGGCTGATCTGACAATAGTTGTTCCATGTTGTTGAAAACGTTGCAATTCTCCCTGTTTCTGTGAGACATTTTTAGACGCAATAAAACCGTACTGTGTCATGTGACATAAACCTTGATTTGGTTGCGTTTTGGAGATGCAAACACATTGAACCCACAATGAGAGAGTGAGTATGCTTTTACGCCGCTTTTGGCAATATTCCAGCAATATCATGGCGGGGGGACACCAGAAATTGGCTTCACACATTGTGCGAATGTGGGGAATCGAACACGGGTCTTCGGCGTGGCGAGCGAACACTTTAACCAGAAGGCTACCCGACCGCCCCGAACCCACAATGAGCAAAAGGAAACAATTGCTAAATATCAATACATTCATATTACCTTTCCCCATCCATGATGTTATGATTGAAAAACATATCTGCTATGCGTTTCTTTTCCAGTAATATGTGATCGTTGAATTACGTACAAGCCACACTTGATTCAAAACCGGGTTGAGCTTAACACCTGGTGTCATGACTGATGTTCAGTGATCCATTGTGTTACTCTCACCGCTATGTGCCCTTTACACCAAATGGAATCGCATAATCGCGACTGATTATTCTCTGGCGTTGACTGTAAAAATATTTACGGATACCTCACTGATTTTACCAAGGCAAGCCAAAATCTTAAAGTAAACCCAAGGGTTTTGTGATAAATCTTGGAATCCAGAATAGGTTCCCATTTTGCCAATGCTTTCATAGGAGCCGACTGCTATGAGAACGGTTATTTTTTTATTGATAAATACTGATAGATCCATCCGAAAATTGAACGAGTCTTTTAGGTTTTCATGATGAAAGTTTAAGTGTGTGGAGATAGGAAACTTTTGTGGATAACTTCACTACTGTTTGTAACGATGTTTCATGGCATCGTCTTGCCCCTTCACCAGGTGTGAGTAAGTGTAATGAGTTAATATAATACTCTGCTAAATAGGAAACGCAAAAGTGATTGTTCAAAAATGTCACACATCATTATCATTGACCCAGGTTCCATATTGCACACATGGAACTATAGATTAAGTCGAAGGTCATCTGTTCTCAATATCTTGTATGGCCACCATTAGAGTCCAAAACTGACTTGCGTCGTCATCCCATGGAAGCATAAGATCCCGAATCGTGACCTGGGGAATGTTCACCCACTCTGCCTGCAGTGGTTGTGCCAACTGTCGAAGGTTCTGTGGTTGGTGCTGACGTGCTCGCAGTTGTTGATCCAGAGCATCCCATAAATGTTTTATTGGGTTTAAATCTGGAGACCTCGAGGGACATGGCAGGATCTGGATGTTGTGATTCCTGAAAAAGGCTGTTGTAAGTCTTGCCTTGTGAGGTCGGGCATTGTCTTGTTAGAAAGTGATGTTGGCTTGCTGCATTATGGGAAGGACGTGTAGGATGTGGCTGCCCATATCACACTACAACACCAAATCTGTCCACTTCCTGTATGCAGTTTCGTGTATAACATTCCCCTGCGACGCCTATTACATGTCTACCATCCGCACGGGGAAGCATGAACCGCGACTGTCACTAAACCAAAGATTTCTCCATCTTTCATCAAATTTCTGCAGTACCTCATTCTTTCTACACAAATTATTCCCAATCCATGCATGCAAGAATGACAAATTCATTTTCAATATTAATTTTGAATGTGGGCAACACTCGTCAGAAATGAACGATTTTACTACTTTTGCGTTTCTGTTTTTGCAGAGTACATATACATGTTGATTGACACAAAGCAGTATTAATTTACAAAGATAAAAATGTAATGAGAAAGCCAATATGAGTAACAGGAGAGAAGCCAACTAAGTGCAGAGAAAGTTGAGTTAGGGCTGTGTGTGATGACCAACAGCTGACAAGGGTAACAACTCATGTTCCTACACCTTATACATGCACATCAAAGACTTGATGAAATGTGTGTTGTGGATCACCGACAGTTTGACACTAACGTTTCTGTGCTGCAGTGGAAAAGGTGTGACTGAATGGTTCACAACATCTTTGATTATCATATTACAATTTTACGAACTTCTGAGCTTAATTGTTTAAACTTTACACTTAGTAGCTTAACCTCAACTAACCTCATCAGTGGAAGCACTTCAACTCCACTGTAACTAAAGCTTAATTAGTAAGTGGCTTACATACTTTCTTCGAACAATATATGTAACAAATGAAACCTGCTACACTTCCAGGTCCAGGTCCTTATCTCAGGTGAGCTACAGTGTTGTTGCACAACATTTAGCCATGAAATGTGTTACCAGACTTGACAGGAAGGCATTTATCTTTCCTTCCATTATTGAATTTTGGGCCAACTTAATATTTAATAACCTATTAAAGTGATCCGGTTACCCCATCTGTTGTCTTAGCCAGCTACTGCGAGGGCCTTGCTATCAGTACATGTGTATCATTGGCTTGATTGAGATATCACTGCATGTCCAATTGTTTTTAAGATGAATGACGAAACTTTGAGTGAGTTGTGTTTAAAACCAATATTTACTGTATTCTTATGATATATAATAGGTGAGGTGAGGTGAAATTGGGTTTAACGTCGCGTCCAAGATTATTGCGACATGCATGCATGTGTGCGTGCATGCGTGGCTGATTGTACTCAGGACTGATGCCGATTTGTAGTGCTAGCTTACTGAGATACCATGCTGCAGTTTTACATGAATACCCCACTCAGACACAGTATACTGACTCCAAGCCAACCAGTCCTTGTTTTAGACCCTTAATGCCGAGCGTCAAGTACCATCTTTTATCGTCTTTTGGTATGACGGGAGATCAAACCCTGGACCTTTCGCTCTCCCCGGACACTCTACCACTAGACCAGGGAGGCGGTCTGTGATATCTTATATATATTTCATGGTTAGTCAACATGTAGTGTGGAAGGAAGGCCCAAAGTCAGGCAAGCCCATAATGTTTACCACTTCAGTAAAACCAACAATCATGGACTTTGGCAGAAATAATGGATGCATTTCAAATGATCTTTAGAAAATCAAAATGTTTGAATGCGGCCTATATATGTTAAATACACAACTCAACAATGCTGTGAAACAGGTTTATTGTACACAGTACGTCATTATTAGCATGACAGATATTAAGACATTCCCAGTGTACCTCCAGTAACTGTTTTTGTTCAATATCGGGTAAGATATGCAAGACATTAATATTAACAAGATTTATCAGATATTATCATCTCCACATGATACACCCGGCAACACAAGGTTACCATGGCGAAGTTAATGATGTATCAGAAACAATTGCTTCATCTTCAACTCTCACCAATGCAAAAGCAACATGAAGGTCACTCAACAAAATGAAGGTCACCCCATCAACCGACCCTGTATTCAATCCCCAGAACCCCATCCAGGCTCTGTGACTTGGCTAATTATGTGTCATCTTACCCCAACAGCGAGGGGGACTATGATCAGAGCTGTGAATAAATACCACTTGAAAAGGATAGATGACCTTCACAAGAGTGTGAGTGAGTTGCAAGTCTGTCTTCTGTGGTGGACACCTGGTGCTCCCCAAAATGTATTGCTGGACTGAACCTGACTACCCTACCATGAAGTACATCTTGCTGGACTGAACCTGCCTACCCTACCATGAAGTACGTCTTGCTGGACTGAACCTGACTACCCTACCATGAAGTACGTCTTGCTGGACTGAACCTGACTACCCTACCATGAACATGAAGTACGTCTTGCTGGACTGAACCTGCCTACCCTACCATGAAGTACGTCTTGCTGGACTGAACCTGACTACCCTACCATGAAGTACGTCTTGCTGGACTGAACCTGACTACCCTACCATGAAGTACTTCTTGCTGGACTGAACCTGACTACCCTACCATGAAGTATGTCTTGCTGGACTGAACCTGACTACCCTACCATGAAGTATGTCTTGCTGGACTGAACCTGACTACCCTACCATGAAGTACGTCTTGCTGGACTGAACCTGACTACCCTACCATGAAGTACGTCTTGCTGGACTGAACCTGACTACCCTACCATGAACATGAAGTACGTCTTGCTGGACTGAACCTGACTACCCTACCATGAACATGAAGTACTTCTTGCTGGACTGAACCTGCCTACCCTACCATGAAGTACGTCTTGCTGGACTGAACCTGACTACCCTACCATGAACATGAAGTACGTCTTGCTGGACTGAACCTGACTACCCTACCATGAACATGAAGTACTTCTTGCTGGACTGAACCTGCCTACCCTACCATGAAGTACGTCTTGCTGGACTGAACCTGACTACCCTACCATGAAGTACGTCTTGCTGGACTGAACCTGACTACCCTACCATGAAGTACGTCTTGCTGGACTGAACCTGACTACCCTACCATGAAGTACGTCTTGCTGGACTGAACCTGACTACCCTACCATGAACATGAAGTACGTCTTGCTGGACTGAACCTGCCTACCCTACCATGAAGTACGTCTTGCTGGACTGAACCTGACTACCCTACCATGAATTACGTCTTGCTGGACTGAACCTGACTACCCTACCATGAACATGAAGTACGTCTTGCTGGACTGAACCTGCCTACCCTACCATGAAGTACGTCTTGCTGGACTGAACCTGACTTCCCTACCATGAAGTACTTCTTGCTGGACTGAACCTGACTACCCTACCATGAAGTACGTCTTGCTGGACTGAACCTGACTACCCTACCATGAACATGAAGTATGTCTTGCTGGACTGAACCTGACTACCCTACCATGAAGTACGTCTTGCTGGACTGAACCTGACTACCCTACCATGAAGTACGTCTTGCTGGACTGAACCTGACTACCCTACCATGAAGTACTTCTTGCACGACTGAACCTGACTACCCTACCATGAAGTACTTCTTGCTGGACTGAACCTGACTACCCTACCATGAAGTACGTCTTGCTGGACTGAACCTGACTACCCTACCATGAAGTACGTCTTGCTGGACTGAACCTGACTACCCTACCATGAAGTACTCGGTGGCCATGCGAAGTAGCATCACACATGCCAACATTAGCACAAGTAATTATCATTAACCATGCTAATACATGTACAAGCAGAGACAACATCTACAAAATATCAACTGATTTTAAACAAAATGAGTTGCAAATACAGTCAATCTATTGACACCATTGTCATGTATTATGTTAATGTTATAATTATTGTGAGCCAGCCAAGAGTGACCATGTCTAACATGAGACAGGACCTAGGGCCAAAATACACAATTAACAGAAGAAATAAATAAGAACACCTGTTTCAACTCTTGGACTAGTTCAAGGATGTAAAGTTCCTAAGTATAAAATGATTGGTGTACAGCAACACTAATATCGACCGACCTTGGTTCACCTCCAACACAATATTTAACAAATAAATAACACATTTCAATATTTACACCTTAGCTCTGCCACTCTCAGGCATAGACATGAGTGAGGCATATATCCTCTGGAATACAATTAGTTGGGCACACCAAATCTTTTTCTTGGCTCCTGTTGACAAAGGAGAAAACACTGGTCATTCTTATGACTCCACTATATTCAGATGGCCAGTAATGCAATCAAGGAGCCAACTGGTCATTCTTACAAAAACAAGACAACAGTGAATATTGACACAAATGTCCTCTTGCTTCAATGGTAATAGTTCAGGACCTGGGGTGACTACTGAGGGCATTTTCACCACTGCAATATTGCTACATAATTCACCTTTTCTCCAAATGTTATACATTTACAACTACACCACACAAAATACACGACATTGGACAGTTTATGGATTGTGGACAACGATGCCATGCATCAAATGCATTTTGTTATGTCTGTATTCATAGTAAAAGGCACTAACCATTGCCAACAATCACTAGAAAATAAGGGAATACTAATGTATTTAAATGTAATTTACTGTTAGTTAGCCAGCTAATGACCAGCCACACCTATGGTGTAATAACAAAATAGTATCTAGAAGAGAAAACTATTGCTTTTATCATGAAGGAAAATAACTGACTTCAATCACAGACCATGTACACAGCACTATGAAATCTTGTTAACCAGAGGTCCTGAGGACCAACACAAACATATCAACATACTGATATGATACTATGGCTCCTATAAGGATCTGCCAGGATCTCAAAGTTACACCATTTCATTGGCAAGATAAAGCTTCCATGTACCCCCTATACACCCACAGACATCCAGGTGTGAGTCAGATCTGGTGATGAATGAGCCCATACCTTCTCCTGACATCGGCCCCTCCCCCGCTGTCAGCCAAGCCCTGTTCCCTTACCCACGCATCAATCTCCACATCATCATTGTCATTGTTTGTGGGACTCGCAGCCTCTGCCACTCCCTCAATCAGGTCAAACTTGGACACATGTCCCGCATCTTCCAGAAGGTCATGTGGGTCGTTGTCAAGATCCACATTTCTCTCGTCAGCAATGGCTGCACTATCACTGGACTCTGTTGTCTGCGAAGATGCTGTCTCAGAACTGTCGTCATCATCCTGGGATGCAAGAGTTGGATTCATCACAAAGTCCTCCCTGGCGGAGTCGGAACCTGCCGCCACCTCCTGGTGAATATCCCGGTGACACATCGGGCAGCTGTCCTTGACATACAACCACTTGCGTAAACACACACCATGGAAGAAGTGGCCACAGGGGGTCACCCGTGCACTCTTCATCTCATTATAGCAGATAGCACACACATCATCCAAGCAGGACAGCTGGTCCTCAGAGGCTGATGGGAGGCTCTCGACCTTCTTACTAGCCTCTCTCCGCAGCAGGAAGCTCTTCCAGCCACTCTGTAGTCTCTGCCACACATTGAAGTAACAGTGGACAATCAAGATGGAGGAGTTTATCCAGCTCCATTCTCCAAACAACGACTCCTTCAGTCCATAACACACAACAAACACAGCTACAAAGAATTCCAGCACACGTGTGATGGCCCGCGCACAGTATATGACATCGTCCAGCATTTCCCAAGGTTCATTTCTGAAAGAGTCATACATGAATAGTGAGTACACTGCAAGCGAGCCGATGACTTGCACGGAGGTCAGCATGCAGCTGGACACGATGACCATGAGCCAGAAGTCCAGGTCGAAGTACTGACAGATGGAGTAGGTCATGTACAGTGGGAACATCCACAGGAACGTACAGAGAGCCACAGCTCGGGCATGTTTGAACACACTCTTGTTGTGGGACGCACTCAGTGCCAACAAAACTGGATCAGCGATTTCATACATGGACTGGATTAGGGAAGATGCTACAATGAACAAAAGGATGCTCATCAGAAATGCTCTTTGAAGAGGTCGCAGGTCAAGTAGGTCAGTCTGAATGGCTATTAATAACATTGTGAAGCCCTCTGTCCATCCTCGCATTGCGTCCACATCTTGTGACCATGCCTCAAATCCTTGGAGGTAAAGCTTAGTCAAAGTCAGAATACTGTATGATGCGTAGGTTATTGTTACACATAATGCAAACAGGCTAATCGGTGTTGCACAACACTCACCAATACTTGCCAAGATAATCACAATCCAACCTTCCTGCATTATAGGATGGTTTTCTGAATATAAATAAACATATAGTTGTGTGATGAACATGATCAGCCAGAATATCAACAGTTGTATGGGAAGCAGTACAGAATGCCAAAATGTGATGAAAACCGGGAAGACACCAAACGCACGGAAGGCAAGAACAACATTGTTGATTCCTTCCTTACAGTTATCAATGATATTCCCAAGGTTGTTAAACACATAGAACAGCACAATGAGGGTGGAGAAAATGGATGCAAAGTTATGAACAATGTGTAAATCGTTGAGTGGGAAGCCTAGGGAGCGAGCCAGGACAGGCAGCGTGAAGACGAGCATGAGGAAACGTGTCCAATCCTTCAGCTCCACTAGGTATGCGATGAGAGCAGCCATGAAGGCCTGGGCAATGAGGTGCAGGATCAACCTCTCCGTGTGCTCCTTGTCATCAAACAGGTCCGCCCACGTCTGCTCCTTGTTCTCCAGCACCTCTACCTGGACGAAGCTCTGTGACAGGAAGAACGACCCAAGTAGCATCAGTCCGCTCACCAGGTACACATAGAAGGTCACCAGCTTCTTCAGTGGGAGGGTGCCGATAGCAACAGCAAACAGGAGAGCTGAAACAGACAATAACACATACAAAAACTGGAACCATTTATTAACAAATAGCCATGGAAATACCAGGTATTACTCATTGACAAATATCAAACCATATCTATACATCTACACCAACAAACCCTGCTAATCTGAATAAAACCATTCCTGACTAACACAGCAACAAAGATTAAAATATCACAAAAAGAACGGAACAAATGTGTTGAGTCCCAATACTATCAACACATATACCAAATTTCACTACTTTTCTGGGCCGGGTAACGGTCATAAGAAGTTTCAGCTTTCAGTAAGGTCGAAGTGCAAAGGTCAAATCAAGGTCAAAATCTAAAACATTGCAAAACAACAGAACATGTAAGTTACGGCCCACTACTAACAACACATGTACCACATTTCAGTATATTTGGAAGACGAAAGGCTAAGTAATGGCCATAATAGGTTTTTTTCAAAATGGCTGATGTGGAGGGAACAAGTATGTGAAGTTTCAGCTTATTAGTTCAGTGTTTTCTGAGAAGAACATGTTTACAATGTACGATGGGTGATGTGGAGGGAACAAGTACGTGAAGTTTCAGCTTATTAGTTCAGTGTTTTCTGGGAAGAACATGTTTACAATGTACGATGGGTGATGGACCAGAAGGCCACGACATGGTCACTTGACTTTCAGTCAGGCGAGCTAAAACTATCCAACAGTAATCACTATGGTTTTTTGTGTGAACAGACTTCCACTGCATCCAGTAGTGTGTTCCCATCATGGTGTTCTGAGGAAACCTCTGACACGTCTACCGACTAATTTACTTCCCATCCATCAATATTTGGTTGAAATATTCAAAACTATTTACAGAACATAAGCTAATTTCATCAATAGAAACTAACTGTTTTAGTCCACCAGTCCCGATAACGATAACACATAGCAAAACCCTTAAAAATGGCAAATTTCTACTAGTCCTTATGATGCCTTAACTATTGGGCAGTTTGGCAAGGACTACAGGACAACTACCAATTTCTAATGCAGTGCTTTAATAACTTATATAAAATATTATAATAACAAGTAAAAGAATCATTTCACTGAAAATTACTTCGGCATCTCTTGCTTTTGCACAGACATGACAAATATCAAAATGTCTCTTTGAAAGTTATTTTTTTGCAAAAGATTTTTATTTCTAACACATTCTGATGTTTTTAAAAATGATGTCATTTAAGACAATAATGAAATCATATTAACAAGTACCATCTTTTAACATCTTTGATCAAACCACCAATCTTCCGCTCTCTCTACACATGCTCCATCCACTTGACCAAGGCATGGAGGTGCTCCCAAGTACATTTCTATGATATTAATTATGATAGTGATATCCTTAAGTTATATTTCATATTTTAGGAGGTCCTAACATTCACAAATGTGAAAAAAATAAAAAATAATTTAGTACCATTTTTTCTTCAAGTTAAACTCAAAATTAAAGTCACACTCAACATGATCTGAGCTTGTATCTTTTATTATTTTTTGTCCTCAAAGCTTTATGAAATCACATAAAATCATGTTTATGTCATCTTGTTTTCAAGTTGACTGTCCACTCTGGTTTTGTCAAAAATATAATAAACAAAGTTATCCAAATACTTTCCACAAATATGGTTATATCCCCTACTGTAAACAAGATAGAACAATCAAAAACACAGAAACGTCAGTCTGGAATATATGGTCTTTGTCTCAGAAGGACAGCCCATTCAGAATTCACTGGTCTACAAGGAATGTGGTGGTGGTGTAGCAAAATAAGAAGCAACGCCATTTTCCCCTACCCATGTAATAGACAACTTTGATGATGATCTCGACATCCTTGGTCTGCACCTGGACCGTCTTGAGAGGGTCAGTGCGGTACCACACCTCCATAACAAAGAGGGCGGGGACCCGAAGTATGACCCCCACACCAGACTCCAGTGCCTCACGGGATATCTTGAACATGTTGAACAACTGCACCATTGTCACCGGTCTGTACCAGCGCTATACCACTACTGTCACGTGTATGAGGCCATTTTCTTTATTCTGAAAATGAAACAAGACATAATATTATTGGAAAGAAAATGACAATGTTAATCTCTGAAACTTGTGTCCAGGCTAATCCAATCAGTGCTTTTCATAGCAAAGACATTATAACTATTTATATAGATATATCTCTCTTACATTAACAGTACATGTTCAGTATACCATACTTCAATTACCGGTACATGTTTTAGAAATCTTCTATTTACATACCGGTAAATGATATAACAACTGGAATATAACTAAACTAAAAACCACGAGACACAGTAGCTTACCCAAGCTTTTTCTGGAATATAATATTAGATATAAGAAAGGACTAGCGAGAGTAAACAATAATTCATTATTGATTGGCATAATTTATTATTTTAAATGGCTGAATATACAGCAATAACAACATGTTCAATATGTCTGTGGATCAGAATTCTGTGAGCAATTTTAAGAAACATCATTCTGAGACATTCAGTTCAGGAAAACATTTCAGTAATGGATGATCATATGGGGTGGGGGAGGCCCATTACCTTTACCATTACCTGTTTACCCCCTAAAATTGGAAATACTGGGTCAGTGGTCACCCACAGGTGAGTTTGTCACTAACCCATGTCACACATACTTACCATGAGAGTAGCCTAGTGAAACATATGAATGATGGTACTGAACCTAAAGTAATCATGATGTAGCTTTAACCCGGTATATAATAAGTAAACATTTCTACCTTAACTTAGAACTATATAGTTTCATCTCCAATCTTAGCAATTAAACATTTACTAACTCAGTAATTACGTAGACATGACATGTTTATCCTGGCAAGCTACTTGTAATCGTCCTTATCATGGACCATAACCTTGTGACTGGTTCTGACCAGCTCACACAATCACAGATAGGCTAGGGTAAATCTAGGTGACTCAGTTCTGCGCAATCATTCTTTTGATTTTTATGCAAGTATTTAATATGAGGAAACACATCACAAATATCACGCTGTCCTTTCGAAATGCCTAAATACATCAGTTATTAAGTAGGTAAGTACCAACATGGCAGTCTGCTAGGTTCTATCACAAAATGAATCAATGAATACAAGAGAATCAATGAAAGTACCAACGATGGTCCAGTTTTTTGCTTATATTCTGACTATTTTTCCTTGCTCTTAGTAGAGAATGAGGTATTGTTCTGAAGATCTTTGAGTAATGTTTGCACACAGAAAACTGTGAGGTTCTTACAAAAATAATTTAATGAGGTTGTGTTTGGGCTTTTAAAAATAGAGCCAACAGCAAATTAGGGTTTACTTCAAAGTAAAAAGTGTATTGAAGAAATATTTCACCATTAGCACAGATATGCATATGGAAACCATGTAAGGGATAGAATAATAATCAAATGTGTGATCTATCTTACGCACTTTACACACAGGTTCAACATAGTCATTGTGACACCACTTGCCCTTTGCACCTTTAGAATACAGTACCACAACTTCTCGTGAGGACGGTCTCTGCCGTAGGTCACATGTCTCAAAGACAAGCAACCAGTTTTTGTGAGAATCCATCGGACGCGAACTCGCGACCTTCGGATTGTTAGCCCGACAGCCAACCGAATGAGCTACTTACACACTGTGAAACAAAGTGCAAATTTACCTAGTCATGCCTACGACATTAAGGAACTGAACGAAAAGGGTCGAATAGGTGACAGACCCTTACGAAGGTTACGGGTAGGCATGGTGTCTCGTGACTTTAGTCTATCGACACTTACGAATGATCCCGATGCCATTTGGCACACTCGTCCCATTCCGTATTCTACAAGATACCGAGTGGCGAGGAATGATCCGATATGGCGCGAACTGAAACGGCTCAAGGCGTCAGGCGTCAGACGTCGAACTCGCAAGTACGCATGAATGACGTGTTATTTGATCATTCTTCGGGTGGATTTTGTGACAGAAAAGTTTGGTAGGGAACACTGTAAGGATGATGTGGATAATAGTAAGGAACGAGGGAGGCATGTGCATGGCTAGTGACGACACAAAAGTGAGTTCGCTTTTGAATCAGTACTGAAAAAATGTAGCCGGTGAAAGTGGCTTGTGTGAATGTTCCAGGACAGTTTCCAGTAGCCAAAGTATTCGACACAAAACCATTTCATTCTTTTTACTCGATGTTTTTGTGTGAAGAATATTAGGAGAAACTAAAGCGGTAGATTTACCAAACCCCAATGATCGTGAAGGGATGATTGATCGTAAAGGGGATCCAAGGGCTAAGGATAGAGAGTTCGGGATAGCCTACCCTAACACTGGCGATATTTGGATGTGTTCAGCACCAATATAATATCCCTAATAAACTACATTCTTGTGCATAATAATGAAAATAAATGCACCGAAAAAATAATACATGTATATAAGTTCCCATTTATAACCCTTTTAGCCACTTGAGTTACGAGAAAAACGAACTAAAAAATATATAAAAAATAAAAGTGCTTTCGTAAACTAGTGCTTGCTATAAAATGCGCCGCCGCAGGCTATATTCAGTAAACAAATATTCAAAACTCTCCACAGCACTTGGCGTATTCAATGACATTTCGTGTAGAGATGATAGATCACTGAGAGGAGCTTATGCACACTCGATGACCCCTGACGTCACAGGGCATTATTACGCCGGTGTGACTGGCAACAAAATACTACAAATTACGTCATAGGGTATTGTCACGTGTTTGAAAAGTTTGTGGTACTGTATTCTAAAGGTAGGCCACAAAAAGATGCTGACCATTCCAACAACTATCAAATCTGTATCAAGTTTTAGTCTCCTGCTTTCTTCACCAATCTTTACTCTTAATCAGTATTTGAGGAGCTTAAAATAGTATGGAGTCTGCTTCAGTGCATTTGAAGAAGTAGATTAAGTCAAGACCTGTAAATGTAGCAAGATCATTTCATTTTATAGGTGACCACTTACTAATCGGTTTGTTGGCATACAAGTGTCCACTAGCCTTGTGAAAACTAGACTTTGATCACACGCCCCTGAAGCAGGATAATGATAATACGGAAATACGGGACCTATATAATTATATATCAATACATATGGGTGTCCTGTTTTCATTAATATCACCAACATCAATATCCTGCTTCAGGGGCATGTGACTAGATCTAGTGGAAAAGTTCGGCTCTGAGTGACGGTAGACATATGGACAAACTACTACACAAAGGTGTTCCGTTGAACTTACATTGGATAAAGCAAGTTCTTCTGTTATCAATCCACTTTCTCACAACAGTTGTCACAGGTGCACTTGCTTTCTGACGTCACCATCTTATGTGTATGATGTTTCCTCGGAAGAGTCGCTTCCACTGTCAGAATGACCGGAAGTCCGTGTACCATCACATACTGTCAAGGACAACTATCCTCAAATACATTATTTATGACAAGTCTTCTGTTGAATCGAATGCAATAACAAGACAATATTGAGTATCCAAGTATGAAAACTTAATAGGAGATATTGAAAGGCCAGGCCATAGTTTGTTTCAATGTGTAGATTCTGTTAATATTTTTAATAAATATATATGACCGTCATGGAGGACGTAATTTGTCCGTTTATGCTAATTTAATAATTATATTTTAGTATCAGTTATAACTGCCTATAAACCTACTCAGTTTGATGTTAGTAAAATACATTATGATCGTATTTTACAAACATTAAACTACATCTAGGACATCCTTAGACAGGTTTAATAGACTCGATACAACTGGCTGTTGAAACCAGAATCCATGCAGACGATTTTGGTGGAACTTGGCCTTGAATTGTTTGATAGGCTTTACTTAGAAGTTGACGAGGGTTATAGCGAAAACGTCACCTCAGCAAAACGTCACCGGGCAAGGAACAAGCAGTTGAAAACATCTACAAATCGGGCGCCAGTATCACCAGTATCAACCCTCATTCGCATGGCGAACTGAACCCGGGAACTGTTGCGCCCCAAAGAGCCTTCGAGGTACTACTTATAATAAAATAAACTACATAATGCTATTGTATAAATTCTCAGAATAACCGCAATTTTGTAACAGAACGAATATTGTATTTTAACTTTTATTCATATTTTCAGATTGCCGAGGACTTCTTACCTGTCCGTGTAAATACATCACATACATCCAATAACATGTAAATACATCAAATACCATGTAAATAAACCATATATATTACTACAAAAATCGTTCCTCCATTATTAAAAATAGAGGTGCCGTTTTCGCCCGACACATAGTAGCCGTTTTTGCAAAATGCGTTGCCGTTTTCGCTAGAGAAATCGGTGACGTTTTGCTGAGGTGCCGTTTTATCCTGCACCCGTTGACGGATGACAAAGTACACACAATTTATGGATAATAACTTCTTTATTTGCTGTAAAGGTGACGTTTCGGTATAGATCCTTATACCGTTGCCAGCCCTGCTTGACAAGGGTATATGTCGTGTAGACACATGACTCTAGCTGGACTCCAGGTATGACGCAACCCCTGTCTATGTGCTATATTAGTAGTCTTGCCTTGGTGAGCTTAAAACAAAATCAGACAATTGTAAAATGTTTAAAATCTAAAAGGAACCCAATAAACCATAGTGTCATGGTGCTTCACAAACGAACCCCTCTGTCAGTATTGGATGGTCTTACTCTTGTCAACATAAACAACAAAATGACAAATTAAGTTTCTAAATCTCACATGGAACAATTACAGTATCTGGTTATTATTTGCGCCAAGTCATATCTTAAAATGCTTCTGTCAACCACGTAAAATGGACGTTTAGTCAGTCGGAGTCATCTTCCCGAGGCAAGAGAGTTAACTGACTTTAAAAGTCCAGTTTCCACCATTGCCGAACTATGCTGGAATTACTGGGCTCGATCGTAGCTCCACCATGGCTATTACGAGTTATGTCCCTTCTAAGCCTCTCCTATGGACCAATCAGATTCCACCTCTCGTATTCACATGCATTTGCTTCAAACAAAATGGCGGCGCCCAGTCAAGAAGATCTGGTCGATAATCAAGATCTACATTGTGATAAAACAGGTCTTATATCGCGAAGTGCATCAAATTACAGGAGCATCTTGAATAAAAACATGAAGAGATTTTGAAAATATCTGTTGACAACGAGTTGGCGGTGCACATGCTTTGCAAATCCTGCAATCGACCACAATCTGCATGACAGTTTACGAACCGGATTTCGATTTCATTGCGCGATTTTGATTTGACTATGCATAGACTCGTTAGTCCAGCCAAAATGCAACTCCATAATACCAGCCTAGTTCGGCAAGGGTGGAAACTGGACTTTTATAGTCAGTTAACTCCCTTGCCCCGGGGAAATGGTCGGAGTCGGCCATGTTCGCGTTTGGCGGGAATAACAAATAAAGTATATTTGTATTGCAACGTTCAAAGTTATATACCGACAGTCAAATATTTTCTCTGTTTCGTTTGATAATTTAAGTTAATAAAGAATATTCGAATGAAAAATATTTTAAAATGCTTTTACGGGCTGTTTTTATCGCTTGGTGTCAATTCAAGAAAACATTTCGTTGTACTCAGTTCTTGCTGGTTCACGGTCTAGATATAAGCGCTTGTCAGAAAACAACATACATTCTTAAAGAGAGAAGCGGTGTCGGACCATTTGACAGCGTTGAAGTCACTCAGGCATGAAACAACTTGTTTGTTTGACAAAACGTATACTTGGCAAAACGTCTACACTGATGATACTTGATTAATGGTGCACGTACTGGACCATGCACTTTGTTGGTTTAGTGTGTAAAAGATGTTGGGAATACCGCTCAGGACGGGCAGTAAACCCGCTTGGCCCAGATTGAAAATGTATAGCATAATTGGACCTCTTAAAAAAATGTACCTTTAATTTATCTGCATTCGTATATAATCCATTATAAAAAGAGGCAAGGATGTTTGTCTATTTGTTTCGAAACGTCTGTATCTTTTTCAGATTTATTTGTTTTCAGGAATTTTCGTACCTGGCATTACGTAAGCCATTGCTCATAGTGCCATGTAAAAACGTCCAAGAAACCTTTAAAAACAACTTTATAAAAAATAAGTGATCCGTCTACTGTATTTTCTATTCGGTTTATCAGAAAAGAGTATTAGGCTACCTCGTCTTTTAAAATAGTTATCCAACAGGTGCCGGCAGTGGTATGTCATGATAGAAATAGTTGTAAGGATAAACTTATCTGTGTACCGGAAGTGAAATAACCGCTGCGAGCTGTGGCTGCGTACTTTCCAAGTTGCGAGGAAACTTTTCCCCAGTTTCTGAGCAACTAGAGATATTTAAGTCTTGAAAAGAGAAAAGAGAGGGGCAAATACCTCCCCTTAGATGAAAAATGACATGGCGATCCCGAGTAGAAAGGGTACTAGATGTGGCTCTACGCGTCCCTTCCCTGTTCGTCATGGACAGTATTTTTCTGGGGAACTTCCTGAACCTGTTCATCACTTACGATCCAGAAATGGCATGGAGAAGCTATATGATGTGGTTATTCGGAATGGTCACATGTATGTATTTTGCCTCAAATGCGTAAATCATCACTTTCTGATTTCAGTATGTCAGTAGTCATTCAACACTTTATGTAAGCCTTGTTTTTAAATATTCATGTTAAAAGTAATATTAGAAAGGAAAGTAGGCCTAGCCTAAGCAATCTACTTGGAACCAATGCTATATGGAATTTATGATGCAATATGAAGTCTTCAATATTTATGATTTTGTTTGAATGTTATTGAGAAAGTATGTTACAATATTCTTATAGGTCTACTGTAGCAATGTTTCACAAATGATAATGTGAAAAGCCCATTTCTGAAGCGCAAGTAAACTCAAACATTGCAACTTTGCCGAAATTAATACGTTAGGGTATACTTAATTGCAAAGGCTTGACTAAAATTAAATTTGAAAAAAAAACCCCTGAAAAATAGCATTAACCACCTGGATGCCACAGGGACATATATATATCCTTCCTCTACAACCCTCACTTTGAAGTCGAATCAAATTCAAAATACATCACCCACACAAATACACTTCACAGTTTTGAATAAGGTGGGAAATTCCCTGTTATGTGATATTATCCACTGGCATTTTAGGCCACGCAAAAGTACTGAAAATGACCTCTGAAAATTAGGTACATCGTAAATGTCGCCATTTTTTACACATTACTAAATCACCACTCACAGCGTTATTTACATCATGTTTTGAAACCTGAACGTCGTATATTCCCATGGAGAAATGAATTTAAAAAAATAGCATATTAGTGATCACGGGTATCTGTCTTTTATCAAATCACCAATGATCATTCCAAAACGTCTTCGGTGACCCTAGAATAGTTTCGAATGTTTTGGAAAATACACGAATGCCGAAGTGAACTTTCTGCCATATTGGATAGTGTTTACTAAATCATGTTTCAGGTACACCGGTTATTAGACGCCTGTAACATCACGTATATTTCAAACTTAGCTGCCACAGATCTAGATACATCCTTGAATTCCTCATACATTTTAGAATCAAATGACCAATGGTCTTTGTCACCAATACAAAGTGGCTAGATGAAATCAAGAAAAATAAGTTAGGTGTGAAAACGAATACTGTGCTAAAAAAACTGCACTTATTTGAAATGTAAACAAAGCAAAATTCAGATTTTACAGTGTAGCATTTTCACCTATTTTGAGCTTTCCATTTGTCTATTCGTTCAAGATATTGGCTCAACATTTTCAGAATATGCATGGGAAGAGAATTGAAGGAAGAATTAGGGAATTTAAAATAGTTGCATTGCCATGATTTGATATTTTCAACAGAAATTGTCAAAGTTAGTGTCCTGTGTGACGCCATGACTGACGCAAAATCACGCACAACAATATTTATCGGATTCTGACTATTTCCGTTGGTTTCAATGAAAATTATAACAAATAACAGTACATAGATTGTCAGAATGTTTCTGTTTACTACATGTCACATTTTTGTATATACGATCCCTGAATCAACGAAAGTCCCCTCTTAAAATCCGGCGTACTGATGACAGTGAACACACCATTTTGTAAAAGTCGGTCACCAGTAGTGATGTCATACGTCAACATTGTTGTACATATTTGGTAATTTCTTTGAGGTGAAGGTCCTTGAATGAGAGTGCACATGATCATTGTATCATGCTGTTTACAGTTTCAGTCATGATGTAGATTTTACATATCTTTTATACATTTTTTCACACAATTATTTTCACTTTGGATATTTGTCAATGTTCAAAATGGTATCATACGTAAATATAGGCAACAAAATGTATGAACGAACCTTTGATAATCTCCTGTTTGTTTGAACATTGTTAACAAAACAATTGATAGGTTTATAGTGTCGAAATAGTGTTGTTTGAAATATTCATTTGGGTATGTCATTACGTAAACTGATGCCAAACAGGTGCGTGTCTTGTCCAATTAAGATACACAATAAACTATCTAATTGTTTACATATTGAAGACATTATTTAGTGAATTTTATGTTGTGTCGAAAAAGCGTAAAATTCCGTTTTACACATCAAGATTTTCCATACCATGAACGAAAATTAGGGGAGATATATAATAATCAAAATACCAGTGTCGTCTTTCTCCAACGTTATCAAAGACATAAAACCAGCCATGACGTCAAAAGGAATGGTGTTATTTTTGGGGTATTTCATTACATTTGATGAAAAGTCTGGTGCTCCATTAATAATGGTGCAACATTAGTCAAACAATCTCATTAAAATCAGACCTTAATCCTCGCTACCGATAAACAAAGATCTGAAGACATCCCATTAGGGGTCATGTCAGAACGACCTTTCATCTGACCAATCAGAGCATCGCTTACCAGATCATGAAAGTGACAGTCGGAATGTGATTTCTAATCATACAACCTCGAAAACTTTAATAACACGGGGTATTCATTCGGGGCATAGTTACAGTTTTAACGACTGAATCCATACAATCTAGACCATATATTAGCCATTCCAGAATGTTCTTTTCTTTAGGTTTCAAATTTGTAATCAAGAATTTGTCAAGATATGTTTCGAAGCGTAGTCGCCAATTTGAAATTAGTGCCGTAAATCACGAGAAAGCTGCCTTCTGATTGGTCATTCCATTGGTCGGTCAAAGTTTGCGCAAGGTCTGTCTGACGTGACCCGTAATGGGATGTCCTCAGATCTTTGTTTTGCGGTAGCGAGAACTAAGATCTGATTTAAATGAGATTGTTAGTCAAATTACACTTACACAATCAGGAGAATGTTGGAATCTAAGGACTAAGTTATAGGTTAGATAGGGCCATCCACTCCTCTCTTACCTTTTTTTATGAAGTATGATTTCATCGTTTCTTATGTTGTTGTTTTTATAACTAAACTTATACAGTTTCTATATGGATATTTGTGTTGGAATAGTTTGGTTTCTCATGAAGAAAACACCACGAAAATATATTGTCCTTACCCACAGCTAATTCACACCAGGTGACCTGAGTTACAATAAACTAGTGCTAAGCATAGCCGAGTTATGCCCCCTTTTCTTTGTACGTGTGTAACCTCTCTGTCGCCTTTTGATGTCATAGAGAAAAATCAGTTTTTGTCATTTACGGCATGCTATTATTGGCATTGAATGTATGTCGTTATACATACGCATATACCTCCATTTGATATGTAGTTATGTCGTTAAGATATGAGGCAGTATTTTGTTTGCTCACAGTTTCCGTAAAGCATCTAAATAAAAAAATAGTCGCGCAGTACTTTTATTGGTGTACGATAAAAAGCGGAGAAATTTACTGTTTTTCAACGCAAAATATATTCTCGGACAACACTTAGAAGTGTCTTTTTATCCCCCGCCGCGCGAAAGCGCGAAGCGGGGGATATAGTATTCACGACCGTCCGTACGTCCGTCCGTCCGTACGTCCCACCTGTTTGTTGCCACGATATCTCAAGAACTAAACACTGGATTGTCTTCATATTTGGAACTATGGTGCATATACAGACTCCGCAGACACCAGTCGGTTTTGGTGACCTTGACCCCATTTTCAAGGTCACAGCAGGCATATCTGCTTTTGGAGTTGGAAAACGGTGTTGCCGCGATATCTAAAGAACTAATCTCTGGATTGTCTTCCTATTTGGTACTAGGGTGTATATACGGACTCCGCAGACACCAGTCGGTTTTGGTGACCTTGAGCTCATTTTCAAGGTCACAGCAGGTAAATCTGCTTTTGGAGTTGGAAAACGGTGTTGCCGCGATATCTCAAGAACTAATCGCAGGATTGTCTTCATGTTTGGAACTATGGTGTATATACAGACACTGCAGACACCAGTCGGTTTTGGTGACCTTGACACCATTTTCAAGGTCACAGCAGGCAAATCTGCTTTTGGAGTTGGAAAACGGTGTTGCCGCGATATCTCAAGAACTAATCACTGGATTGTTTTCATATTTGGAACTATGGTGTATATACAGACTCCGCAGACACCAGTCGGTTTTGGTGACCTTGACCCCATTTTCAAGGTCACAGCAGGTAAATCTGCTTTTGGAGTTGGAAAACGGTGTTGCCGCGATATCTCAAGAACTAATCGCAGGATTGTCTTAATATTTGGAACTATGGTGTATATACAGACACCGCAGACACCAGTCGGTTTTGGTGACCTTGACCCTATTTTCAAGGTCACAGCAGGCAAATCTGCTTTTGGAGTTGGAAAACGGTGTTGCCGCGATATCTCAAGAACTAATCGCTGGATTGTCTTCATATTTGGTATTTTGGTGTATATACAGGCGGGGGACATTTCGTCACTTCTGTGACAAATACTTGTTTTAAATCTGGTTTAATATTTGCAGTTACGTTTACACCATCAAATAGGAAATTTAATATTCTCCACCTCTGCGTAATTTTATAGCCAGAGGTAGATCCAGTGCCGCATGAGTGCAATTCTCGCACAACCTTCACTTTTCCAATCTTCGGAAAAGGTGCGTCAGAAAAAAAACTCGGCATCCAGAGGGTGAACAGATGATTAGAAAATGACAGGCGAAATGGTCCCCCTAAAAGGAATTCACTACGGGTGTTTGACAGGCTGCACAGTTTAAACAAACAGGCCAGCCAGTCCCCAGTCTTCCTGCTTCCACCTCAGATTTTCAAAGCACATTACTGGGCTTTTTTCTGTCTGCTCATGCAACTGGTTATTGTGTCCATTACTTATGCCAAGAACTAGTAACAACATAAAAGATGCCTTCAGTTGTCTCCTCACGGGATTAATCCCACACAGGCTTTTATTGTGAGGAGTAGGACCAAGGGCAGCAGTTGGTTTATTGTACCAAAACAGAATGTCGGTCATAAAAATCCTGGTTACAAACATTAATTATTCACAATGTCAATATCAAAGGTCATTTCAAACACTCAGTGTATGCAATTTCATTTTTGTAGGATTAACAGAAATCATGGAGATAGCAACAGTTTTAGACTTCAACAAGGGGAACCATTGAAAGATTACTTGTGTTTTCTTTTCTTAAAATTTCGAATTGAGTTGGTAAAGAAATGAATCTGAATGAATTAGAAATGAATTAAAAAGCTGAATAGCTGGTAGACAGAATCCTTAGATTGGCAGGGTTTTACCTTGAACTAAAAGACTAGAGGTCCAGAGGACCCCCAAGACAAATTTCAAGGGTCCTGTAAAGTAATGAAATGATGTAGTGTACTGTACTGTAAAATTTAATAATTACTTTGATTACCATAATTTCAGGAACTTTATATTTCTTGTCAAAAGTTATGTACAATGAATATTATTGTGCATCCCTCAGGACGAAATATAAATTTGTCCGCGTCTATTCTATACATTTGTTTGTACAGGACACACTTTTCTGCATCACCATTGATCACTTAAAACCCTGGATTGGTCAGTCAAAGTTAGCTCAGGGTCAACCTGACATGAACATTACAGAGGGGTTGTCAGATCTCCAAGCAGAGGGATATCGTAGCAGAGTCACACTAACATATCTGATTTTAATGAGACTGCTTAGTACCAATCCATTTATTCAATGTTAAAACTCAAAACCATGGCAACTTCAACCTTCTCAACTATTGTTTACAAACACTTGAGAATAACCATGACAACAAATTGACTAACTATAAAACACAAAAAGTAGACTTTAGCTGCTACAGTACATGCAAGCGTGATACTAGATATGTTCATGGCATCCATAGTTAAATTCCAAGACCAAATTAATCTCTAGTAGTACATCATGCTTGGCATAATATCGAACTAAGACATGACAGATGATGGTTAGGACGTGTGTCTGACTGTGTGACAACATACCTTGATGGTGTGCAATGTTGTTTTTGCCATCAACAATTCAGGGTCTAAGCATTGGTTCATTTTCCTGGCCATGGACTAATTTTCATCCAAAATGTCCTGAACATTTTTCTCAAATTTTGTTATTAAATATAGAAGAATGTCCAATCAAGAGTTGTTGAAATCATGAAAATATCTTAATGACGCTTGTCTATTGCAAAATCACTGCATGTAATTATAACTATAAGCAATAGACTTTGCCCCTTACTTGAAAGACTATATCCTTGTCAGGGTTTCAGATCATATTGCTTTCTAGGATATTGATTGATTGTTATCCAAAAAATATTGAAGATATTTTTCAAATTTGGTAAAGATATAGAAGAAAGTCCAACGAGATGTAGATGACATCATACAAATGCCATTTGTCATGACTAGATGCAAGGCTTTATTGATGTTTATTCCTCTTTCTAAAGGTTTCTTCTCTTCATGCCTGATGTTCTGCCTGGACTTGAAGCAGCTGCTGGAGGTGTACAGCTACCTCATCTCCTTCGGGGCACTCCTCCTGTCCCACTGGCTTAACATGGCATATGTCCTGGACGTCTACACTACTGAGATAGAGAAGTACGCTTACACCGGCCCTCGCAGTATGATCCATCTCCTGACTGACGACCCCTACAGCTTGATCGCCAACTTCATGTTTCAGATCAGCTTGTCACATCTCTTCATTGTGTTACGAACAAGCCGCTACTCTTACAGGCAGATCGAAAATAACAACAGTATGCAGTTTCTGTTACGGCTGAGTATATACCTATCACTCGTTGCTCCACTGTGTCTAAGAGCCTTCTATTGTGATTCCCATCTATTTTTATGGACACCATTCCTTGCGCTCTCCATACCAGTATTGCAGCTGGTGTCCGATCTTTATAACTCACTGTATTTTATAGTTGTCACATTGAAACGTGCATACTATATAGCAACAGTGGCAGTTCAGGCTGCAGGTATTCAGGCATTTTTAGAACATCATTGGCAAAGGATTCATGTTCCTGATGTGCTTCGAGTGTTTTTCATTGTCAGACTTGTTCATCAAATAATGATTCATGTAGTCAGTAGTATCTATGACAGTTACATAGAAACTGGGGTACTGTCATATTTCCAATGGGATCTCTCATCAAGTCTGTGGCAGCAATTGCTTGTGCGGAGTTGTGAGACAAGCGTAGCGCTTCTGGGACTGACTAGTGTTGTGTCTCTGATGACTCATTACATAGGGATGATTATGGCTGCATGTGTAGGATCGGAAACTGAAGAGGATCGCAACATGGGCACAGTGGCAGCCATTTTGTTTTTTATATTAGCCCTTCAGACAGGACTGACGAGTTTAGATCCTGAGAAAAGATTACTCCGACTGTATAGAAATTTCTGCCTTTTATCAACAGCAATTTTACATTTTGTTCACAATATGGTGAATCCTTTACTAATGTCTCTGAGTGCATCCCGGAGTACAAATGTGGCACGTCATCTACGTGCATTAGGAATGTGTGTGTTTCTTATAGTATTTCCTGTGTGGCTGTTGACATTCCTGTGGACCCATCATAATGCAAGCACATGGCTACTAGCTGTTACTGCATTTAGTATAGAAGTGATAATCAAAGTTTTTATATCATTGCTTGTTTATTTATTATTTATGATTGATGCATATCGTGATTCCTTCTGGGAGAAGTTGGACGACTATGTGTATTATGTTCAGTCGACAGGAAATACGATAGAGTTCCTGTTTGGAATTTTCTTATTTTGCAATGGTGCATGGATTATGGTGTTTGAATCCGGTGGTGCAATAAGAGCCGTGATGATGTGTATCCATGCTTACTTCAACATCTGGGTGCAGGCAAAGGAGGGATGGAAGGTGTTTATAAAGAGGAGGACTGCTGTAAATAAAATCAACTCTTTGCCGGTGGCGACACAGGAACAGTTAGAAAGTGTCAATGATGTGTGCGCTATATGTTATCAAGATTTGACCAGCGCTCGTGTTACGCGCTGTCAACATTTTTTCCATGGTGTGTGTTTAAGAAAATGGCTTTATGTGCAAGATAACTGCCCTCTCTGTCATGAGTTAATATACAAGCCAGAAGGGGAGACAACAACTTCTCCAAATGTGCCAGAGGTTTGGGAGAACCATGTGAACAGGGCACGTGCACAGGTGGTACATCGCTTCCAGCCACACCCTAACCAAGTCCGCCTTGCGGTGCCCCAACAGCCACAAATTCAGCCCTTCCCCCTTCAGAACCATGTTGTTCCACCTCAACAGGCACAAGTACAAGCCCCCGCTCAAAGAGTGATGCACCCTCACCAGGAGTAGAAGTGACTGGTGGGTGTGGTACTTCTTGGTATCGTCTCATACATTTTCCATTATCAGCAACTATGTATCATGAAGTTACATATGGATCCAGACTGAAATATCAAATATCAATGCAACTTATCCCTCAAATATTTTAACTATTACCGACTATCGGTCATGTAGGATTTGGTTAGGTAGTAGTTTACCTTATACCATGGAATAGTTGCCTGATGAAATGGCTGTAATCATCTGAGAATTACAAACCGACAAGGACATATGTAAGTGTTGAGTTCTTGTAATGGCGAGAACAAACATGACCATGATTACCATGGTGATTGTGTTTACAGTGGAACCACACAATCCTCGATTTGTGCAGGATTAGAAAATAATAGTTAAGAGGTTTATTGGAATGTAGAAAGAACAAGCCCTGTTACTAGTTTAATCTTTGAGAAAAAAAATGTTTCATCCCAGTAAAGGAGTTTGTGGCTGGTTCTATGCAGTTACATTGTATTTGTGACACTGTCACAAGCAAAATCTGAAACAAATTCCCACCAGCTCCCACTTACATGTGATGTAAAACAATGAAGTAAGGGATAAGTCATGTTCAGTGGGGATAATGAACTTGGGTTGTTTTCGGGGGCATTTTAAGAATCAGCATCTCAACATGTTTTCATGTGTATTTTATTCTAATCAAATGTCTGTTTTTCAAAATGAAAGTATCCCAATAAAGAGTAGTGTTTGTATATATCATACATGTCCGAAGACTGTGAGTTGAGTTAACGCTGGTTATATCTAGCATGAATATATATTTTTTGGCTACCATACATTTATGAATATGATATTTAGGCATAGTCGGTGAATAGCTTTCCAAATTGTGTAAGGCCCTGTGTTTGTTGCTGACACATATTATGTACAGGATTCTGCAAACATAATACACAAAGGTTTGCATCAAAATCATATGGTTTAACATGCTGATAGACTTGTTGCACATGGACTATACATGTGTACAGAAACACTATGGACAAACAGTCTTTTTTTATTTTTAACTACAAATTGTTAACAGGGGCTAAAGCTTAAATATTTTATTAATGACTTCTACGTAGTTGGAAGATATAAAGAGAAGCTGGGAAAGTGCAATTTTAGAGTTTATCCGTGTAGACAATGTAATGGTATCTTCTCAGCTATGAGTGTCCCACATTCAGGGTCCTGCAGCCATTAGGTTCCCCTGTATTATGTTGCAGTGTTTATCATGCAAGTTACCATAGTTACAGGAATTGAACCGACTAATATACCTGCACAACCTGCAGGTTGACTTGGGAGGGACCTCTGTTCAGTGTCGAGTGCATGTTGGTAGCTTGAAGGCTTGTTCTTTCACCACTGAAGGCCACAGGCCATCATCCCTGCATACATTTGTCCGTGGGCAAAAGAACCAGTAGTTTGTTTCCCATTCCTGCTTCTTGTATCCCAAGCCCTCTGTCACACGGATACCTCAGTGCTATGACTGTCATCACCACCATACTTTAGTATAGACCATGACAGAGTCGTTCGATTGCATGATAAAACAGGACCCTGTTGTTTGTAGATGACACTCCTCCATGTATCATAGCTTGATGTATTCCTATGAAATGTGAGCCATATTCTGCACAATCTATATATTCTATAAGACTAAGAATAACAAAGGGTAATTATGTTACCAGGTGGTCAGGCTCGCTGACTTGGTTGATGCATGTCATTGTATCCCAATGGCATGGATCAATGCTCATGATGTCAGTCACTGGATTGTGTGGTCCAGACTCGATTTTATACAGGCCGCCGTCATATAGCTGGAATATTGCTGAGTTAAACAACAAACAAAACAAATCTTAAACCCCAGTAGAGCAACATTACACCTTGTCTTCATGGTTTGACCTAAATCCCTGTCACGTGAGGAAATGCAGTCCTCTTTGGATGTAAGTAAATCACAGATTTCAGATAAAAGGCACTGTGTGTTGTTTCCAGACATTGCTAGAGTTGACTAGGAGTCATGAAAATATGAAGATAGGTAGTTTGAAGAACGACTTGAGTAAATGAAAATTGATTACAAGGATAGAAATTACAGAATAAACTTGATTATGATTGTTTTAAGATTATAACTGAAAATAAATGAATTTATTGTGTTACTTCCAAATGTATCATCATCAAATATACAACATCATTTGCAAATGAACAGAATAGTTAACAAAATGAATTCAATATTCAAGCCAGCCTGTCAAAATACCACCTTTGTGATTGTGAAAAAGAGTTGGCATTTAGTAAAAACATATGCCATGGTTAGCCATTGCATTTTCCAGGTTTTAAATCTCATCAACATTTTTAACCAAACCTGTTGTGGCACCCATACACATTTATTTTATGACATTACAAGATATGTAAAGGGGGATGGTGGAAAACATTGTGTATCAGGGACTTCTACATTCCTCACCTGACGACAGGAACCTCTATCTCTATTTGTGTGTGTTCCCTATGTACTACAACTGCCGACAACATCCAGTTAAAGGGAGACTACTCCATGGTCTCTGTCGTTTCCTGTCATGTTCATTGTGATTAGTGCCTTGTGTGGTTGCTTTTTATTTCTGGTAACCATGGTAGCAAGATATGGCTATATTGAATTAGATCATAAAAATGGTAAGTCATGTCAGATGTTTTGCAGGAGGCAAGACTAAAGTTGGAAAGCACAGCATGTCATGATACTTATGCATATGCATGTTTCAAGTTGAACAAAAATATTTCCTGGATCACAAATAATGTTCTAGGTCTAACAGGCATGATAAGAATAATGTTGTGGTATTGTTTACGCTTAACTTCAAAATATGGTTTGGGTAGGTAGGCATTTTGTCCACTCACATGCATGTTGGGAACTACTGTTAGCCAGCAGTGTTTGGTATATACTTTCATGTGTGCTCTTTGTTTTGTCATGAAGAGAGACAGCACCTTAAGAAAGGGTAGGTGAGGTAACCATATCAAACTACACTGGGGGACTTGGAGCCATACCTGTGCTCATTGGTGTCACAAAAATGGTAGATGATTGCCACATGCATCACTTCAGGCTTCCTCCCACATTAGGTTTGATCATCTGATCAACTGATTAGTTGAATATTGTTGTAAGTGATGTTAATCGATACTAACAAACATTCATTCTTATCACATGATGAACATGCTTATAAACACGATAAAGTGAAAATACATGTGTGGCAACTTAACAATTTCAGATAACACCCATTAAGGTGTATTTATTTTCATTTACCTATTTCATGAACAAAAGGATAGGGTTGTATTGGCAGACATCTCACCACTGGTATATGCATAATTATTAAATCATCAGGTCAAGGGCATGTAAATATTTTGATGATTAATTTCATAACTTTTGGATAAAATCAGTTTAACAATATCAATGTAACCAACTTGGCAAATAATGCATATTGAAAATATGTAATGAATTGGTCTTTTTAGGTGCATTATTTTGATATTCCACATAGCAACATGACAGTGTATGAAGGTTTTGGTATTAAAATCCTTGATAGTTGATACTTGAAGGAGATGGATCATCATGAAAAACATATGCATGTGTCAGGGACACAAATAAATTCATTGTGGCCAATTACTGTCAGAATGGCGTCTTGGTAGTGTGTGCTTGTTGAAACAAAGTGACTCAAATGATGGCTGTAGTGTATTAGAGAAACAGTAGACAGTTAGGAAGTGTAAAAAACTTTCTGCAACTAAGCATTTTTCTGTTGATCTGAAATGTTCTAGGAGCCCTTGAAACCGAGCCCTGTCTTGCATGTGTGTTCTGATGTGTTTATTGAATAATTTAGGCCCAGGAAGTAGTTCACATATAAATGACAGCTGTCCTTATTCAGCAAGTAATGTTTTGAAAATGCCAAAGATTATCACTTGAGACATAACATTCCTTGCTCCATGTATCATACCAATGTCTCAGTGTCATTGTGATGTCTCCCTCTGCTGTCCTACCAAGTACATAGTTGAAATAATTTGCTACAGAATGCAATTGTATGTGTAATATAAAATCTGAGTTTCTACACTCAGTAGAGGCTATACCTAAAATTTTTCAGAAGAAAGTTGAATAGAAATAATGTAAAGTTATCTTTGCTTGCCAGCTGCTCTATTTGTGATCGATTTGAAAACTAGACAGATGCTGTTAATACTGGTACACAGCATAGTATATGTCCTCTGAAGACAACAGAAGTGAACTTATGTACGAGATAATGTTTCTGTTCAAATAGTTATAAAACATGCTGCACATTTATTGTTTCACCACTAAACTGCCTGACTAATCAACTTAATGCCAAGTAAACTAAACAATATTGAGCAGTACAAACTTATTGTTCAATCTACGCAAGGTGATTTGTAGATTAAAAAACAAAATAAAAATATTGTCATATAGGACAGTGTGTAGCTACTGATGATGGGAAAATGACCCACAGGTCGGATGGGGCTGTTATCAGTCGGACTGTGGATGATTATATCAGAAAACACAGTTAAATACCATTTGGGGGAGAAGTTTATAGATCCAGGTTCATGCATCAGCTATCCAGTTTGTATTCTGGGAATGGAACAATTACATAGGCTTCATTGGAGGGTTTTATGCAATGTGGCGAGTGTGGTTCAGAGAGGTGTTGATGTGCATATGACCTTCCATTCAGATATACATGTAATGCTGGATTTCTGCACCGGTTTGTTATTGCATGTTTCCCTGTGACTGAAAATGTTGTTGATGAATGGTAAATGAGACTGAACAATAACTAAGCCACTTCTCTGACTCATCTGTGATACATGTAAATCTAGAGTGTTGTTAATATAACATTTTTGTTACAAGTTAAACATTTCAATTTGATAATATGTACACAGGATTGTATATGTCATCGCTTTGATTTATCCAGTGATAAAATAATTTATCAAGAAAATATTTGTAATAAATAATACTTCTTTAGAAAAAGAGTTTGTTATGAAGTCTTTCAGTGTTGTATCAAACCCAAGGCTACAAAAGTAAATGTCACAGGGAGAAAAGAATGCCTTCCAAAGACCCCACATGCTCAGCGTTTCAGTCAATTGGGAGATCAACATAATGTGTTTCTGCTGATGTTATACAGTATTTGATATATGTGATATGCAGGTCTCCGACAATTACCACTTTGGGGAAACCATGAGCACAAACCTAGAAACATAATTGGGATGAACCAGGATTCGAACCCACAATCATAGGTTTTGGCATGCCCAAGGGACACAACTCTGTGCAGTGCCTGAGACGACTGTGACACCGGTGCCCCTTCTATTTTGAGCATATATACATGTATTATTATCATAGCAAGCAAATCTGAATACACGTAAAAATACTGAAGGTAACTTTGAACATACATCTCAACCAATCAGATTGCAGAACACAAATCAGCAGTATTTCACCCATATCACAGCTGCCTGCAACTATGCTTGGAAGGCACACCAGTAGTTGACAGCAGAAGTAACAGTCCTTATCATCAGGCTGCCACAGAATCAAGCAGGCCACACATTGCAACCACATCGGAAGCATCAGGTGTTTTGGTCCTAGTCTGCACTGAAAATCCCCACCGAGGAAACAAGATAACGTCACAAGCTTCACAAAACATCAGACCCAATAGGGTGATGCAGATGTGCGTTGGGATAGAGCATGCTTATAACTTGCAGTAGACTCACTGCTAAAAATATCTGATTTCATATATATTTGAACCCATACAACTAAATGAAACCAGTAGGTGCTATCAAAAACATATAAAGCCATGTGGAATAAACACAACCAGTAATAGCCCAGAACTCGGAATGTGCGTTTATTGTCAAAGGAGTTTTGCCTTGCATCAAACCATTGCTGATCCCTTTCAATAGGATTTTGCCTTCTGTGCTATTTATCAATGATTATTCTGAATGATCTACATAACAAGTATGTTTAAAAAGGACTTTTCCTTGAAGAGGTGAGGTGAAATTGGGTTTAACTTTGCGTCCAAGATTATTGCACTTTTATAGCGACATGCATGCACGTGTGTGTTTGTGGCTGCTTGTACTAGTCCGGACTGATGCCGATTTTTAATGCTAGCTGAGCCTAGCTCACCGAGATACCATGCCCCAGTGTAACATTGATACCCCACTCAGACACATTAGACTGACTCCGAGCCGACCAGTCCATGTTTTAGCCCCTTAATACCGAGTGCCAGACAGCGTAATAAGTACCATCTTTTAACATCTTTTCGTATGACGCGACCGGGGATTGAACCCCGGACCTTCCGCTCTCCGGGCGGACGCTCTACCTCTAGTCTTTGAAGAAAGCTTCAGTCAGCAGTATGATTTTGGTTTGCTTTGTTGTTTAACGCCGCACTCAGCAATATTCCAGCTATATGACGGCGGTCTGTAAATAATCGAGTCTGGACCAGACAATCCAGTGATTAATATCATGAGCATCGATCCAAGCAATTTGGATCGATGACATGCATCAACCAAGTCAGCGAGCCTGACCACTCGATCCCATTTGTCGCCTTTTACGACAAGCATAGTCACCTTTCACAGGGAAGCATGGGTTGCTGAAGACCTATTCTACCCCGGATTTTTTTCAGGGGTCAGTCAGCAGTATGAAAGTACACCAGTGAATACAAAACAAACAATTTATTTTGTGTTTATGTTATCTACAATTCTGAAATAAATATCAGTTTCAAGTTGATACAAATAAATAGCCAGTTCTGTAGGGACAACTAACCATTCCAACCAAGTATTTCATCTGGTGTACACTGAGCCGGAAGAGATGGCAAAATCAAGGATCTTTGAAGGATTATGGCAGTACCTAACATGAGTCAATATTTTCCATCACATAGGCAAGGTGATTAGAAATGATATTATTTAAGTCTTTAGAAATACTCATTAAAACTCTAAAATTTTCTTTATCATTGAGAACACCTGATGGCATTGCCATGAAATCTGTTATTGATTTATGCACCTGACTGATCTTCTGAAACAGAACTTGACTTAGTGGAATCTTGAGCACTTTACACAGCTCGGTGAAGTTAGACAACCAGTTGAAGTATTCCTGGCTGGCAAAGTCAGGGTCTTTCACATAATCCACACCATCGGTGGTGGCAGCTGAGAGAGTGGCAGCAGCCATGTCTTGCTCACTCATCGCAACCGTGGCAACATTTGACGGTCTGTTATCTAACTGAACAATACTAGTCTCCAGTTGATTGTCTGCTGTCTGATACTGAATCTCATATATCTGTTGCTCATCATTACCCTCGGCCAACTCCTGTATAATCTGGTATGCAGTCTCCACAGGGAGTGCTCCATTGTCTCCCTTCCCATCTTCCTGTACCTCTGCAATGGCAATAACAGTCTTTTCAACATTCCCATTCTCAGATTGAATCAATGGCAAATCACTGAGAGGGATCTCTATTTGATTCTGTTCATTCTGTGGGCCAATCTCTGTTTCAGTTTCTGATTGGTCCTTGTCTCCTCCGCCCTGATTGGATGGAGAAGCAATTTCAACTTCCTGCACAACAAATCCAGTGTTCAGATTCTGAATGAGACTGACAATCTTCCTCTGATTGGCCAGAGCTTCCACATCAATCTGTCCTGCAGATTTCTTTTGAGTCCCTGGCATCATGATGTTGACAACGGTGGTGTCAGACGGGTCAACCAAGTGATGACCACCAGCCATGGTCACCTGCTCACCCTGTTTGACCTGGCCACCATGCCACCGAGACATGTGCACTCGGATCTGATTCTGTCTCTTGAATTTCTCTCCACATAGAGCACACTCAAAGGGCTTTGTGCTCATGTGTTCACGGAAATGTCTACGTCTACTTGATGGATCACTGAATTTGGCAGAACACACTTCACATTCATAGGGCTTCACACCTGAAACACACAGCAGCATCTAACTAACCATGCAAACTGACCAATTTTCCTTAAATGTAAAATGACAAGATAACTTAGCTTGACAATTAGCATGAAACTAACAAAGAAGCTTGAACAATTTAAATATGTAAACATTTCTTCTGATTTTAATTGTGACACTAAACACATTTTACCAAACAATACTGACCTGTATGTATGATCTTATGTCTGGCCAAGTCTGATTGATGAGCGAAAGCTTTGGAACACTTGTCACATTGGAAAGGGCGTTCACCTAAGAAAACATAACACCCAAATGTAATTGTAAAACACCCCAAAACAAGAAGCACAAAGCCTCTGAAAGTGTCAAAAGACAAGTTCTTCGACACTACCAGCTGACAATACAACACTGGTGGTTGTCAGATCCAAGCCAAACAAACCACACAATCTGTTACTACAGACATCCATTTATTCAACCATCCAATCCTCAGTTGGGCGACCTACACCCTCTTAAGATAAGCATGACAACTTAGAACCATCAATCCTGGTTAGAACCAGAAAAAAAGATTGGGCTGCAATGAATACACCATGAGGCGATTACGATTTGTATCACGAATATAGGGTAATGAATATGAATATAAAATCACGAATACAATAAAAAGTCAACAGTTGATTTATTTTCTGTTATTCATTCAGTGAAAAAATAACAAAAATATTATATGACACGGTTTGTTAATTGATTATTATTAATATATTATACATTTATATACTGCACTTAACCAGATTCTAGTATCTGCTCAAATGCAAAAGTGACCAGAGACCACAATACTGTCAAACTAAATATAATAAGTGTGTTGTCTTTGAAGAAATCTATGCATATAATATGTTCTTATGGATATTTTTAGGTACAGGGTATGTAAATGTACATGATTGCATATTCATAAATATTCGATTCTAGTGGCCACGAATAACAAATTCAATTCATGAATGGATACGGTTCGATTCACCGAATTCGTAAATTAATTGTGACATCCCTACTATGTCATAATGTGGATAGATAATGATTTCAAGCTGCTAGCAATATTCCTGTGACATCACTGACACCCATGGCATGAATTAAACCCCTGTCTTCAGCACTACACCTGAACCTCCCAGCTACCCCACCTCCCAGTGCAGGATAAGTCCATCTGTGCCCTTCATCACCTGTGTGCATCTTCATGTGTGATCTGAGGTAGACCATCTGTGAGAAGCGGCGGGTACATATCTGGCAGGCGAATGGTGTGTTGTTGGTGTGAGTGATGAGGTGGCGCCGGAAGCAGCTGACTTGGCGGAAGGATCTGTTGCACACCTCACACATGTAGGGCTTGGTGTTGCTGTGGATTGTCATGTGTTCCTTCAGAGTCACACTGCTTGAGAACTTCTTACTGCAATCTGTGCATTCGAACGGCTTGATACCTGATAACAAAACAAGACCCTGTCATCCAATAATATTTGCATTAAATTCTGAAACATTATACCGGTTAGACTATGGATAACGGCCCTTCAAACATCCAAAATAACTAAACTTATATAAGACTTCTGTCAATATACATAAAATGAAAAACTCCCTCTATGTCAAACATTTAACAACATAACCTGATAGAAAGTAATAAAATGAACTTTTGGCTGGAAAAGATGTTTTCCCCAGTATTAAGAGAAGTCCCTATGCTACCAGGTGTTCCCAGTTCTTTTGGAGACAATACACAGCAAGAGAGTCAAGTACTGTTGATAACAGTAAAATCTGATTGCACAGTTAAGTTTAGCTTTGTGCCATTCAAGTCAGGCTCCAACAAACTCATGGTGGCAAGGGTATTAATCATAACAGATTGCAGGAATAATAGCCTGGATAATTGAGGATAATTTCAAAATATAAATTTTTTCATAAAACATAATGTCAAGTATCATGTTTTGGACCGTTGTGATCAGCACTACAGAGCTCCAAAGAACATACCCATATGAACTAGTTTGTGTCTCCGGAGGCTCTCGTTGCTACGATAACTCTTGCCACAATCTTCATAATCACATGCAAATGGCCTGGCTGTTGTATGTGTCCACATGTGCACTTTCAAATTTCCTAGAAATAAAAGTCAAATTGTAGGTAAACAAGAAAACATTATTCAGCATCAATAGTCTTGATTTGACCAGAGAGAAGGATTGCTTTAGAAAACAATCCTTATCTTTGATTTGGTGTCAAGTCAAGTGTCAGTGAAGGTCCACCTTGTGTTACCTTTCTGAGTGAAGGTCTTGCCACATCGAGGACACTTGAAGCCTGTAGAAGTTCGGATGATTCTCCCAAGGGCCTCAATACTGTCTTCTTTAACATCAGGTGCTGAAACCAAGACACATTTCTTAGAGCTTTGTGAATATAATACCAACATGTAATAGAGAAAACTGAAAGTCATAAATGAATCTAGAATTGTAAGTAATTTGTATGTCAAGTATCCTGACATACTGTTGCATCTATGTTTCTAGGAAAGGCAAATATAAGATAAACTAGAGGTCTTTGCAAGAACAGAAACAGACCCATTACCACCATTTCCTCAAAGATTAACATCTGAACGTAACACCATCTACTCCAAGTTCCAACCCGTGACGTTCCGGGTTTCAATTGTCTTCAGCAACCCATACTTGCCATAAGAGGTGACTAACATGATCGGGTGGCCAGGCTTGCTGATTTGTTGATGCATGTCATCATATCCCAATTGCGTCGATTGATGCTCATGATATCAATCACTGGATTGTCTGGTCCAGACTCAAGTATTACCAAATAGCTGGGATATTGTAGTGTGGGGTGTTTAACAACGAAAACAAACAAACAAACTTCCAGTTCAAAAACATTACTTCCAGACTTTGACCTGAAACAACAACTTCCTGAGATCCAACAACTGTCCAAGTCTCAGGACCGTACAAGTAAAAGTGCAGCAGTAACTGGCAATAAATGATACTGTCATATTTCACAATAACCCCAAACAATGATAGACATAGCGAACATTAGATGAGTTTGGATTTGTAAAGATAGATGCAAATACAGAGTTTAATGCCTGTAGAGACATAACAATGATACAATCATGTTTGAAAAAAATATAGAATGCTGACCTTGACCTTTGACATATTTTGACCTCAACGTTTTTAAAGCAGGGGCCCATCCTTGGGTGGGGAAGGCATATTCCAAGGTTAAGCAAACAAAGATAATAGTCTTGGTTCTGAGGCTCTGCCAGCACTATCAGAAAGTCTGCCACACGTTTGGTTTTTATTTCTATTTATTTAAAAATCAAAAATAAATCCTAATACTTAAAAACAGTGTGATCCAAAATAGTTACTTCCTAGCAGTAATGTGATTACATGTGACAATGCCACTTTTGGTCACGTAGTAGCTGTGGGAGGGTATATGCCACACAACTGGTTGGAACAACAACTTCTGCAGCCTGGACCTCTTACAGCTCTGTCCTTCTAGCAAAACAACAGCAGTAAAAGCATAGGGGTAGTAATGCAGGATAAGTTAAAAACTTTAATGACATATCCATGAACATGTTGTTTTAGTTTAAGTTTTATGCGCTTTATCGCTTTTTCTCGTGACCTTGACCATTTCCAGAAGAAAGCCTCATAACCATTTGGAAGAAGTTCGTGATGTCAATAATCTTTGAGTTGTAGTCGTTTGAAAAATCACCAGTGGTGGCCAAACTCCAACAAAAACTTAAAGCAGTCCCATTTCAAGAGGGTGCTAATAATTAACATGTGAATGCAAAGATGTCATGATATCATTAAACGATACTTAAATGTTATATGTCTTCTTTTTCCGATATAAAACTACACTTGTCCCACCAGTCATTACAATAACACTTTCATCTGGAGTGAGGGACATCACAAACTTACCTGTTGGTTGATCACTTGCAGTCTTCCTGGGCCGCCCTGCAAAATAACATGTTGGTCAAAACGTGAGGCAGCTTAGTTTACAGATGGTCCAGAGTTCCTCTGAACATATTATACAAAGAAACCTGTTATAAAAAGGAAATTCAAATAAACATTTAAACTTCTGAGATTTACATCAAATCAAACATGAAATATAGGGTATCAGAGTGTCCCACTCATTTATATACTTACCCTGACACTACAGTATGCAATATTCCTTCTTGCTTTGACTATATAACAGTGTAGAACATTGTGAAAACAATAATCACCAGAACACACCCTCCGGCCACCTCGCTCCCAGCATGCTCCTGTACTACTCATCACTTTCCCCACAATCGCCCGTAGACAGGTGACAAGTGGATCCAAGCGTTGAGGGGCTGGACATGCAGGCAGTCATGACCTGTTGTGTCAGGATAAGTATATAAATAAGGGGAATACCCTGATACCCAATATGTTTTAACTTATCCCACCACAACAGTATGCAATTATCCCATGGCAGGATGGCAGGTTGGGTCAACTGTATATCCCCATTTGTGATTGAGTTGTCGGGGAAGAGCACTGACTAGATTAGACTGCCAGATGGTCTTTAACCCATGGGTGTGTTCAACTTCACTTGTCCCATAATACATCACCACCATGCCTAATTACAGGCAAGGCTGCATCTGAAATTACATTGCAACTGGAGGTACTCGAAAGATTAGGAACCGTAGTTACAACCACGATATGTAGTACCTCAGTAATCATTCCATATAAAGAAAGAACAAACATGGAAGCGTACCAGTATGGGCATCCAAAATGGCAGGCGCTCCTTTCCAAGTAGTCAACAGCGATAGTGAAACAACCTTGGACAATGTCTGTGACGGAGCTGTGTGAAGTGCCACTGTGGACACAACACCCGAATTTCATGTAGATGGGAAGCTCCAGGTGGATCCACCCCAGCATGGTCATAAGTCTAAAGAATGGTGGAACATAACCCAAAACAACAGGGTATTCTTGCAGATATTCTGGCAACCCTCCTCAGTGGTCGGGAGGGTTTATGTTGATACCGAAAATGACGAGTGACACACGAACAGGACATAGGGACATGTCCTCTGTGTCACTAGATCCAACTATGTTCATCCGCGGGGCGATAGAGTAAGTGTGATTCGCCTGACCTGGCAATTGATTTTTGGCGATTAAGTCCCATGTTAATCCAAGATGTACCTCTGCATGTGGACCATGGTCAAATTTGATCAGGGTGACGTCGAGAGCTTGGAGTTCACTGACATGTGCTGCAGTGAGTCAGAGGCACCAATGCCACATGAGACAGAGGTTCGTGGGTATAAACCAGAAGTTGACATTGAACCATGGCTAGAGGTAGAAACTTTAATGGCGGTAACCTAATGGCAAGTTAAGGAGCAGTGGCAATATGGGTAGAATGGGAAGGGCCGAGGAACAAGTTAATGACTGACACATAACTGGCAAATGGGTACGGCTTGACAAATGTGATACATATCAAGTTGAGGACAATAAGCCTTGAAGGATAACCATTTCTGGTCATACAAGGAGGCCGTAGAAGGGCGGTGTGTCTGACAACTAGCAAGAGCCGCCGCCATAGAGAAAACCCCATCCGTCAATGCTTTCTGAGAATGCACCACACACTTAGATCCCACGACTCTGGGCATGGGTGTGGATTTCTGAGTAGACTGGGAAATAGTTTTAAGTATGGCCCTCCAGCGAGTCGGAGCAGATACGGGAATCACATCCCACTGGGCCAACAAGATGCAACCCAAATCGATATGCCAATCGAGAAATGGGACGGTCCACAATCCTGAGGCCCAGGGTTCCCAAGATTAGTACTTGGTTGATATGGCATCCTCCGGGTGTACTGGGTACCCAGGTGGGGAATACACATCTGCAATGCATGAACAGTGGCTTCAGCCTGAGCAGTGCAAAGAGCCTTCTTGTAAACCTCTTGAACCTTGGATAAGGAGTTGAGCTAAGTTCTCCAAGAGACGAATGATTTCATCCAGAGCTGAGAGCAATTCCCTCAAGAAATCCTTGATGAAAGTAGTAATAATCAACAATGGTAGGAGGGACAAACGAATGTCAGAATCCACAGGCATCATCTGCATCAAGGGAAAGCGCTGGAGATGGAAAGGAAATCCTGTGTAATTTACAGCGGGCAAAGTGATGGCGGGTTGGGGAAGCGAACCCTTAAGGGCTACTTTATGCAAAGCCTGCTGCAACAGTAGGAATACTGTCATCCAAATTATGAAAAGGGGCAATGTAAGATGGTGAATTATTCTTGGGATCGAAGGAGCATTCGGCAGAAGGCAGTTGGACAGGCTCCTCGAATTTAAGGACATCCATGATTCACAGGATCTGATCTTTTGCGGCCTAGAGTGGCTGCTCCTTAGCCTCAGACACAAGAGCAGGCCTTTGGAGAAGAACGCACACCTTTGGCAACCTGTTAGGAGATGACAAACAAGATCTTGAACACCGAGCAGGAGAGCCCGATACCTAACCAACAGGAGACGCCTGATCACTCTTGACGGGTGATGCCTGAAGTATGGGAGTACACTGAGGAGATTATAGTGGTAACTGTCATACCGAAATGACACCCTGAGGAGAGGTCACCAGTGGCGAACCGACTTGAGGCGAGGTTGTGATGGCTGCGCCTGAGATGACGAGGGAACAGGTGGTGCCTGAGTAGACAAAAACTGCATCTGAGGCAATGGTTGTGGAAGAGTGTGCGCTTGTTGTGAGGAAAATGATGGGAGGCCAGGTAGAGGGTGAGGTAGAGCTTGTTGATACAATGTCTGTAGCGGCGCATGGAGAAACGCTTGAGGAGGCGCCACATGAGGATGCGCTGGGAGAGGAGCGAGAAAGGTAGACAGGGCCTGACTAGGCGAATGGAAATACGTGTGAGGAGGTGCCTGCGCCTGATGAGGCGTCTCAAGACTCCAGGTCGACTGACACGATGGGATGCCAGGCAGGGCTTGCCAATAGGCATCACTGGCAGATGACAGTATGCAAGAAAACGGTGCAGCCCAAGAAGTGCAAGTAGTTATGGCAGGCGCTATCGTAGTACCCGGACAAGTTCAAGCAAACAGAGAGGGGGGTGGATCACCGTATAAGAGGCGATGAACCAGGCGGGTAGCCCCAAGGACGGATCCATCCATGACAAGACTGTATGCATTGCTGAAGGGTTTAAAGGGAGACAGTCACAGGCTTAAGAGAGGAGTTCGAAGACTGGTGCTGTAGTTGTTGGTTAGCCCTATTTCAGAGTTTAGCTAGGTAAACATTGAAAAAGTGGGAGGATAAGTGTGTATAAGCAGAGCATCGCTGGTCCAAGGAGCAGGGGATCCGGCAGTCATGGAGCTCATGAGCCGATTTCTTCCCATGACAATCCACTCACTTTTGAAGAGGATGAATGTTGTTGTCATCCCCCGACACAGTCTCCGAAATGACCACATCACCCATAATATTTAAAAGTCTACAACAGGAAAAGGGAATAAAAGTGGAGAATTCAGCAGAGAAGCACGAGAAATGGAAACCAAAACTGAGCTTTCATGTGCCAAGAGTTGTGTTAACAATGGCAGGGAAAGAAACATGTGAGGAAAGTAAGTTGTCAGTTTTTCATATTTTTATTGGAAAGGAACAACTAGGCACCCGAAGATATTTAGGTGAATATTGTTTTCACTATGTTCTACACTGTTATATAACCGAACAAGAAGAAATATTGCACACTGTTGTGGAGGGATAAGTTAAAAATATTACCTCAGATACTATTCTTTTAATATTCCTAATATTTTATGACTTGGATGTCTTTGGGAGTGGGTCATTTTATGTTGTTTTAAAGCCACAGTGGACAATATTTATGCTGGTGCCCTGTAAATACTGAGAGGCAAGGCAGTGGGGTGAACACACATCAGCCAGGTCACACATTGTAGCCAATCAATCCTCATTAGTCACACAAAAAACGGTGGGGAAAATGAAATGCCCTGAAATCTTAACTGGAAGTATTTGGGGCGAACAAACATTACCTCTTTTGCCTGTTGACTTTTTCTTGAGTGGAACCAGCTCCGTGTCTGGATCAAAGTCAGAGTCATCTGTGTCCTCATCGATGTTCACAGGATTCTTGAAGTCCCTGCAAACACCAGTTTACCTACATGTTATCTCATGAGTAAGTGAATGTACATTTACATCATGATCAGCATTAATGCAGTTATCACAGCAACCTAGGAGATAAAGAGTCTGGTTCCTTTTCCAGAAAGCAATCTTTGTGCAAGGACAGTCATATCTTCCCTACATAAAGACTTATGATAGTCAGAGTGCTATGCTTAATGTGTGGTCCAGACAATTAACCTCAAGATTCACTTAATTCAGATTCATTCCTACACATCAATCCATACCTAAATTTGGCTGGGATGATCCTCTGTCTGGCCGGCAGCCTGCCTGACCTCCGCTCTATGTCATAGTCATTGGCCTGCACCCCAACCTCCATGAGGACACGGAAGCTATTCTGGGGATCAGTTGGTAAAATGGTGACCTCATCATCATCATCTTCTCTCTCAGTCAACATGTCCTCAATATCACGGGCCTCGTCACTGGTCAACTCCAGGGTCTCGTGACTCATGTTGCCTGAAGTCTCTGTACCAATTTCAGCTGTTTGGATGCATGTGCTCTGAGTTGTCTCCCCTGCAACATGGTGCATCAGAGTTTCTAACATGGTAATTCAATATCTACTTAGTGACATGACACAACGGATTTAGGTCAATATAATGCTTGAATACAATCTTTCATAACTAAAGACAGCTTTGTTATAACTGTGATTAGACTGAGACTATGTGCAAGGGGATAGATTAGAACAGGCAAAATACATCGTAAACATGATGCAAGACACTTGATTTTCAGTAATATGAGCCAAGCTAGGTACACCCAAGAAATTGGCACTAGTCCTGTAGTCTTAGCCAAAATGCCCAATAGTTAAGGTATCATAAGGACTAGTTGAAATTTGCCCTTCTTTTTATTTTGCTATATGTTACCATCATAAGGACTAATGGACTAAAAATGGTAGTTTCTACCACTGCAGGTGTTAGATCACTTGCATACAGCTTGTTTACAATAATATGCAGTATTGACAAAAACTGGTAGCAGTTTCCTTGAGGTAAGTCTTCCTGGAAACCTTATTCAGTGTTCACTAAGACTGACATAAAAGATACATGTTTGGAAGTAAGGGATTAAAGTGAAATAGGTAATTAGATCTCTCATATGAATATTTTATTACTTGTTGTCAATAAAAGACTTTGAAAATCCTCCAGCACACATTGGTACACTTTCACTAATTGGGTGTCATGTCACCCTCAGTTGTAGCACTTATTACAAAACATAATAAGCGATGTGCAATAAGAGGATACAGTTAGCTATACCTTATATTGCACTGTGTCCATTAATACTGACCTTGAGGAAAAGCAGTGTCCATCTGTCTGGTGTCTTCACCTGCATCGTCATGGTCAATGATTTTATAATCTGTTGTCCCTGGTTCTGACTTTACTGTAGTTGTAGTTTCTAGAACTTCTGAAACCATAAATTATCATTAATCTTTTAGCAATATTCCAGCAATATCACGGCGGGGGACACCAGAAATGGGCTTCACACATTGTACCCATGTCGGGAATCGAACCCGGGTCTTCGGCGTGACGAGCTAACGCTTTAAACGCTAGGCTACCCGACCGCCCCGTTTAGGTTCAGATTTTACACATCAATATTTCAGTACCTAACATGACAGCTACTGATTTATACAGGAATATCTTTCCCTTCGTCCGATAAAAAAGGATATAAACTACCAAAGTATTGGTTCATTGACTATAATGTTGTGATGTTCCTTACATTACAAAAGAAAACCTTGAATACCACCAACAACATCTCATGTGGGGAATATACTACTATTACTAGTCACTACCCCCTTACACTGAAGTAATCTGCTCAATCATATACATGATCAGTGGTGCACTTTGGTCGAGTAGACACGTTTATTTTGCAAAGTTTGTCTTTATTCAAGCACTTGCAGTGGAAATTGAGGTGCTTCAAAAGAACAAGTATAAGAAAACATCTCTAAATCAGTATATGTATGTTAAAGCAGATAAAAAATTTGTTTTTTTATAGCAACATATCAAGTAAGAAGAAAGCTCATTTCTTTATCTCGGGCTTCTTCAATGAAAGCTGTGATGAGTCATTGCTTTTTCCATGGTTTCAATTCATCTCAGTGTTCGAAATACATACAATTAACAATAAGGAGTCCTGTAGTAATCCCAATCATAAAAATATAAAATTTATAAAATTATTTTCACATTTCTTTACTAGTTTTAGCTGTTTGATCTGTTAACAACTCTGCTCTGAAGTCTTCCAACTCATTCAAAAAAGGTGATTTTACACAACAAAATATGTCAAATCCGTGTTTTTACAAGAGCACAGATTTACATTGTCAAGTTACAATGACACAACATCCTGGTCTGACATTGTAACCAAATAATCCACATTTTAGTTTGCTCAATGTAATAGTTTTCTGACAAGCATGTGCTATTAATATTATAGGGGTGCTATTCGAACTTGGAAGTTATATTCATTCCCTTTAAGGCACTGATTACTAGTTATAGATTATATCATTTTTATTTTCATCTTTCTTTGCATTAATTTATCGGATTAGAAACCACATGAAATTAAAAGATTACCTCACAGTCAGGTCCTTCATTTACTATCATTAACTAGGTTATGATACTGATTAAGCAAATAAACTGCTGGTCTTTGGACCATTCGCCGTTATATAAAGTCAGTTCATATTCTCACACATTAAATGTATGTAATAGTTGATTGTCCACATATACATTCTAGCAGCAGCAACCATATCTGTGTGTGTCACTACACAGAGCTGCAGGCTGTTACCCCCTAGTGTTTTCCTTATGTATTGCAGATACCGCACTTACCACCCTGTCAAATCCTACATAAATTGTAACACAATGAAAACTGCAACACGATTCGCTTCCTAAAACAATTCCCAATTGCATCATAGATATATATTCGATCATGCAACTTTCTATGTACTTATTAGGTTGGAGCCATGGAGATGGTAAAGATTTTTGGCTGACAAAATGTCTTAGGAAGTGAATTATGTTGCATTTGTCTATAAAACTAACAGGACATATGCACTTGCTGAAGCATTTAACGTGCGATGAAGATTTGCTGATACGGTTACCGCAGCGTTAGATTGGTTATCCAACTCTTAATTTGAATTACTCTTGACTCTCATTCGTGGAAAACAGTGGAAACAAAATAATGATATGTACAAACGCGACGTTTTTAACGTTCTTCTAGGTTGACAAAACACCTGTTTTTTTCACTGATTCAAGGGGCATGTTCCTTGCAAACACGAACCACTGCCACACAGTTCATGCAAAAATGAGGTTACATCTAACCTGGGCTCCCAACCAAATGGCTCCATTATCATTATCACACTCGTGAAATGGAATCATCGCGTGTATAGCCTAAAGAAAACTAATACAGAGAAAGCTGAGTAAGTAAAATATTACCACGAAGATCGCAAGGGGCCGCCATCTTTACTGACATCCCCGGATGTAGCGAAAGTTTAAGTTAGCCAATCATAGTTATTCATTATCCCAATTACGGACAACACGAGTTGAAATGGTTTGCGGCATGAGTAGATCTATAATTATTCTTCTATCGAAAAATCAAAACTTTTCACACAAAGTCTCATCAGTGTTTCATATGGGCCACCACCACATAGAGTCTAATGTTTTTATAACTTTTTTATTTGAAAAATATAGAACTGTCCATTTTGTGCCATTCACCCATTCGAATGCCATGCACCCAACCATTAATTATCATGCAGTCCCGTAGAGCTAAAAGAAACACTACTAGCCTCAAACGCCCAAAGTCAAATCGAGCTAAAAATGTATGTAGATAGTAATATTACATTTAAAAGTTTCCAGTTTCGGTTACATGGGTCAACTGACGATAATTGGAAATTTATGGGCACTAAGAAACAGCGGTACCAGTAGTGGCCATTCCTGGACAGTTGTCAGTTGTCATACTATATGTATACTAATTGTTCTTTGAATATAACTTACTTATATGTTATCATTATTCGGGCAGTTAATTTGAACAAAATTACACTCACAATAGGCCATGTTTGATTACTTGATGGCAATATATTGATATCATCGGATCGATGAACAACAATATTTATTTTTTTTGTTTATATCAAATGGGTACAGTGTAGTGTGTGCCTCCTCATTGGCCCATATATATAACCTTTGTTATTCTGTGTTAGCTGACGCTGGAGATAATTCCCCATACATGACATTTGTTTTGTCGGTACGTTAATTGAAATTTTAAGGTAATCATATAACATGTTCACAAAGTGAATGGGATAAGGGGTTATACTAATATCCGTGAACAATTTTAATATAAGGTTTGGGTGGATTGTATGAATTATATGCAAGCAGCTTGAGAAAAAATGCTTTTCTGGCTTGATTTCATAAATACGAGTCATATGACTACAAAAAGGGCATATATCAAAATGACGCAAATTGCCCTAATCTATCCTGTCCTAACTGACACTGTGATTACCCTTCAAATGTACTTTTACAAGTAAAATGATGATCAACTAAGAAAATATTCGTGTGTTGTCAGGCATGTATGAAATGGTCTATAACCTGAGGTAATTACCTGACACCTGTCCCGAGGTGATGACCTCAGACCGCCCCGTGCATTCTCCCAGGTGCAAATGTCACCGAGTTGGGTGTGGTCTCAAAATATTGCTGTTATTGTACTTAATTGACATGTGCCTTGATCGGGTAGCAATTAAGGATATGTACTACATTATATGTGCTTGGAAACATGATGGACTAGTTAAGAGCTATGAAACGGGATGAGTATTGGAAGGTTGCGGTTTTGGAATCCAGAAGTATTTGTTGTTCTACAGATGATTTCTTGAGGTAGCATTTATCTCCGCTGATGACGTATATGAATCTGTACTTTTGAATGTTGTGTTATGTCTTGCCACGAACCCTTTACATTTAGCCATGATGGGCACAACAGGGTTGAGCTCACAATGTCTGACTGGCGTACGTAAGACAACGTAACCGTGTTGTGCCGCCAGCACATATGTCCTGTACTTTACCGGGTTCTTATTAAGCCGAATTTTCTCCACGAGTTGAACTTTCGTCTCATATGTTCTGAAGTCGACAATGTCATATATTCCTGTATGGTCGCCTTCAGACTACTCATGGTTGGGCGAAAGTATCTGATTCCCGGACGTAATATTAATTGGCGTTATCTATGACAATGACACCCGACGTTGTTTAAAATGGGCAATAGCTGAAGTTCCAACCAGTCTATGAACACATCACCTCCTATCACCAGTTTTCTATTTCGCCTCGAAAACTAGCATACATCCATCAATTAGCCCCATATCATGGGTTGCAATGTGCAAATCAATGACACGACTACCTTTACCTGATGGTCTATGTGTGCTTTTTGTCCATCTGCCGATAGCCACATGTAGTCAGTGGAATGATTCATCAAGGTAAATTATCTGGACGCCCTGACTGTGATAGTTATGAATGGTTCGGAGATAATGTGACCTCATAGACAGGATGGAATATTTTTTCCTGAAAAGACCTCGGTCATCGCCACGCGCAGTGTATCGAAATCCCATCTCTTGTAGAGCAATAGTTAGTGCAGTTAACATTAATTGTGTCTTTAATTCCTCCCAAAATTTACTACAAGTCCGGGCTACCTTCTGCTCATAAAGCTTGTACACTATACGCCTAATCACCCTGTATCAAAGCTGTCTGACATACGTTTACGTCCCAGTTTTGTTTTTGAGACCACCCCTATCCCTGTTTTGTTTTATTTATCATACCGTAGAATTGATGCTATGAATTGAAAACCCAATAGCTTGGGCAGTTCGGTATCATGGGAGCAATGTTAACTAAACAAACGCAGCGTCATTTTGTCATTTTAGAAGATGCACATCTAGAACTTTCTCAAAATAATTTTTGTGTGTGGATTAGATGTTTTATGAAGACTACATTATCATCATTATAACGGAGTCACGTGCGAATATTTCTATAGTCCGTTATTGTTACTGAAATACTTCAAACCACAGGTAGGTCGATCGGTAGCTACTCGATATTTCAATAACAACAGTCTGTGAAAAATAATATCTTGTTTTAACAGGCAAAAAGAATTTTTCTAGCATTTCCGACAGTACTTTAGCGGCCGATTGACGTCTGCCTATATTCCACAAATAAACAAATGTGAAAACTACATTTACAAATACTGAATGCATACAGTAATACGGCTTATTGTTAGTGCCCCCGTGTGTTTGATTGGTGAGGTTATTGTCAGAGAGTTAATAACGGAAGGGGGAGTGACGCCTCGGCTCCCTAAGTCGTCGACTCCCTTGCATGGTGTGCATGTGAAACTCATTCGCAGTGTCCTTCGCTGTGATGGGGATGTTGGAAAAATTTGCAAAAGGTAACCTCAAGCAACACACTCACTCACCCACTGCAGCCGATTTGTGTGTCGGTTTTACACGGGCAGCTATCAACAACTTGTCATAGGGCCGAAAGGCGTTACTCTCCTGGACAGATGGGGAGACAGAAGCGTACTGATATAGCGTGGCCACCTTTAGGGGCACAAAACTTGGTTCCAGCAGAATCTCTGGTCCCAGTCAGGAAAACTTCAACCGAGACAAGTTGTGATGCCAGTTCATCCCAAATATAAAGGCCCCATGCGGATTCCGGGCGTTGATGGGTCGATCCCATGGACTCCTGCTTGTAAGTGCCAGCTACATGATCCGGTGGCTACAACCCGTACCCGGCTTATAAATGTGTTATCGTGCCCCGAACACGTGGAGCCGTGTACCTGCCACTGAGCTCTAGCGTGTTTGGTCCAGGATTTCTTCTTCTCCGGCGAGATGGAAGACAACGTGTTTATCGTCGTCGAAATGAGCGTTTTGCCCGACATTGTGTACGTGAATTCGACAATTTCGTTGGAGGTTGTGTCATGGCGTGGCCGGGGGGCCATATCCTACACCACGAGATCTGACTTGGTTGTGGTTCAGGGACATTTGACGGCAAATCGCTACATTAATCAAATTCTTCAACCTCACCTTCTTCAACAGGACAACGCTCCACCGCACACAACTCGTGTCACGGTAGACTACCTTTATAATGCCAACATCAACGCCTTGCCCTGACCGTCGAGATCACCAGATCTCAACTCAATCGAACACCTCTGAGATGAACTCGATCGACGTGTACGTCAACGTCACACTCCCACAACTGGCCAACGCGTTTCAAGCAGAATTCCGCAGGACCAAATTCGTACATTTATCCAGTCAGTGCCGAGGAGATACAGAGCCGTGATTGCTGCCCGAGGCGGTCACACGAGATACTGAGCTCAGCGCAACCTTGTGGCCTTATGTGACATGACAATGAACAGTTTTCAATGCCTTTGTACAACGACAACATGTGACTATTGAGCTCCAAAATGTCATATTTGTATGATATTGAGTTAAATATATGGACTTTATAAGGTACAATAAATTTATAAAAAATCTACCCGTGCGTTTATTTTTTTTAAAGAGTGTATATATCAGTAAACTAACCAATGTCTGAACAGGCAAAGAACACAAGTGACGATACATTTGACATTTAATCATGTTGACATGGACATATATAACAATCCATATAAAATATACAATATATAATAATCATAAATATATGATGGTTATAGTGAAAAATATAATTAGATATATTCTCTCGTGAGAAAAATACATTTTCATCCTCCTAGTGGTATCGGCAACCTGAAAGAAAAAGCATCCTTGGTTAATCCACAAAGACGTCTCACAATGCACCCTCATTTTTTACAGTGTTGTATTAACCCATGAAGATTCGGGTCAGAACTGGTACTTGTCGTAAAAGATGACTATACTTAGAGGCGACTAAGGGGACCGGATGGTCAGGCTCGCTGACCTTGTTGATGGCTTTCATAGTATCTCAATTGACTGTCGAAGACACAATTATTTACAGATCGCCATAATTTAGCTGGAATATTGTTTTTACATCGATAAGAGTTAACTTAAAGTAGGTCAATACGGAAACAAAGCGGCACTTCACCGCGTCACCTTTATGAACATCTTCATTTGTCCTTCACAGTGTAAACAAGACCGTGAAGTAATGACGATGCTCATAGTGTAAAGGAAAATAAGTAAACCGTTAAATGTGAAGACATTTAGTGTCACCAAGACCGTGAAGTATTGACGATACTCACAATGTAAATGTGTTAAAGTAAACAAACAGCTAAATGTAAAGAAGTATATAATCTTCCATGTGAATACGTATGAAGGATAATTTCACATTACTGTAGGGTCTTATGTGAAGTGTACTAACTGGTGTTGTCTGGTTGTGAAAATGAAACCATATCCCACAAGATCATCACTATTCAAGGTTACTATATATGAGCTAGACTATAACAAGAGTTCTTGACAAGAGGAAAGACGGAAGTAGATGCATGTGTCAATCACCTACTTTATTTGTCAGACACAGTATCTCGTTTCTCATGGGTGTTGTGCTAACAAAAACTTCTTATTTAGTTTCGCGGAATCTACAATACTTGGTCTGAAAGTCCCCAAAATCAGTTTAACGTGACTAATAGTTTTAGCTTCGATAAAAGAATCCTTGCAATAGGTGGATTACTATATGCAGCAGTGTAGGGTTTACCTTCGAAACATTAACTTGTCTTGTTTTTCAGGGGCAAACAGCTTTCCCATGTGACAAGTGTCTTTGTGCCCCGTCGTCTGCTGCTCGGGTGAGATGGGGATGGTGGTGCGGCAGGATGTTCAGCACAGGAAGCAGTAGTGGAGGACAGGGGAATGGCAGCTCTAGGGTCAGCCTGGCTAGCTGATGGCTGGTCATGTCGAGCTGCAAGTGGCGGGACTCCACCGCCTGTGCCTGTTGTGGCTGCAGTATTGGTGGTGGCAGCTGTCATGCATCTCTTTCTCTTCTTTAAAGGAAGATGGCGTTCATCAATGTCATGGGATACTTCTGAGCTCAGTGATCGCTTCAGGCATCGTGTCTTGATGTTCGGCCTTCTGCTCATGTCTTCTGTGATAGTGGTATGGTAAACATCGGTGACTGTAACGGCACGTGGTTCAAATAAGGCAACATAGGAGATGTGCTTGATTCGCCTCTTGATGTCGCTGAAATTGGTGAACCATTGATGAAGATGATACTCTGTATAGTGTACGTCTCCATCTGTCCGACCTGCGTTCCTTAATCTCTGTTGTGAACTGCCCTGTTCGTCAGATGAACGGGAGGGTGGTTTAAAGGATGCTTTGGACGGAGCAGCTGTGGCCGTGGGTTGGCACCTTGAACATACACACACGACAGACATGATGCTTCTCCTAATTTAAGGATATTTCCCACAAAAACACGCAGTCGGTGGTCGAAAACAACATTTATACTTAAAATGTAATAAACATTAAGCCCACTTTTTTAATAAATTGGTTAGAGGATATTTTTTTCCAAATATGGAATAAACATACATTTTGACCTTGTTTACGTGATATCTAAAGGAACTGTCGATCAGGTTAATTTACAAATGTCGCATTGGGAATGACAAATCAAAAAGTTACTTCCCTTCCTATTCATGTAATTAAGTTACGACAAACACTTACGGTATATTCCTCGAGCCATCAGTTCTTTGCATCAATCACTCGACTCGTACATGCAGTTCTATAGAAACTCACCTCGAGCAGTTGTCGTCAAGATCCTCCCATTCTACTGTTGCGATATTGTATTCATCTTCCAAGGTTAAGTCTAGGTAAACAACAACAAACTGATCAACCACACACAGACATTATATTCAACAAACATACTGTTTCAATTACGATCTGAAATGTGATATGTTATATTCTTTTTGCCACTGTATCTGTTCATCCGACTTTTCATCTCATTCCGCGATTCACAACACGTACCTCTGTGTAGCCATGCATAGGACTTTCCCTGCTTCCGTCGGCAAGTCCGTGGGTCTCCAGCACCACCTTGAGATGAGCCTAACGTCCTGGACGAGACTTCATCAGCAGACACTACCAGGACACTAGATGTGGGTGGCATTGTGGAGATTTCTGTTGGCGATGATGCTTCACTGTGACTATCGGACGTGGACGCCTCACCACCGCGACTGATGTTGAAAACACTGTACATATGCGGGTCAGTGCGAGGATACAGGTGCGGTCTTTGGGGTTGATCTGAAAACTATCCCTCTGTGCAGTACACATGACTCATCGAATGCTTACATCCCTGCAGACATTCAAATATTTTACCGCAGTGTGTATGAAGAATCTATACAAGTATACACATTCTCTTACGAAATATATATTTTTTTCTATCATTTATGGGTATGAGTAATATCATGAGCACCTACAAAGTTCAGAACCACAGCCTTTTCTCAGGACGATCACTGCCGTAGGTCACAAGTCACTAAGACTAGCAGCCAAGTTTTCTGAGAGTCCGTCGAGTGGTGCTGAATTCTAAAGGTAGGTCCAATACACAAATGTATACAAGTATACAAATTCTCTTCAGAAATACATATTTCTTATTTCTTATAATATCATAACATTTCAATCACGTTTAGATAATCAAAACTTACTTTTGAAGCTCATTCTTCGTTGCAGGCAAAATTAAGTGAAATCAACGTCAATAATTACAGAAATGTTTCAGAGAGAAGTCCCCACATATAACATGCAATCAGCTCGATGATCTCCTTGTAACTGAGCTTCTCTTCTATGATGTCACAAGACTGTGACGTCACCAATAATTGTTTGTGACGTCACACCTTTGTAATTCATGACCGCGTAGATACCAAATTTGGGTCCACTCCGTACAATCCGCTACCTGTGGATGCCATCCGAATGAGCATCCGTTAGACGTTAACATAACCTTAAGGGAGTGTTTACTTACAATCTGTCTCTTACAACAGAGGGTATTGATATTAACACCTGTGTGTATACGGTTAATGTAATAGTATGTAGCATACATGGTTTTATTAATCGAAATCCCAGTTGATTATATTATCTGAGTTTTTTGAGTTGCTGTTCTGCGCCAGTCAACAATATTTCAGTTGTATCAGCCAGGTCACACATTGTAGCCTCCCGACCCATAACAGTCAACCCTTATTAGGCAAGCAAGTACACTCTTCAAAATAGGAAACGCACAGGTAGTATGTAGTTCACTGAACCCGACTTCACAAAATATCCGGTATATAAATTGGATATATGTTATTGGAAAATGTTGGTGGCCTGATATTCGACAAAAGGTGGTCAAAACGCAACCCCTGCGATTTGGAATGTCTTAAACGGCATGTTTTCACACTTGTTCAAAAATGTCATGGAGGAAAACAGTAAAGCAAAATGCACGTGCAAGTTCGTAACTCGTTACTCGTGGTAGTGGCTATAAAAAGGCAATCATGAGCCAATAATTTGTCATTCAATTGTCAACATTTTTCAAGTTCGAAAATGCCGAGACTCAGCGCTGCCGATCGGAACATCGCCATTTGACGTATCCAAAGGGGGGAAATCACGGTCTTCTGTTGCACGCCACTTCAACGTCCACCACAGCACCATTTGCCGCCTTCCTGGCCGAATTCCACTGCAAACCGGTCGACCAAGAGTTACCACCCCTGCACACGATCGCTACATTCGACTGTTCCACCTACGTCATCACAATGTCACAACTACGGAGACCACAGGTTTGAGGAGGATATCGGACAAGACTGTCAGGAACCATCTTCGCCAGGCTGGAATCTGGCCCAGAAGACCAGTTATCGTCCCTGTTTGCAACAGATCCATCGACAGCGACGCTTGCGTTGGTGCCGTACCTTACACCCTTTGGGGGGCGGTCGGGTAGCCTAGTGGTAAAAGCGTTCGCTCGTCACGCTGAAGACCCGGGTTCGATTCCCGACATGGGTACAATGTGTGAAGCCCATTTCTGGTGTCCCCCGCCGTGATATTGCTGGAATATTGCTAAAAGCGGCGTAAAACCAAACTCACTCACTCACTACAGCCTTTGGATTTGAGAAACTGGAGACGAGTGTGGTTTAGCGATGAATCACAATTTAGTCTTCACCGGCGAGATGGAAGTCGTGTTTATCGTCGTGGAAATGAGCGTTTTGCCCGACATTATGTACGTGAATTCGACAAATTCGGTGGCGGTTGTGTCATGGTTAGGGGGCCATATCCTACACCACGAGATCTGACTTGGTTGTGGTTCAGGGACATTTGACAGCAAACCGCTACATGAATCAAATTCTTCAACCTCACCTTCTTCAACAGGACAACGCTCCATCGCACACAGCTCGTGTCACGGTAGACTATACCTTCACAATGCCAACATCAACGCCTTGCCCTGGCCGTCGAGATCTCCAGGGCCCACTTGCACAAAGCGATCTTAGCGCTAAGATGATCGTAACTCCCATACTTTAACATAGGCTTACAATAGTCGTAGCGCTAAGATCGCTTTGTGTAAGTGGGCCCTGATCTCAACCCAATCGAACACCTCTGAGATGAACTCGATCGACGTGTACGTTAACGTCAGAACACGCCGTAGACACTCCCACAACTGACCAACGCGTAACAAGCAGAATGACGCAGCACTCGTATTTTTATCCAGTCAGTGCCGAGGAGATGCAGAGCCGTGATTGCTGCCAGGGGCGGTCACACGAGATACTGAGTTCAGCGCAACCTTATGGCCTTATGTGACATGACAATGAACAGTTTTCAAAGTCTTTGTACAACGACAACATGTGACTATCGAGCTGCAAAAATTCATATTTGTATCTATGATATTAAGCTAAATATATCGACTTTATTAAGTACAATAAAATTACTAAAAATCTACCTTGCGTTTCCATTTTTGAAGAGTGTATATGTTTACAAACAAAGTAATAATATATTAGCGGGGAAATGTTCCTGTGAATCACTATCTATCATCGGAAATAATTGAACATACAGTTAGACGTCTTGGTAGGTAATCAATTCCTCACAATACTGCGGGCTGTCTGAAACCGATTTCGCAGAGGAACCAGACGGATATGATTGTCGTGCCGACTTGACGTTACTCGTTTTTTAAAAAATGTGTAAGTGTTTTTAAATTATTTTTTAACATAATCTTCCTGCTTTACAATACTCTTCTTATATCGATAGTGAAGCTTTTTAATTCCAGTCAGGAACATGTTTTCTGAAGCCACCCTGAAAAACCCATTCATGCCAGCTCAAAGGTCATCGTTGTCGTCATAGTGCTTTCCACAAAGATGTTCTCTCAGTTTAGGGAACAGGTGGAAATCACTTGGTGCCAGGTCTGGCGAGTATGGAGGGTTAAGCTCTTCGAACCCATGTTGTCGCACGGCAACCTCTGCAAGTCGAGAGGTATGAGAAGGGGCATTGTCATGAAATCGTAAAACTCCAGCAGTCAGCATTACACGCCGCTTTTTTTTGCTAGGCTATCTCAGGCGATGAAGCAAATCAGCATAGTAGGCACCGGTAATCGTCTTTTGACTTTCAAAGTAATCAGCAAGGATCACACCCTTCACATCTCAGAATACAGTGGCTATAACTTTCTTCATTGATCTTGAAGACTTGAATTTCTTTGGTGCCGGAGAAGGGGAATGGTGCCATTCCATGGATTAACGTTTTCACTCGGGATCATATTGGTAGAACCATGTTTCATCACCCGTTACTAATCTCTTTTTAAATTGGACGAAATCCTCCTCAATTAGCTCTAAATTTTCTCCCGCAATGTCAGTTCTTTTTTCCTTCAGATAAAAATTTAGAAACGTTGGCACCCAACGAGCAGATACCTTATTCATCTGTAAATGTTCATGAATACTAGTTTCAGTGGATCTATGGCTTGGACCTGTGTCTTCCTCACGTTCAGCAATGATAATTCACCTATCTGACAGTATAAGTGTTTATATTTCCTTGATTGAATCTTCATTGATGGAAGTTATTGATCCTCACTTATTTCTGTGTTTCTTATCTCCCGCCGCCTGCAAATTTCAATCCTGCCGAAAGAAAAATATATTTTCATCCTGAATTATCCCTTTCATGCGATCGCGTGTAATGTCAAATGACATCTCGGCTTTTCGTAGCCTCGATTTCTCGGCTCGGATACGATGTTTTTAATGCCAAAATATGTGCATAAGAAATCTTTGTCACAGCTCGTAACCTAGCACTATGCATCCATGAAGTTCCATATTTTTAATATAGATCGCGATTTCATGCTTAAAACGTTCAGAAAAACATATTCGTGAAAGTCTGAAAATTACACACGAGGACAGTACCGTTGCTGTAATTTGATTGGCTGCCTTAGGTCACGTGCTTTAATTTGACCAATCACGCACCTTTTAGCAGATTATGTCGGGTTTTTAATGTACATACTGACATGGCATCCTTCGACATGTGTTCATACCAAGCTTTGAAAACGGAGGTATTTCATGTTAGTGAGCGGACAGCCACTATCATCGGGAAATGGGTGATGACAGATATTATTTGTAATTCTTTTTAAAATAATGTTCCGAATACGTAAACAAATGAAAATAAAAAAGAAATAGCTTAGAGGATTTTATGAAATCTTATATTTGCCGAAAATCGTAAAATTTTCGCTTCATTGGTCCTTAATCTGGACGTTATGAATTTTTTTACTTAATTAAAGTATTAATGAATTAATGAAATAATGTAATAATGTATCTTTCATATTTATAAACAATAGGGTTCATTAGACCTTTCAAATAGTGTATGCCCAAACATGTAGTAGCCAAAATGTTTTACAAGCAGATAATTTCCTTGAGAAATGTTGGCTTCATCTATCACACAAGAGTCTCTAGGAACTTGGTGTCACCGCAGTAATCTTCTGGTTGGCTGGTGTTGAGTGAACAAGCTGAGTGCCAGGGATATGATAAAATGTTCTTGAATTTATTTTTTTAATTTTGTTACTCCAGATTATTTGTTTTATACCTACCTAACTTTTTAGGACAAAGTTCAAGTCAATAAAATCTCTGAGGGTTTTTTTTTTTTTTAAATTGGCCTACCTCACTTTTGAAATGAGTTTGAAAACCCGTAAACCAAGAAATAAAAAATATGTCATAATAAGGTTTATTAATTCATTTGTGTCAGTGAACCAGTAGGGAATTCACAACTAGTTCACCTGTTTCATGTTGTGTCAATTCTGGCTCATTGGGATGACTCTGGTTTCAAAAAATGGACACACACCTTTGAAGAGAACTGAGATCTGACATCTCCTTGCTGTAGGAGACAAAGACAAACAAGAGACTTGTGTTGTGTGCTTAGAGTAACATTTATTCCTGGATGGAATTAACTTTCTGCACCAAATAAAACCTTCATCTAAAAACTGAGGAAGAGATAACATTAACAAATTGTTTTCTGAAAAATACAACACAACATGTAACAAGACCTGATTGGGAACCATTCTGATGTACACAGCACAGCCCATTGCATAACAAGACCTGTTGGAACCACTCTGTTGTACAGAGCATGTTACATTGTATAACATCAACGGCAACCTTCTGTTGTACACAGCATGTTACATTGTATAACATCAACGGCAACCTTCTGTTGTACACAGCATGTTACATTGTATAATATCAACGTTAACCTTCTGTTGTACACTGCATATTACATTGTATAATATCAGCGGCAACCTTCTGTTGTACACAGCATATTACATTGTATAATATCAACGGTAACCTTCTGTTGTACACAGCATATTACATTGTATAATATCAACAGCAACCTTCTGTTGTACACAGCATGTTACATTGTATAATATCAACAGCAACCTACTGTTGGTACACAGCATGTTACATTGTATAACACCAACGTTAACCTGTTGTACACAGCATACTACATTGTATAATATCAACGGCAACCTTCTGTTGTACACAGCATATTACATTGTATAATATCAACGGCAACCTTCTGTTGTACACAGCATATTACATTGTATAATATCTAAGGCAACCTTCTGTTGTACACAGCATGTTACATTGTATAATATCAACGGCAACCTTCTGTTGTACACAGCATGTTACATTGTATAGTATCAACAGCAACCTTCTGTTGTACACAGCATGTTACATTGTATAATATCAACGGCAACCTTCTGTTGTACACAGCATGTTACATTGTATAACATCAACGGCAACCTGCTGTTGTACATTCTATTGCATGACATCCAACAATGCAAACATGTGACAACACACTCAGGTAAATGTCTTGTGACATGTTTCTGCCTACATGTTAGACAGATCCCTGTTGACAACTGACGTGCCCCGAGTCCAACATGTCATGTTCATGTGTTAGCTGGCACCATTCTCAGCTTCAGTGTGCTCGGATCAGATGCATATTGCTCATCACAACAAACCAAACTGATCGATACACCATGAAGTTGGGAATATGTATGGCAATATTCGTATGTAAAAGTCCAACAGTAAAAACGTTTTACCCACATCTTAGTAATCTTCAGATGAGTGCTTTCATTGGACAGCCAACACAACGTACCAAAATAGATTATATCTTCTTCTAAAACCATGTTCAAAAACCTTGTTTCAGAAACTCATAGAAAGTTAAAGTGGATTGCATAATGAGATGTAGTTACTGCCACATCTACTGGTTCTAGCACTACTGGGACATCAAGGAAAACAGTGTGAGGACATCAACAAAATAGGTAACAAACAGTCGAGTATTATTCAATGTCAATATATTCACACAAAAATATGTGCAAATTCAACATGTTCGAAAACCTTTCATAGTTGAAGAAATTACTGATTTGATCATTGTATATCATATTCAATTTGAATCTTAAAATACTGCTAGAAAACAAATAGTCACCTCCATTTTCAGTAACTGGAGGGAAAATGTGCAAGTTGTATAGCCTGGTTACAACTGTTCAATTTCATTTTCACATTCAGTCTCCATTACACAAATGAACAATGTGGTTAAGAACAAGCATTATCAAAATAACAAGATAACAAGGCAGGGAAATCCGTTTTCCTGGCAGTGTCATGCATAAATAACAACAGACTATGATACTCAAGCATTACCTATGGTGATGAGGATTACTGTTAAGAGAAGATGGCGGGGCTTTAAGGATGCAGTCACCTGTTCCCTGAGTCTAACTAAGGTCATGTGCAGAGTGAGTGAGTGAGTGAGTGAGTGAGTGAGTGAGTGAGTGAGTGAGGTATAACTCACTTTTAGCAATATTTCATCAATATCGATGCGAGGGACGACAAAGGAGATATGAACTTCACAAACATGATACATATACAACACATAACAAGACGTTTCTTGTTCTAAGGGCTAAACTTGAACTCACTCACTCTAAGGGTGAAATTGTTGCTCTAAAGAAGTAAAGAAGTGTCAGTGCTGTAATGTTGTTCTAGAGCTGGGATTAATGCCACTTTGAACAATACTGCAGAGGAAAGACCCAATGATGAAGGTGGTAGACCTGTCACAATTTTGTGGAACCCACCAAACTGGCATGGTGCTGACAAACTTAGAAACATAATCAGGGCAAATCTTGTTTTCAAACGGATGATCATAGGTTTCTGGTACACCAAAGGGATGTAACTCTGCCTTACAAATTAGATAACCTGGGCTCTCCTCCCCTGTAGATGGGATGTGTAATAAGCTCTTGTAAGTAAAAGATAATTTGCCTAATAAGAGGTATTATAAAATTAATATCCTGAAGTCCTATTTTAATGAACTCTCTCTTTGTAACCTGACCTTCAGTCAGATATGACTTGTGGTTCAAAAGAAACATCTTACTGTCCTCTGTATGTTCACTGATCCATAAAACAAGAAACACAAATCCTAGAATCAATTATTGCTTAACGCTGCATCGGCAATCTTGCAGCAAGAAAATGTCTAATCTAAGAGTCAAATTGAAAGGACATTGACAACACGAGACTGTTTCTACTGTAACTGCAAGTTCCATATCTTCAACTGTTTATGCAATTTGAATATATATATATATGTATACATAACCAATGACGAACCGCAAACCTGCATGAATCTGGAGCTCTATGAAAGACAAAGTTATCCCTGAATAGGGGCTACTGCTTGTGCAACTGTTCATGTCTAACCAAATCGTCACACTAACATCTCTCATACAAACATTTAAAAGAGAGCTCAACTAATAGCCAAAATAAACACAGACGTTCATTTAGTGTTTAAGGGTGAATGGGAAGCATGCTGAAATCTCAGTAATCCACATACCTGGGGATAGCAATAATTGCCTTAAGTTATTAACATATAAACTTTGATTTGCTTTTCCTTTTAAAACTTGCAGATTAGTGAGAATTAGTTGTTTTATCAATACCCATGTGATGATAATCTGTCTAAAAGCAATCAACAACATCACAGGCAAAATTGACATCCTAGTTGAAATCTACATGATAACCAGTGTTTTAATCGGGGAAAACCTGTTTCAGAGTATGCACATCAACAAAAGACAAGAAAGTGTGAGGTGTTTAACAAAGACTCTCAGCAGGGGATCAAGCTACGCTGCTACGCACACATTGTAACATGTGGTCTACTGAGTTGATCAGGGGGGAAGTCAACAATAGCATCTGATGCTCTGTGCTGCTAATCACAATGTAAAGTACAGCCAGAGGCAACACCTACCTGACACCCCCGGGCTCTCAGACGGAAGATCCAATGAAACTACTGTGAAGGCTATTTCTACCAGATAATTATCTCAACATGCTTTCTAATTTGAAAGATACAAAATGAGACATGCATTTCATCAGATACTATTGTACAAGTAATTTTTATTAGCAGTTTCTCGAACTAAGAAGTTTTGCTGGATTAACCAATATTCATAACTTATTCTGTTTCATTGACAACATTGAAAATCTTAGATGGCAATGTCAGCTAATCAACCCTGGGTCCTTATCTTCATAACTGTCCTAACACGCCTACGAAGGATGCTATGTACATGTGAAATTGACAATACAGGGCTCGATTCAGCTACACAAAACATGCACCACTGCATCCTATTTTTGAAAAAAAGCATCCTAATAAATATGTCACCAAGTGCATATAAAACAAATTCTATTTTTTTTGTCGGAGAAACCCTTACTTGCCCAAACAACATTGAGCTTTGAAGTCACTCAATACCTGTGTAAGCTTTATAACCATACTACATCACTAATATCTGTATTGTGTGTAATTCATGACACTGTCATCAGTGATCTTACTTATTAAATTTATGCATCTATGTTTCAACTTTGATAAATTAATATGCCTATGCTGCAACTAGGTTTTCATGTCAACAATACCAGCTGCAAGTTAAATCAAGTGGCTTCAATCGAGCCCTGCAACATCAGTGAGAGAAACGGAACCTGGAATAAGCCCAATTAATAACATCTAATCATAACCTAAAAGGTTGAACTTTACAAGCCCTCAGGATGCCTAACACGAGGCGGCCATGCTGAGGGTGGATGTAAAGTCTACCCCTGCTACACATGTCAGTCACGGACTACCTAAGGTGATTATCCACAAGCTGCCTTTTGAAGAGCTTATCTTCAAACCTCTTTTCATCACACAACAAACTCAGCCATAACAAACCCCCAATCCCCAACAAACCAGTTGACTACACTAATACCTACGAGAGTAGACGGAGATACATAGACAGACAACAGGAGCTACACAACTAGTATTATCTACATAACAACCTGTCTCACAGCAAGCTACAGGAGCTGCAGTACAGGGGACTTTCATTCATTAACAATTCAGGAAACGGTCAGTGACATTTTTGCCAATATTCCTACATAGAAAATTTGGAGAGTTTCACAACTAAAGACAAATATAAAATCCACCCTGGAGCTCACTGCTTGGTCTATGTGTAATCTCTTGGTTACAAAACCTGTGTGTTTTCTACAAAAACTGTTCATGCAACCTTGACTGTTTCTGTGGAGAAGTTGTTAAGTAAAGCGAATTGCTTCACACCTTACACAACTGGGCCATCCACATCCCAAGCTACTGTAAATCTGGACATTAATGCATCTCCAAATTAATATGACTGCTGACCCCTAGCCAAAAATGTGACTCAATATCAATGTGACTCCCCCACCCCATCCACAGTGGAATGATGCATATCCTTACCTTAATTCAACACCATCTTAATCCAATCAAACAGTAAATAGCACCGCTTATTAGCACTGAGTGGAGCACTTCCATAAAAACAATAAACAGTCTTTTCCTAAAAGCAGCACACAGTTTATATGTTTAGTCTGTGGACTGGCATTAAGGACGTTCAAAGGCAATAAAATAATTGAACCAACAACAGTTCACTTATTGTTATGCGGAGAAGGTGACAACTAGCTTGACACAAGTGGGTAGAACTCTGGACCCCAGCAGTGATAACTCCCAGGATGCCCATTGTGTAATTCTTATACTTTGAGTGACATTGTTATATACTTGTGACAACTGCTCAATAAACCGTGTTTGTGTTTATATTCAAGTTGGTATTTCCGCTATCCAAAGTGTGCAGTCTTATTGTTGATAGTCATTTTGGAGAAATGAATGCGAAGTTAATTAATGCGAGCAAAGACCACTTGCATTTTTTACATGTAATTCACGCTCACGTTAATTTCAAGATTTACAGTATATCATACAAATGATTTATCATAATTTTCAAAAATATCACTTCTTTTCATAAAATCACCTTAATGATGCCTGTTAAAAATATTACCCAGCAACTGGCCATGCATTTAGATAGACCAAGCAACTCCCTCCTTAAGAACTACCTGGTACCCGTCAGTTGGCAAAGCTGTCATGGAACATGACCGATGACAAACAAACCCTAGTGGTACATGCTGACCAGTTACAATCAATTTCAAGTCAATTCATGCTAACATCCAAGTACAGCCTGGTAATGCCATTTTTCTGGAAATTCATTACAAAAATAAAGTGAATGTCTTTACAAATTTCTAAAGCATACAACTTCTTATGAAATGATGAATGTTTAAAGAGTCTAATATATAATAAAGATGAATTATGAATAACACTGACAAAATCTGGACCTGAAACAAGTGCCATGAAATATATTAGATATACAAGTCGCTCATCTAATAAATATGTGGTTAGACATATACTGTTTAAAGTCTGTTTAACAGACTCAAAATGAAAAAGAGACACAAAAAGTACAAGATAGTAGGCATAGGCATAAAAGAACAACTCTATTACAGTATGGTGACTACATGCGTGTACGACAAGCTACCTGTAAATATATGCTGGGTATACCTGAGTATCGCACAAGGCAAAAGGGTGAGATAATTTGAGTCCACTAGCCTTCACATCTCAACAAAGGCTAAATTTTCACTTAAGAACATCAAGTGGCAAATAAAACATTTGAAAGTTTCGAAATGTCATTTGCTTTCCACAAATCAGTTTTTCATGAAGACATAAATGATGTCAGAACACCAGTGATCAGTTGATGTTTGTTATAATAGTCTGAACAATATTCCACTAGCCAAAGGTATTTATAGCCATCAGTACATACATTGACAGCTATCTATACACATGAAAGCTGTCTGTATATATGCATGTAGCTACAGCTATGTTTACATTGGGTTATTCAGAGAGCATCACCAGTACTAGGCAACCTGTTGAGTACATTAGGATCTACTACAATGATATCCAGAGATGGACCGACACATGCCGTAGGCCTCTGGCTGGAGTACTGCCTGGCACAAACACAGGCTGCAGTCCAGACATTGGGGTACTGGCCCTGCTCTCATACACTGAATTCTGGATTACTTTCCAAGCTAAACAAAGGCTATACTTCAATACACCATCACCATGTGGTTCCTACCAATATTTACATGTCAACAGAAGAAGAATATGTTAAACTAACATGGTCACCTGAATGCAACATTTCAATGTAGATACTAACAACATTATCAAGCAAGGTAACAGTGTTAGTATCTTCACCTAAACATTGCATTCATTGTAATATATCCACAGAACTATCTCCCTTGTCCATCATACTACTTCTAAAGGCCACCTAAAGAAGTGAACATGGTCAAATGGATAAACAACAACACCATTGAGGGAACATAATAGCAGAACCTATTCTACAGGTAAATGTAACTGAGTTCCAAACACCAAGACAAGTGTTGTATCCCGTGGGGAACTGCTTGGTGATCTGCAGCCCTCTGTGCATAGCGAGATGACAAGATTCACATGACAGAGCACCACGACCTGGACTTGGTAGTGGTGATCTCCATGTCCCCACTTGACGACATGTACCTAGTGCTGTACTCTTCTCCAACCATGTCATCGTCATCATCATTCTCCTCTTCATCATCCTCTCTATTCCCGGAGTAGCTATACTTACTTGATGTGTAGGATCCATCCAAGATGCTGTTCTCATTTCCATATCCACCCCTAGTGCTTGAGGACTTGTACAATGTTCTTGACATGTTCTGCCTGCTTGAGCGGACAGCACTTCCAAAGGAAGACCTGAGACTAGAGTTAGATGACAGTCTTCCTACAGGTGTGCTTGAAACCAGTGGACTGTCGACCAAGTCAGTACTGTCATTAAAACGCCGTTTCTTGGCAGTAAGGCTTTCATAAAAGGGGGTAAGAGCAGTCTTGCGTTTCTGACCAGACTTTAATGCCACAGGGGAAAAGCCTTCAGTGGATCTATATGTTGACGTTACAGATTCAATAGATTTCTTTGCAGAGCCACTCCCAGATTTTAAACCTGTAAATGATTGTGGTGTTCCAACTGATCTTGTTTTTGAGGATGTCTCTTCCAAAGAAGACCTGGATGTATTCTGGAGCTTTTTTCGCGGTGAAGCTTTGCTGCTGGTCTGTGAGGTCAATGAGATTGTGGTCAGTTTGATGTTAGGGGTCAAGGGTGATGCAACAGATCTCCTCTTCTGTCCAGATTTAACTGAAGATGATGATTGCCGTCTAGAACCGGTGGATGATCTCTTAGCTGAACTAAGAGAAGATCGGGACAGAGATTTTCTTTTTACAGACTTGGGTGTTCTTGGGCCAGATGAAGAGTCTGTTTTAATTTCTGTGGACAAGAAAGATGAACTTGCGACTTCAAGAGATTTTCTGGCTTTTGAAGAATTCACATGGGTTCTCTTCTGTGATCCGGAGGAAGACCTGGCAGATCTCTTTGTGGATGATTTCTTCTTGAAACTAGATTTTGAGGTTGAAGGTGTCTGTTGAGATTTAACCGGAGTGGATCGGCTAGATGACTTTGATGATTTCCTACTTGACTTAGGAGTTACTTTCCTTGGTGAACGCGATCTGCCTCTTGATCTAGATTTAGCTGAAGTTTTTCTTGGGGTTGTACCAGGTGTTTCTTCTTCAGTTGATGCCACACTTGTGATAGATATATCTGATCTATCGGAGTCACTCTTGTACTCTTCAAATTTCCTTGAGTGTGATCTGGATGACTTTGCTGAACTTGATGATCTGGTTGTGCTCTTCTTCTTTGACTTGCTCTTTGAAGTTGATTTTGGAGATCTTTTGGATGCCGACGCAGATGCATCTGCTTTCTTGCTACTGGATTTAGATCTTGCTGTCGATGCAGCCAATAACTGGGAACTGCTCAAGTCACCAAGACTTACTTCAAGTCGACGTGGTGTGGATGGATTGGAAGGTGCACTTTTCTTAATAGATTTCTTGCTGCTTGAAACTGGAGACAAATCTGGGGACCCAGAGCTTTTCAACCCATCCATATGTACCAGTAGAGTACTGGATGTTGACCCCTTTGATGCTGAAGATTTTTTCAGCGGTGATGCTGAAACTGACAGCCTTTTCTTGGGACTTTGTCGGGATTTGGAGTTTGATTTACTTCCTGATTTTTTTGAGGAACTAACCACCACACGCCTCCGTTTTTGGGCAGGTGGTGTGATAGGTGTCACAACCTTAAAAGAAACTTCCAAGTCATCTCCTGCTGCTTGTTTAACCCTCGAACGTTTTTTGGTAGATCTTGCCGATTGTTTTGGAGAATCACTTTGACTTCTCTTCGGTGTTGTCTTAGCTTCAAGGGCGGGTGATTTACTTTGCCTCCTCTCAGATCTTGATGGAGATTTATTGGGTGAGAGAGACTTTCTGCTGGATCTTTTAGCACGGCTAGAACGAGAAGACAAAAGTGAAACATCCTTTTTAGAGTCTAATGATATCTTTGAGGACCTGCTCTTAGTTGTTGTAGATGTTTGCTTCTTCAACAATGAAGCCCTCTGTGCTTTCAGAATCCTCCGTTTGGGGGGTGGTGATTCAGTTTCTTCTTCTTCCATCGAGGTAGATCTAACAATCTCCACCATCTCACGGACTGACAGAGCAGCAGACTGCAAGGGGGACTTTTTAGCTGGTCCACCAAACATGGAGGACCGCCTGCTTCGTGTCTTGACCCCAGGTGGGGAGAAGACGGTGGGCATCTTGAAGACATTGCTTCTCTTTACAGCCTTGGAGGCTGACCTCTGAGGAATCTTGGACACTACTGTTTTCTTGGTGTACACTGATGACCTGGGAGAGAAAGTTTACAGATCAATACTAAATCACAAGTCTGGCAATCAAAACAGCAAAACAGCTTCATAGTTTACAAGCAGCAGACAAATGTAACTATTCAAATATAGATCAAAATGTAAACTACTTCAAGTTTATTACATAAAAACGATTATTTACAAATTTTACTTCAAGTGTGGATACTAACCTGCGTGTTCGTGGTCTTTTAGGCGATGGTGATGCCGACTTAGGTGATTCAAAAACAGCAAGACTGCCTGACACCCATCCTGGAGTCAGTGGGGACCCTGGTGACAGCCGACTTCTCACTGGCGTGCTGCTAACAGGAAACACAATTATCAACAAGCATGAAATACTCATATCCCCCGCCAACATGACATGTCCGGTTGTGTGCAATGCATTAGCTCCTTTGAACTATGTGCACTGGGACTTTTTGTAAATGGCCTACTTGCAGCATTAAAAAAAGTTATTGCTGGTGTTGTTTTGACATCTGCCGTATATGATAGAATATATAACTGTATTTGTAAAGAATAAGGATGAGACATATGGATGAACAACATCTTTATTACAATTAGGAGCAATGGTTTCGGTGTAGGTTCTAACACCGTTATCAAGCAAGTGAAGTACAGAGTATGGTTGACAAGACTATATACAAGATAGGAGGCAGTGTTTATACAGTTGAGTAGGTTTAAGATCACTTACACTGTTGTATTTGTAATGAGTTGTGTTTCTGCATGAAGTTAGTCAGTGAATGCAACAACCGTGTCCATGACATTTTTGGAGGAACATACACACAAGCAATGCAGAACTTACCACCAAGAAGGGAAATGTATTCAATACTGCAAGATGACATTATATGCCAAGTTAAGTGAAGAAATATGGTATGGTTTTCTAGATCTGGTCCGGAAACGAGGACTTCCTCCATTTTCAGTCTAAGTCAAAGTCGTAGCCATGGAAACTCGAAAAATAATTCTTTTAAATATCCCAAACTATCAAAATGCACCGGTTCACCACTAGACCTATCTATGTGCCACGTTTGGTGAAGAAATATGGTACGGTTTTCAAGATCTGCCCCGGAAATGAGGACTACCGCCATTTTCTCTCCAAGTCAAAGTCGTTGCCATGGAAATTCGAAAAACAATTTTTTTGAAAACCCCAAACTTCAAAAGGCACCAGTTCACCACTAGACCTATCTGCGCCAAGTTTGGTGAAGAAATATGGTATTTTTCAAGGTCTGCTCTGGAAACGAAATGTGACTGACGGCACCCTTTCCTATATCCCCCTTCCACTTCGAGGCGGGGGGTAATAAGGTGCCGAAAACAAGCTATGCAGAAACCTCATCACTAAAGAGTTGTAGAAAACTCTTGTTTATCCTGTAGATTGATTTGTCTTATCTTTTTGACTGCATGTGTAAGTTCCATTCATATTTTACAATAACATTTTATTCTGTTCAAACATTTTATCATATTTCTGTGGTATCTGTGGGCTAAATCATTTTCATTATATAGGACAATAAAACTAATTTCCAAAGGGATTCAAAACAAAAACATTTCCTGTAAAATTCAATGTTCATAAAGTACCAATCTCACCTCACAATATGATACAAATCTATCACAAATCAAGTTCTAAATACAAGAACATGTTACAATTTATAAAAACAACCAAAGGAAGCAAAGCTGACCTTGAGAGATTTTCAAAAAATAATCTTATCTAAGAGAGACAACTGTACTACCCTGAAAACATGTCATTTGAATCAATTGCCAATGTTTCACAGAGGATGTCACTAACAGTTATTTTTAACTTGCATGCGAAACAGGGGAGTAGAACCAAGGGACCTTGGAGTGACAATGAAAGGTCTAACTTTTAACTTTTTGAATAAAAAATAAAAAGTATCCCAGCTTTGACTTGGCTAGGGCTGGGACGATACAACTGTGTGATCTGGGGTTGGCGTATTGGCACATGGAAAGTATTGCAAAATATTTCGATATGGAGATCTGTAATAAGATACATACTGGGGCCCAAATTATATATATATTTGTACTGTTCAAATGGTACTGCTTCACTCAATAATGCAAACTTCAGATTATGAGATAGGTTTTGACAGTATGGATAGATAAAACTACCTATTACATCATGAATATGGAATGTTAAAACAAACAAGTATAAAAGCAAACATTTCACTAAGGTAAGGTACTAAGGAAACACTTGTGATCCACTCATACAAAGTATGTTTGTTAACGAAACAAAAGAACAAATATCAGATATATTTCATTTCCTAAGGGGGGTCAAGGTGTCCCAGTTGTCTAAGGCACCGCAATTCGCTGTGCAGAGAAACCTATGGTTGTGGGTTCGAATCCTGGTTCGCCCTGATTATGTTTCTAGGTTTGTCAGCACCATACTTGTGCTTGTGGGTTTCACCGAAGTGGTAAACATCTAAGACCTGCATCACTTCGAGCTTTCCTCCCACATAAGCTGACATGCCGTGATATAACTGGAATACTGTTAAAAGCGGCGTTAAACACGACTCACTCTTTTATTAGTGGATCCGTAAACCAAATGAAGACAATATCACTTACGCATGCTTAAGGGGCCTGAAAAAATCATTCACTTTTGAAAATAAATGGGCACTCAAATATTTACCAATGATTTAGACATTACAACACTTACAGTGCCCTTGTCCCAATGGGGCTGTTCAGTGTCCTACTTGATGAGACCAGGGTGGTCACTCGAGAGGATGATGATCTGATGACAGTTGTCCTGCTGCTGCTGCTGCCACTAGACGTCGACGACTTCTGTATGACACTTATTCTTCTGCTTGGCATGGTTCAAAGTATAGGCATCACACGCTTACCTGCAAGGGAGATAACTCATGTCAGCATGAAGGTATGGAACAAACAATATAAAACATTTACTGTCACATATTTGTTGAAGGATAGTAGATAATACTAGATATATACTGAAGGATTGTAGATATATACTTAAATATGTATAAGATTTTGGCACAAACATTAACAATAATACCAGCGATAGAAACTAACAGGTTTGAACCACTAGTCCTTATAATGATAACATATAGCAAAACCCTTAATAAAAAGGGCAAATTTCTACTAGTCCTTATGATACCTTAACTATTGGGCAGTTTGGCAAGGACTACAGGACTAGTGCCAATTTCTAACGCTGAATACTAAATAAAATGCCAATTAATAATATTTGAACAAGTTCAGATGTTCAGTATTTTTACAATAATATATGTATCTGTATTTTTTTTACAGTGTTTGACACGGACCAAAATTGGTCAGTGGTCCAAACAAGTTACAGTGTTCCTGCTAGCTTTTGAAACAGCCAGTCCTGGTGGACGGGCAACTCTAAAAACTACCAGTCCCCACTAATTTTTGCCAATCCCAACTTTCAACAAATTAAAAAAACACATATGAAAATTATTTAGTTTTAAGTCTTTCAACATCATGTTTAGTGCAAAGAAGTCATCTCTGAAGTAACTTAATTAAATCTATACGTTATCCGCACAAACTTCAGTCACAGATTTCTCCATTTTTTAAAAATATTTCGAGACAAAGTTGCTACAAATGGATATTTAACCTAGAAATAGAGTAGACAGGGGGAAACCCTGATGGTAACAGACAAGCTGACTTTGTTAAAAAATGTACTTATATAAATATCACCAATGTTTTGTTCAACAACAAAGATATACAAGGTAATTTATTTGCCGGTCCACAGGGACTGGCAGGCATGAATTACCGGTCTAAGCCTAATTTTACAGGTACAAAAATGGTAATTACCAGCATGGGAACGCTGAGTTAACAACCAACACCAATAATTATCTACTGGTTCTGTTGGATCTCTACTGGACACAATGCTGCTGACAAAAATAGGTGTTAGATGGTAGTACTTCATTGTAATACTACAAGCTGTTTACAAAATGGCAGTAAAATAAGACAAGTTAATGCTGGTCAACTTCAAATGTTTATTTGCTTGCAACAGGTCAAATCTTCACGTGTGTGTGACACATCCACTAGTTCCCTTCCTGTGTTTTCGCAGATACTTTATCATGTTTATACAACAAGTGAGCGTATTTACTAGAATGAGAAACCAGTCAAGAAGGTACCACACACCACACACAGTTGTTTAGGTTGCTGATTTAATTAAAGCTTAGTCAATCTGTCGCTGATATCAAAAGTCGAACAAACTCAAATTACTTTGTCCTCCCCAATATAACACTAGACCACCATTCATAAGACAATATGTTAGACTTGGACCAGCGTTTGTGCCAAACGCTCTGTAAGAACGTATTGTATTTTATACAGATCTATATTATATAGCCTAGAGGTATTTGCAATTGTACTGTAGTTCTCTGTCTCTGAAAAGGAACTTATTTCACAGAAAAAAAGTTGTTAAATTATAGTCATAAAAAATAATAAAAAGGAGCCCATATACTTTCTTCATTTTTATACTGCAGTAATCTAGACTTGCCAAATATGGACTTGCATGGGCTGTTTAGGATATATTTGTTTCAGGGTCTGTTTGACAGAATATGTAGATCTAGCTTTTCAATTTCCTAATACATCAATGATGAAGCTGTCAAGTTAATAAAAATAATCTATGAATACTATTTCTTTTTATTCTGTTTTGCAATGGTGTCTGACAGTCGAGTCCAAGAAACAAAAAAATATGAAAAGTCCCGAGAATCTCATGACCTTTGGCAGCTGTTTGTTTTGAACTAACACAAATGACTGGTCAAAATTTATTAAAGTACCTCTACATAGTCGATACGTTACCTTGTTGCAGAGCCACCCAACTAACTCCTGGAATTATTGATTTCGTTATACAGCTGACCTATTTCCACTCTCAACTTACTATTGCCAGGTACAATATGTAGCCTTACAGCAGGAAATAAAATAGTTTCACTCAGAGATATCGGTCTATCCGTAGTTCACTGTGCCATGATGATCAAACATGAGCACTGGTTTCGCACCCTGTCCCCCCTACAGATGCCTTACTGTATTACCTAACAGAGAATTGTCATTTTTCTGTTTACCGTTTACGCTATTTTTAGAATTACTACACACTCCAACGATTCGCGCCCAGCGCGCCACTGTGCAAACTGAAATCGGCGGCACACCTTTCTGTCACTTGGTTTGAGTAAATGTTATTAAGTGTACCAGAATAATTTTGTAGCCAATAAGATCACTGGAGTCTACTTCAATGGGAAACTGCATACATACCTGTTAATTACTTGCAGTAGCTGCCGTAGCTAGATGAAAGGATCAACAAAAACAACAACACCGTTGAAAGCGTGTGTAAACGCACTATTACGCACTGACCCGTGACCTTTGCTGCTAAATATGGAAATATTGGATAACAGCCGTCCTCTTAGCCAATCAACGCATATCTCTTTCTCGATTCAAACTTTCTGTCTCAATGCGCCGTAAACAGCCAGCACAAAGAACGTTGGCCGTAAGTTTCAAGTAATTTGTCACCCAACAGTAGTTTATACTTTCGCAAACACTAACAATATATACGATATCTATGTATCGATTATGTATTTATTGTATAAACACTTGTTATCGCAAACATTATCCTTTTTACAGGATGTACTATTTTAACATGCGCATGGATATCATCACTTCCGCAGTGTAGTAAGGTTTTGTACGATTCGCGCGGCGGTTTATCGAGAAGACATTGATAACATAACGCGTTAAATGTTTATTAAAAACATAAGCATCATTTGATTTGATGTCGAAATTACTTCATATAACAGCGCGAAATTAATCTGGTAAGTAACAAGGTAAGATATTTAGCAGTTTTGTTGTTTTGTTATGAATAATATTTGTCCCGCGTGGTTGATGTTTTGGTTTTAGATGCTGATTTCAAAGCTGCAGGCAGCTGATACTTTTTGTTTCATCGAGAACAAAGAATCGAAGTCTGCGCCAACCTGATAATTTTCTGAATTGAGCTTGGAATCGTTGTTGTGTGACCGTATTACCTTCCTTTCGCTATTAAGAAATACGTTATAGATGTATGACAATATTTTGAAGTTCCCGCTGAAGTATGACAGCGCGCATCGCCTACGGTTTATGTTGCTTGATGGAAATAGGTCATGTGCCGTGGAAGCAGTCGATGCCAGATATATAGCAATCTCAAATTTCAGTTGTATGTCAATATTGCACATGAAATTCAGTTGATAAGAAAAATCCGAATATTGAATTTAGAGAATTGCTAGCCGACATGTAACCAATATATTACTGTTATGTCCACCTGCATGATAGGCCTCAAGCTATCTAGATAGATCTACATGAACATCATGTACATTTAAGTCAATGTAGTTATTTTGCAATCGTGTGGATTATAAAAAAGAGAAAACATAATTGATAAACTGATGTAAACAAGATAAAAGATAAGCATTAAGAGCCATAATATTAAAGAAATAGAAGCTAGGACAGACACAGGGGTTATAGCTAAAACGGCACCTCGCCTCAGGCGAAAACGGCTACTATTGCCTGGTGAAAACGGCACCTTATGTTTTTTAACCTTGATAAAATAAATGATATTAAACTAACATGGTCGCTTGCAAACACCAATAATTGTGAAATGTTACAACTAGCTTACATTAGAATTTAGCCTCTACTCCAACTTTAATCCAACTTAGCCTATACGTAACTCAACTTATTGTGAAAACATAACATGCCTTGAAGTAAAATAAATGAAACTAAACTCACATCGTCTCTTACAAACACTAATAATAGTGAAATGTTTAAACAAGTTTACAGTAGAAATTAGCCCCCTACTGTCCAGGACATTTTTTGTGAGGCCAAGAGAATATCCTCCTGGTAAATAGAGGTGCCGTTCTCGCCAGTCACATAGTAGCCATTTTCGCCAAATGCGGTGCCGTTTTCGCCAGAGAAATCGGTGCCGTTTTAGCCTGCACCCCAGACACAGTATAGAAATATGGACACTGTTAGACAGGTTTATTAATTTCTTTATCACATTGTTAGTGCATGGTAGTTACTATATGATATTATTCACTTGTACACATGCTTATCCTCAACACTCTTGTTGTATGAAGAAGCCAACACTTTTCTATTGCCCTGCACTTTAATGAAGTTTTTTACAATAGTCTGAACATTGATCATAAGGCTGCTTTGAAACATGAATTAATCATAAAGTGTTCCTCTAACAAATGCTGTTCTTATTTTCAGGTAACCTACCATGTTGTATGGAAAAATCGTTGTAATAAAGCGTAATGGTCAGGATGGTGCCCATTTCCCCTTGACCGCATCAGCCTGTCTATTTGGACGGTAAGTAAGAGATGCTTGTGGTTTTACTGGTAGTATTACAAATGTTGATCATGAAGCATACTTACATTACTGTCACTGTTTGAAATTAATCATCATTCATAGTTGACATAGCCTTAGTCGTGCTAATGTTAATAGGTATGGGTTTAGGAAGTCAATAGATCTAAATACTTTTTCAGCTAACACTGAATTGAGTGACTTTGATAGTATGATACTGAAAATGATAGAATTGTGCAGAAACTAGTATCAGTGATGATCCAAAGGCAATATAGGTATAGGCAATAACTCACTACACATGCTAAAAAGAAACTTTGTGTGGATACATTTTGGGCTTGTTAAAGGGGAAGTGTACACGCAAAAATCACTTTCTTTCTTATTTTAAAGAAAACGGAATTTTAGAATTAGTTAGTATCTGTGTTTGAAAATATACACTCATTTTTTTCACAGTGAAAGTAGGAAGCTCACAATAGTGTGAAAATGATATGCCGTTATGAGGCCTTCGTTTTTCGAGCTAAACAGGCCTGAGTTATCCCCCTTAGATTATGACGTAATTGGTGCCAATTCAACTGGGTCCCTGTCTATTCTCAACGCAAAAGATATCAAGTTCCAGTTTGCGGTTAAACAACATGGCCTACGACACACTCCGGCGCAGTGGTGACTCAGCATAACACTATGCTGGCTGGCATCTGAGACGCTAGAATCACACACCTAGACCTACACCACGTGAAGCGGCTCTAACAAAGCATGATGACGTCATAATGTTTATCAATTGGCACCAATGACGTCATATTGCAAGGGGCATAAGCCATGGTGTTTTTGTTGTGGAAATAGAACACTTGGTAAATGTGAAAAATATAAATCATTTTAATGCGAAAAATATGTTAATTAATTGTGATATTTTTATATTTTTGTCTATGACACTTCTAGGTTAACACTTTTAATGTGGAAAAAGTACAAGAAAAATAGGTTAATTTCCGTGTGAACTTGCCCTTTAACTTGTTTCTGTTTTTTTTTTTTGAGTTTTGTCACAGATTGTAGTACCATAAAAAACTTACTATGGACATGTACGGTTGAGCATAGATTTTAGAACTATATGTCACGTATATATACCTGTCATAACATCACATTGCTGTTCTGGTTGTGGATTTTGACAATTTCATGGATTATTGATCATCAATGCACTTTTTTTTAGGAGCAATGAATGTGACATTCGAATTCAGCTTCCGAACGTGTCGCAGGTCCACTGTCGTGTTGATGTAGATGACTCTGCTGCTGTAAGTGTTTTCAGCCAATAAAAAAGAAAAAGAAAGTCACATGTTCTGAAGTTTGTTTATGAAAAAATCGTTGATAGACCTTGAACATGTTGATAGTGATGTAGCTTTCAAAGTACTTAGAGAGTAACCAACAAGCTACAGGGACTTGTGGGTTATCTTTCCCTTAGTAAATGAATGAACACTTTTATTTCAAATTTTGAGCAGCTCTAGATAATCGCTGACACATCCTATTTTTCTTGACAATGAAGCACAAGGATGTCATTTGGGTTCAACTTACCAATCAGCATTGCTATAATGTACATGTGCAAATGCCAGAAAGTTATTACACACTTTCAACTATTGTTTTCTAAGGGATTGGTCATGGATCATAGAGGGGTTGGCATGGAAAATGACACAGATATTAAGTGGGGGCAATGAAAAAATGTTACTTAAAATGGGAGGGGTGTCATTTTCATAAACAGCAAGTCTGAAATGTGCTGTGGGCTTCTTGATTTTAAAGTCATACTGTATGCCTGATCATGTTGATTGATAAATATCCTTTGTTCGCTTACTTTCAGATTTTCTTGACAAACCTAAGTCAGACAAACCCGACCCTTATCAATGGAAAGACGGTATCATCAACGACTCGTGTTAGCCACAAAGACATCTTTACGATAATTGACAGATCATTCAGATTTGAATTTCCACCAGGATCCCCTTTTAGAGAAGGACTGTCACCCAAACCCAACAAGAGCCCCATTAACAAGTCAAAGATTCTTAGTCCAAAGGTAAGGCCTGAATTTGAACATGATAAAAATATAAGGCCTTTTAGTTTTAGTGTTGAATTTTTTGCCATTTTTGTAGATTTCAAGTATATTTGCTCATTTGGCGTCTTTAAGAATTGAAATTTCTCATTGTCATTGTGATGTAGGCCATTGTTGATGGTCGTGTGGTCACAAAAACAATTCATGGATGTGCAAACTCAGTACTTTGTTGTTCAAATCTTTAAAAGAAAGGAATAAACTTTATATTGAGGAATAGCAAATTTACTATTTGTATTCTATTTTCAAAGAGGACAATATGTGTAGAATTACTGCACTTTCCTGAAATTCAATCAAATATGAAGTTCTGGGTCCACTTGCACAGAGCACTATGCTTGCTGTAAGAAGTGACAAACAGGATTGGATGGTCACATAGCTGACTTGGTTGATGCATGTCATATCCCAATTGCGTAGATCGATACTCATGACGTCAATCACTGGATTGTCTGGTCCAGGCTCGATTATTTGCAGACTGCCGTCATAAAACAAAAATATTGCTGAGTGCGGTGTTAAACAACAAACAAAACAAAACCATTCTTAGTTCTACAACAAAAATAGCTCATATCTCACTTACTTACTTGGTTTGGTTTGTGTGGTTGTTTGAAAAGTTGATTTGTTTTGCAGTCAAAACCTCCAATATCACCAGGGAGATCTGTATCTTCCTCCCCTGCAAGAACTCCGGCCAAAGGAGGTTCTCGACCAAACTCTCCTGCAGCAAGAAGGATGTCTCAACCCCTTTCCCCCAGAGCTGACAATGGCAATATTGTTACACCTTTGTCTGTGAAGCCTCAAAAGGCTGCCACACCCAAACCTGCCACTCCAAAAGCTTCTCCTAAAACTCCCAAGGCTGCTTCACCCAAGCCAAGCCCAAGAAGTAAGACTCCCAGCCCGGCACGATCCCAGTCTAAGACAACCCCAAAGAGTAGTTCCAAAGAAAATGCTGGGGCAAGGAGCAAGAGTCCCGTCATAGCACCATCTACACCTAAACAGTCGCCAAAGTTGTCTCCTAAGGCTTCTAGTAAGATATTGTTTCAATAATGTACTACATATACCATATTCAACATAATAAGCCTCTACAGTGGTATTTGCTAATATATTTGGCATGTGAACAATCTCAATAAGCGCCCTTACCTATTTATCAATGTACACAAAACTTATTGATTTGTTTATGATACAGATTTGTGTGTCATACACAACCTCAATTATGGACAATTACATCCTGGAATAATATATCTCTCGTGTGTATACTAACAGACCTTTCTACAGTATCATTCATGCTGTCAGTGTGAGTATATATATATATGATTGTCATGATCCGTCAATGATATTCGAATATCAACAAATCCATATTGAATTACACATGTTAACCCTTTTGTTACACTATTTAAAGGGGCACTAATCTAACGCAATTCCCCGGGACTGGTTGTTGCCTTTGTTATTGTTTTTTCCCAGTGAGTACCCGGATGTATAGCAGAAATATAGACTAGTTCGCGACCTCTGCTGCTCCATTCGTAAGCGCATTAGTCACTTTTATGGGTAGTAATAAGGGTGTATGGTCACATTGATCAACAAAATGAAATACAGTTTTCGAGATAATAAGGAAATGTAGGTATCTTTGCGGGTAGCATCGGTAATGGTGACGAAATTTTGATAAGTCACTTGCTTGGTAATTTTGCGATTTTCGTTTATACTATTTTAACTTGCACCACAAAGTAAATATTTTACCTGAGCATTGCTTTTTTTTATAGTGTGTATATTTTTTCACTGTCAAAATGTGTAACATTTTCAAATTTATTAAACCTAAATATTCAGTTATTTTAAAAAAGTGACTGAAAAACATTTCCATCTGTATTATTATGATAACGAATTCCAAACATTTTGATGTTTAATGTCATCACCAAGAGACTGAAAATGTTACGTTGAAAAGTACATTTCTATGTTGTTAGGCCCTTTTGATCGTCTTAATACATTTTAGTCAATCTGAAGAATTTCCCAACCAAGATGTAGAGGAACAAGAACGAATCGGTTCAATGCTACAGCGAATGAAGGAAAACAAAATGCAAATACCATAATTACAACCTACCAAATTTATGTGTATAAATTTTGGGCAGCTTCCTTGTTCGAGGAATGTATCCGTGAATATCCACACAAAGGAACACTCGTCTGCAGCTGTACAAAGAAACTTATTCGATGTCACGTGTCTCTGTAACAATCAAATATTTTTAAAGATATATATCGTTTCGGGATATTATAACCCGTGTTCCTTTCTCAACTGATCACTTAGATTGTTTCAGGTGTTTCACATAGGTGTCAAGTCTCAAGGGTTGGCTGAGAAAGCCCATGTGACAACTATTTTCATAACATCCACGGTTCCTAAAAAATCCATTGAGTGATAGATAACAATGAGCAATCAATCAACGTATTATTAGTTAACCCTTTGAACAAAGTATGTTGTTTTTACATCGACACTTCACGCCATGATATGAGTGTATTCCCTTTGTTTTAGTAAACCTAGACATGTAAACACTCCCTTTTGACATATCCACTGTGCAAGATAACAGTGATTAATCAATCAACGTATTTTCTGTTAATCCTTTGATGACTAGGAATGATCCGTCGATTTACAAAAAAAATTAAATGAACTGATCATTCACCTCTTGCTAGGCTGCCACGTGCATATTACATAACACACATTTCACCTCACTTCAAACCTGGATTTAGATTGAAAAATTACCCCAGACACAATAAATGCCAAATGGGAACCTTTGTCAGGTAATCTAAGTGGTGCTACCACTAATTGTACCTGTAATAAATTCATTAACTGAGCATCAAGTGAATGACGACAAATACACAAGTGTAGGGTTATACGAGAAAACGTGGATGACAACAAGTGAGTAGTAATCGTATTATCGACGCAATCTGAAATACGAAAATGCTTTCACTGCATGGATACTTTTTTTTATTATTAAACTATAACCATCTGGGGTATTTCCAAATGACGACATACGATGAGCTCCGCCGTTCTTTTTGTCTGTTTGTTTAGGCTGAAGAAATTAATTAACATGCGCCTTTTGTCGAAATCTTTATAGATCACGGTTAAACTAATCAGTGTTCAAAAATGCGTAAAACAAATATTGCATCCAGCCTCCAAGCTTATTTAGCTGTCCTTGCAGACGGTAGCCCAGTCTCTGGTCACGCTCAGTTGCGTTGCGTATCATCCAGGTACTCACGGGGAAAAAACAATAACAAAGGCAACAACCAGTCCAGGGAATTGCGTTAGATCAGTGCCCCTTTAAGTGTTCATTGTAAAATTGGACTTATCTTTGTAATCTATTTTATTCAAAATTTCTTACAATAATGTTTACATTAGTTTTGGCGAAATAATGTGTCCCTCCTATACTTACAACTTCGTTAACCTTATTTACCGAGAGCTCGAAAATCAGTCCTTTTCAGGGGTCCTTTTCATAGTGGATCCCAAGATTAAAAAATTACAGAAGACCTAAAAACACTCAATCCCTCTCTTCTCTCCTTTTCCTTTCTTCCTCCCTCCTCCCCCCTCATCCCACCCTGCATGATTTTGAATACACAGGACCTCTTGAAATTGTCTTTCAATTGTATTCATATGCAAATAAAACACAAAAAGGTGTGAATTTAAACTGGAAATTAAAAACATTGATCAGTTTAGTTTTTTATGAATTTGTTCCTGATATTCAGTTAATGTTTTTGCTGTTCCCTTGTTTTAGGCTCCGGAAACAAGCGGCGTGCGAGTGGAGGGAAGAAGGTAAGCACATTCCTGACGGTATGGAGTTGGGTGGCAGCATCTCGCATATATCGGTCTATTGCAATTGATCCAGGGTCACTCAACAATGATGATGTTGACTGACATTACAAGCTCCCTGTCTATTACACATACATTTCATTGAGGAAGACCTGTAACTTTCAATTAGGGGTCATATTTGTCCTGAACAGGAATTTAGAAATAAGCAATAGCTGCAATGTGTGAATTGTGAAACTAAATAGTTAATGACACGTGAGTCTAAGTGAGTTCAGCTGATATACGATAGTATTTATACCAGATTATATCTAATTATATGTCCATAGTTAGATTTTGTTATTTATTGATGATGAAATGTGCCACTTGTTAAACAGAAATAAACACTGACCACCTTGAAGAGAATAGTGTTTGTCCTTGTTTTCCGGCTAGGACATCAACAATTAACAAGAATGGAGTTAAGAAATTGTTAATGCTTAATTGAACGTGTCTTCTGACCATTTTAACTGGTGACTAGTTATATTGATTTCGGGATCTTTGTTCTTTGTAGTCATTTTGAGTTTACCTACTTTTTCTTTGGTGAATGATTGGTGAAGAAGTAGGTCTGAAAAAATCATGTAAAAAATCCAGAAGTTTAAATGTTGTGCCTCCATGAACTACCAACATGCCTTCAATGTTTGAAATGTTTGTTTGTACAGAAAAAATAAAATAAATAGACATGTTAAAAAACTTTCAATATCCCATGATCAAATGAATTTTGCTTTTTCATTAAGGGTAGGTTATAGGGTATTTTTCTGATAGAGTAACTGCACAATATACTTTCTTAGCTTGGTATTTATTTACAACAAAAAATAAAATAAAAGATTTTGCAACAATTGATAAATCAGAATGTTATGTTTGAGTAATAGACCTTCACACTGAAGCATCATGTAATAGTATAACATCAAGGTTATAAAACCTAAGGACAATAGTTTATTGCCAGTGCATCACTAACTGTAGCTTGCAAAAACACGTCTAGATCACACATGCCATGCTATTGTTCTTAGTAAATGAGTCCAGACCAGAGTAATTAGTGAAGAAGAGCTAATCGTGGTTAACGAGCTACCAGCAACTAACAACTCACATCCTGTCAATTAGAGTTATTGGTGACGAGTTGTCTAGGAATTAAATGATCTTATCTGCTTAGGGGATAAGTTGAACATCTATATGGGTTAGTGTCCTTTTCCCTCTGAAGAAAACTGCTCTTGAGGCTGCAGAACACAAAGGTTTGCACTGTCCCCTCTGATTGTGAATGTTGTTGTCTAAAGGTAATACAAAGACATAGTACTGAACCAGTAAAAGGATGGTGTAACTGAGCAGTAATTGATTTCAGACACAATCTATTACCAAGGCAATGCCAGTTGTAAACTTTATCATAAAGGATAAAACTTGATAAATACATGCTGTCAAGGAGATCTGTACATTGTTCACAGGAGCTCCTATTCAAGGACAAATATTGGCCAACGGTGGCTCAAAATTCCCAGTATATGTACTTAGTAGCCAGTAGTAGAACTTGTCTTGATAGATGTGGAGCAAACCAGAAGGTTGATTTTTCTTGTTTGAAAGGAAAGATGAATAATATTACCTGATAACCACCATTGCATTCAGTGTATTCATAATTTTAAATGTGTCATTACCTTTCAAAATGTGTATACAGTCCCAAATCTGAAAATAATGTGGACATTTGCTGTGCCAACATTACTATCTCACAGCGTTTCAAGTAGACATAGAAAGAGAGGTCTACAAACCTGAACACATATGCTTACCTCCAAAATTGTCACCTGCTTGTACTAAACAAAATGTCCACTTTCGCACCTTGTATGCTTGAATGGTGTATCAAGTCAACATGATTTCACTCCCTGAATGTGTGTGTAAATGTACTTGTTGTTTCTAGTCCCTCCCAGCTGGCAGCCCTTACCCAACTCCAGCAGGCGGCAAATTGCGAACAAGCATCTCCGACCTGAGACGCAAGTCAGAGCCTGTGAAAGAGGCTGAACCTGTTACCCCAGCAAAATCACCTAAGGGAAAATCCCCAGCTAAAAAAACTCCCTCATCAGGGAAAAAGGGTGTGTGTCTTATTTAATTTTGACTTCTCATGTGTTTTTGTCTAGATTGCTTTCCATTGTCAGTAATTTTATAGATGTTTCTTTTTTTATTGTGGAAAAACCCCATTCAGAACTGCAGGGTTCAGTTGTCAAAATACAAATATTATTGAAAAAAACATTGTTCCAAAATATACAAATTGCTGCTTGAATTTTTATTACCACCTCAGCCTACTTCAGGAAGTGCTTGTTGTAATGATTTTCTGGGAAGAAGACAGATTGTTTGTTACACATTTCATAAAAACATGGTAGGTGAATCTGTGATGCAAGTACCAAATGATGGATCACAGATGATTTTGAAAATGTTAAGACATGTAATTTCTTCTTTCTTTTTTTAGGCAGGACTCCAAATAGTGGAGGAAGAAAGCGAAAATCAACAGATTTTGAACTGCCCAGTGCCAAGAGAAAGCGAGTTTCTTTTGGCCCTCAGCTCACCCCTGAGCAATTTGACAAGAGACTACCCCCAGCCACACCTATTAGGAAGGGGGCCACACCTATCAAGAAGGGAAACACACCAAGAAGGCTGTCGGAACCCATCCAATATAATAGGAGCCCCAAGTCACTGCTGAGAAGATCCCTAGCTGCGCAGTCAATCAAGGAAGAGAGCCCTCAAAAGACTCCACGTGGGCGCTCCCCAAAGAAATCTCCAAAGGCATCACCTAAGTCTAGACCAGGAAAACAAGATATTAAGACCATGCCATTATCTATACCAGTTAGCCCAAGGTCACCATCAACTCCTAAGTCTGCCAGGAAGGCTTCACCCAAGTCAGCAAGAACTCCATCAAAATCTCCATCACGTTCACCCAAAACACCAACGCATGCATCTTTTTTAACCATTGCTGATACTCCTGTATCATTGGTGAAGAAGACCCCAGCAAAGTCTCCTGCAAAATCTCCAGCAAAATCTCCTGCCAGGTCAGAAACAAGATCTCCAGCCAGATCGCCATCTCCACCATCGGCACGCAAATCCAGATCACCTACAAAAAAAACACCAAGCAAGAGCCCCCAAAAGTCTCCAGCGAAGTCACCAGTGAGGCCTCCAGCTGGGGCAGGGACACCCGCGAAGTCTCCAGCTAGGGCAGCGACACCAACTAAATCTCCAGCTAGGGCAGCAACACCAGCAAAGTCTCCTGCTAGGGCAGCGACACCAACTAAATCTCCAGTTAGGTCAGCGACACCCGCCAAGTCTCCAGCTAGGGCAGCGACACCAACTAAATCTCCAGTTAGGTCAGCGACACCCACAAAGTCACCAGCTAAATCTCCAGCTAGGGCAGCAACACCAGCTAAATCTCCAGTTAGGTCAGCGACACCCACAAAGTCACCAGCTAAATCTCCAGCTAGGGCAGCAACACCAGCTAAATCTCCAGCTAGGGCAGCGACACCAGCTAAATCTCCAGCTAGGGCAGCGACACCATCTAAATCTCCAGCTAAGGCAGCAACACCAGCAAAGTCTCCAGCTAGGGCAGCAACACCTAAAAAGACTCCAGCTAAGTCTCCTGCAAAGTCGCCAAAAACAACTCCAGCAAAATCATCAGTTGTTTCTTCTCCTATTACATCTCCAAGAAGAGCACAGTCTGAATCCCCCAAGCGAACACCAGCTAAATCTCCCAAGCGAACTCCAGCTAAATCTCCCAAGAGGACACCAGCTAAGTCTCCTGCAAGAGCACTACCTAAATCGCCCACAAGGACACCAGCTAAGTCTCCTGCAAGAGCAATACCTAAATCGCCCACAAGGACACCAGCCAAGACACCTTCAAAATCACCCAAGAGGGCACCAGCCAAGACCCCTCCAAAATCACCGGTCCTAGAACCAGCGGTAGTTGCTTCTCCTGCAACTAAATCCCCTAAGAAAACACCAGCCAAGTCCCCCAAGAAGACACCAGCCAAGTCTAAGAAAACACCAGCTAAGTCTCCCAAGATGACCCCAGCCAAGTCACCAACAAGAACCCCAGCTAAATCACCAGTAGTGGTTCCACCTACACCTGAATCAGCTGCTAAATCACCAGCAAGGATTCCAAAAGTTGACACTTCTAAATCGGGAGGGAAAGTTAAAAAAGCTAAAACAACTAGGACATCTGTGCCTATGAATCTGACTGGTATCAAGGAACTGATGAAGACTCCACAAAATAAGGCTGATGATGTAGGTCTGTCTGCAATCGCAAGGTTAGTAAAGACCCCCAAAACATCTGGAAGAGCGAGTGGTAATCTGAACTTAAGTGGACTCGAAGATTTGTTCAAATCTCCTAGCCCAGCAAAGGGTAAGACTCCCAAATCTACTCCCCGATCTGTGAAGAAATCTCCAGTTGCTTCACCAAAATCAAGGAAAAATACTCCCAAGTCTGCCAAGAAAGCTGTCACTCCTACCAGGAAGTCGGTAACACCTAGAACACTGAGCATGAAGAAGACTAAGCTGCTACAGAGCCCAGCTGGAAAGATAGTCTCGCCCCCATCAGACATGAATAAGGTGGTGGCCCTCAGAGCAATCCATGGAAAGGCAGCAACACCTAGGCTTGGACTGCTTATGAAGAAAACGCCTGGACGCAAGACTCCAGCTAAATCGAAGACACCTAAGAAACTATGGGCTGATGTTGTGAAAGTAGGTATTGCTGCTGTGGGTGTTGCTAGCAAGAAGACTGGGCCCAAGCCTAAGGCTGTCAAGATTGTCTCTAAGACGGCAACAAAACAGGTAAGATGTCAATCTATTTTCCCCTAATTGAAGCAGATGGCAATCATCTAATTTCATGAAATATTGCATTGAGGATGTAGTGATTTCAATGATATATTTCTTTGTGATTTGAAATTCTAATGCAATTGTCACACTGTTAATTTTTTTAAGGTACTGCTGAAATCTTCCAAGAAGACTCCAAAGACTCCCCGAGCCCTGGCTCGTGCCACTGCTCCCTCCACTGGACATGCAGATTCCCCAGCTACTCTGGTTGTGGGCAGAAAGATCAGCAAGAGGGTCAAGACACCTGGACCTGTACCTAGAAAGGGACGTAAAGTTAGCAAGGTAAGCTAGAGTTATGTAATATACTACTCAAAAGAAGTTAAGGATCACCCGATTCTTTCATAATGGTAAAGTTAATCTGTCATGACATGAGAGATTAACTATAGTAATATGAAAGAATCAGGTGATCCTTAACTTCTTTTGAGTAGTATATATTAGCTTCATGTTCTTTCATGTCATCTGATAAATGTGAACTGAAAATAAAAAATCAGATCATTATAATGAATATCAAAACACTGTTTGCAACATTTGTTTGGTAGCTATTTCACTTAGGTGTTTGCTTTGACATTCACTTTCATTCCCTATTTTAGGCTGCTCACAAATCTGTAGGAAATACAAGTTTTACTGGTATTTCTGAACTGTTCAACACTCCAGTCAAGACGGGAAAGACTCCAGGAAAGAAAAGTCCCAAGTCATCGGCTAAAAAGACCCCTGTTTCTGTACAGGGTACACCCCACGCTTTGTATGAAGATCTTCCTGACACGCCCATGGGTCCTGGTGAGATGATTGTCTCGCCCCTCACCAACCGGCGCAGCAGCGGAGGGAAGAGTCCAAATAATTTGAATGGTGTGAAGCAACTCTTGACAACACTAAAGAAAGTGAAAGGCATAAGTCCAACAGGTGTGAAAAGATTGATGAAGACACCTAGAGGGAAGAACACAAATGCAAGTAATGCCAGCCCATCAGGCATTAAACGTCTCATGTCCACACCCAAGGTCAAGAACACACCTGCCAGTCCATCTGGTGTGGCTGAGCTCTTCAAGTCCCCAGCAAAATCTCCTGTTAAGTCCACAAAGCAGGCTACAACTCCCGCAAAATCTGCAAAGGCTGCAACTCCTGCAAAGGCTGCTACTCCTGCAAAATCTGCAAAGGCTGCTACTCCTGCAAAGGCTGCTACTCCTGCAAAGGCTCCAACTCCTGCAAAGGCTGCTACTCCTGCAAAATCTGCAAAGGCTGCTACTCCTGCAAAGGCTGCAACTCCTGCAAAGGCTGCATCACCAGTTGCCTCTCAACCAGCACCTAGAGGAAGAAGAGGTGCTGCAGCAGCCAAAGCCAAGACAACTCCTGCTAAGGTAAGTAGCATGAGAATTCTTTTTAAAGCGTTAACAATTCATTTGGATATTACCTTGCTGAAAGCTTGAAAAAAGTGGCATATATGCAACTTTAACCATTGTTAACCTGAAATTACCAATCCTACTGAAATTCTATTAGCATCAGTTTTCCTTATAAAAGGTTAGGGGGGGGGGGGCCCTAACCTTTTATAAGGAAAACTGATGCTTAACTAAAGTTTGAAATATAAAATATTGGTGCCTAACACAAATCTCCAATCATCGTCGACAAGAACAATGTCAAAGCGATACAGCTTTTTTTACAATTACATTGAGTAGTCTCTGATTTCATTTGCTGGTATCTTATAAACTAATGTGTAAATTACAGACTACTCGAGGTGGTAGAAACAGGACAGCTTTGAAATCACCAAAGGTCAGCCCAGCAAAGACAAAGAAAGCAGCTGCAGCAAAGAGTGCATCCCCAGCAAAGTCCCCATTACCTGCAAGGTATGTATATATTAGTACAGTAAACTATGGTTATAACGAACACAAAGGGACCACTAATTGTAGTTCATATATGGTTGCTTCAGGGTTGGACGCTGCCAATCAGGAGGTGCTCCTTTCGCAGCCTTGGTCAGCTCGGACCCTGTTTAATAACAAGATCCCTGGGGTTCTGAAGGAACAACATGCCGCTGTGTCTGCCGAGGCCTCTCGGCACACACTGGATCTTGTGGGGTCCTTGCATAGGTGCCTGGGTGCCGCTCCGAAGCGTAGCGCGCACCAGGATGCTGCGTCCGGCAGGCCTAAGGGGTCGGGTTCTTTTTCCTCCGGGAAGAAGCCCCGCTCTGAGGGCTCCGGTAAGGGTTCTCAGCAGCCCTTTCGCGGGAAGAAGGGGAACTGGGGGAAGCCCAAGTCTTCTAAGGACGGCAAGGGCCCCTCCAGGTGACTCTCATTGGAGGGGTTCGTATGCCAACAGTGCCAACTTCGGTTGGCCCGTAGGCGAACCCGAGTCACTTGGCCCTGGACAGTTGCGCCTGCCGGTGCCTGTCAGGCCCCCCTTTCCTTCCCCAGTGGGAGCCAGACTCCAGACTTACTGGGAGAATTGGGAACAAGTGTTCGACGACCCGTGGGTGGTCAACACGATTCGGTACAGCTATCGGCTCGATCTCAAAGCGAATCCGCCGCTCACCGTTGCCCCGTCGGCAGGTTTCTATTCGGAAACCGATCTTCTCTTCCTCGCCGATGCTATCGGCAGGTTGGTGGAGAAGAGGGCAGTTCGGGAGTTAGCTCTACCAGAAATAACACCGGGGTTTTACTCCAGGATATTTCTCGTTCCCAAGAAGGACAGTGCCGAACTCAGAATGATTCACAACTTGAAACCGTTCAACGAGTTCTACCTGCGCAAGCCGCCCAAGTTCAGAATGTTGAGCTTGACGGACCTGAAAGCACTGATCATGCCGGCCGACTGGCTAGCTTCGATCGACCTGAAGGATGCTTATCTGCATGTTCCGATTCACCCGGATCATCACAAGTATCTCAGGTTTGTCTTTCAAGGCACGCACTACCAGTGGGTTGTACTCCCATTCGGTCTTTCATCCGCTCCCTGGCTGTTCACCCGGTTAACCACCCCCATAGTGGGGTTCCTTCACCGGAGGGGTGTCCGGTACTTCACGTACCTGGTCGACTCGCTAGTAGCAAATCGAATGACGGACACCCTGTTACGCCATCTCGTTTATGCACGTCGGCTCTTGGAGCAATTGGGGTGGATTATCAATCACCCCAAGAGCGAGTTAACCCCTTCTCAGAACTTGCAATTCATCGGAGGTCGGTTCAACACGGTGTCCCATCACCTCTTTGTCCCCCCAGACCGGTGGCACAAGATGCAGGTGATGATTGCCAAAGTCTTAGCGGTGCAACAGACTGTTCACTTTTGGGAACAGCTGTTAGGGCTACTTGTATCAGCCCAGGACTGCACCGAACGGGGTCGTCTCCAACTCCGCCCGCTGCAAAGTTTTTTAATCCTGTTATCAATGGAGGTGAACAGTGCGACCGTCGCCCTCCCGGATCGGCTCCGACCGCATCTGGAGTGGTGGACGGTCCCTTACAATGTCTTATCAGGAGTCTCTATGCGGCCCTACCGGGCCACGTTGAACCTGTATACAGACGCCTCTCTAGTGGGCTGGGGCGCCCATCTAGAGGGGGAGGTGAGCTCGGGGCTGTGGTGTGTAGACGAACTAGGTCTTCACATCAATTTGTCTCGAGTTCAAGGCAGTGATCAACGCAGTCAATCACTGGAAGCATCGTCTCGTCGACGCTCGGCTCATGCTGGCGACCGACAACACGACGGTAGTGTCCTATGTGAACAAACTGGGGGGAACCCACAGTCACTTGCTACTCGATCTCACGTTCGAGTTTTACGCTCTGGTGGACAGTGTCCCGTGCCAGATACGCGCCCGTCACATCTCAGGTGTGCGGAAAGTACTGCTCTATCGAGGCCTCAGGATCCGAGCCCCACAGAGTGGATGCTGAACCCAGTAGTGTTTCAGTGGCTGTGTGAACGTTTGGGTCGTCCGATGGTCGACCTGTTCGCAACACGGTTCAACAATCAACTCCCGTTGTTTGTATCACCAGTCCCGGACCCGAGGGCCATCGATCACGATGCTCTCGCGTTAGACTGGAGGGGCTTGGACGCTTATGCTTACCCGCCGACAGTGTTGATACCACACATTCTGAGCCGGCTCCGAGGAGTTCGCTGTCGAATGTTACTGATAGCGCCCATGTGGCCGAACAGATCGTGGAACCCCGACTTGCTGACCCAGGTCACGCAGTCGCCACTTCCACTGCCTGTGAGACCGGATCTCTTGATCCACCCTCACACCCGTCAGCTTCATCCAAACGCAAAGCAGTTCAATCTGCACGCGTGGATGTTGTCACCGAGCATCTGAGGAGTAAAGGTTTTTCTCGCTGGGCGTCTCGGGCATACGTTAGTATGCAGCGTGATTCTACCCAGAAGGTGTATAATGCACGTTGGGTTATTTTCACGAAGTGGTGTTGTAAACATCACATTCATTCGCCAGATAAGGTATCTGTGCAGGATATTGCTCGTTTCATGTCTCACTTGCTGATCGCGGCACAAGCGGTCATCTAGGGGTTGTGTCCAGCGCAATTCCAAACTCTGCAGTCGTCAGTCCTTGCACGGTGGTCAATCTGGGTCGTCTCCAATGTTCCCACACCGTGGGTACAGGAGTGGGGGTCCTGCAAACCAGCGCACGCAGGTGGCTTTTTGTGTGTTTTGTCCTTATTTGTATTTTGACAATTATGCATTTAATTGTCTGTCGTGTATTCCAACCTTGTGATACATGCTTACGAATACTGGAATTAGGTCACTCGCCTAATGCATACTTTAAGTAGGCTTGCTCTGGGATATACGGTCTGAATGAAATTAATTTCCCTCTTTTCGACTGTTTAACCTGATCTAAGATTTAGCTCACGCGGATACAGTGTTCTCATCCGCTGCGGCGATGAAATACCTATCCAGTGGGGCCGTTTGGAGTCACCAATCGTTTTGGCAATGACGATTGAGCCTTACGGTATGCGCTTGACAGTGCTTTGGTATTCCTATAGGGTAACGCCTAGCTAGGTGCATGCGCATCGAGTGCTTCCGCCTTGGTGTTTACTTCCACTGGTCGGAAGGAACGCTAGCAGTCAGGATTCGGGTTGTAGGTGCTCCTCACCGCCTACTGTGGTAGTCAGCCTCGGTATAACAGTGGTAACGTATTACTTAATGTAATTTGTAGAATTTTCCTATTCGGAATATTCTATAAGTAATACGTTAACACTGGGCTGCTGCCCGCGCGTCCGTCCCCCGAGCACTTGCTCTCGCAGGAGACAAGAGTGAAGGGTGTCACATGGCAGCGACGTGGCTACGCACGTGTTGCATGAGGTAATTGAGATCTCTGTGGTAGATTTCGCTATAGCAGCAGTTGTGGGAGACAACAGCCTCGGTATAACAGTGGTAACGAATTACTTATAGAATATTCCGAATAAGAAAATTCTACAATTTTCTCAAGTGCTATGGCTTTGTTTTTTTGTTGTAATTACCGGCTGTGGAATATTTGTGTGAGTCATTGATTTGTGACTTTGTTTCAGGCGTAGGGGAAGAAAGCGTCCTGCAACTCCTGTCAAGACTGTGAAGAAGAAGGCCAAGGTTGAACCAGAACCAGTTGAGAAGGAAGGTGAGTACATGCTTTTCTTATCATTTGTGGAGCGCTGTGTAGTTTTCCGGGTGAAGCAAACTACCACATGCTGACTTATGCTTCACTAATATTTGTGTTTTTACTGTCTTACACTTGGATTCTCAGTCTTAGTATTATAAAGTTTGGAGTTTCTCATCTTCACTATCTTAGCCATTGGGCCTTCTTTAATCGGCTACATTACTAATTGCAACTTTCTCAAGACTTGGAAGTCGATGGTTGAAAAAAAGTTCTTTCAGATTCTTTTTTTTTTTTTGGACTTTTGTGTAAACATATGATGGATAGGTATGAAAATTATTATTTTTTAATTAATTCAATGTCATGGCCAATATCGTGAACAATTATTGAAACTGTTTAGTTTTGTATCTTGTCTCAATTTATTTATTTTCCTGGTAGATCCGTAACCCAATTAATTTTGAAAAAAGCACCCTAGTGTATGTGTACCAAATAAATTCAACTGCAGAGGATGCACAGGGAAAATATTTTATCAGTTTAATTCTGTTGTAAGGTGTAAAAACATTCAGCTGGTAAAATGTACCGCTAAAACAGATTATATTTGAATATTATCAGATATTTAATAACCTAAACATTTTTGGAAGAAAAGATGGACATATGAGTGCACTTTGAGAAACTTTTGATTGATGTAAAATGTTTCCCTTTCCTTGTAGCCTCACCAGTGAAAGCAGCCCCTGTGAAGAAAGCAACTCCAGTGAAGAAAGCAAAAGCAGTTCAGTCTCCTAAGAAGGCTGTTTCCCCATCTAAGCCAGCAGCAAGATCAAGAAGAGGGGCTCCAGTTCCAGCCCCAGAACCTGAAACCAAACCTGCTCAAGTGAGAGGCACAAAGAGAAAGGCGGATGATGTCAATCCTCCCACCCCAAAGAAAGCAAAGACAGATGTCAAGTCGTCCACACCTAGAAAGAGCCCCAAGCCAGCTGGAATAAAGACAAAGGCAACAAAAGCTGCCTCACTGGTAAAGTCTCCATCGCCAGTTAAGGCTCGAGGTCGAAGGGGTCAGCCTGTGGCCAGTCTAGTGGCCAGTCCAGTCAAGACACCAGAGAAGCGTGGTAGTCGAGGTAAACCTGTCAAGGCTAGTCCAGTGAAGACAAAAACTCCACCAGCAAAGGTAGCCAAAGGAAAAGCAAAGGCAAAGGAACCAGAGGTTGTGGTCACGGAAGTGGAACCTGTAGCAACTCCTGTCAAGGCTACCAGAAGAGGAAGAAGGGGGAAAGCTGTTGCTAAGTCACCAGTTAAGAAGTCACCAGCAAAGAAGACTACAAGAGGGAAGGCAGCTAGCCCAGCAAAGAGCCCTGCCCCAGCAAAGAGAGGAAGCCGGTCAAAACCAACTGCTTCACCTGTCAAAATAGTCACTAAGGCTACGGAACCTGCCCCAGAACCAACTCAGACGAAAAGTCCAGCTCCTGCCAAAAGAGGTACAAGGGGTAAACCCGTTGCCAGTCTGGCCAAGACTCCTGTCAAAGTTGGCAGCAAGAGATCTGCTATTGGTGCTACCCCATCTGCTCCATCTCCTGCCAAGAAAAAGAAGGCAGTTCCTGCTAATAAAAAAGCTGTAGCTAAGAAAGATGTCCCAGTGGCAATTGAAACGCCAGTAAAATCTCCAGCTGTGTCTGTTTCAAAGAGAGGAACAAGAGGGAAGCCAGCTCCCAAGACCCCTAAAAAGCTGCCATCAAAGAAGTCAGTTTTGGTTGTAGTGACACCCCTTTCTGCATCAAGGGGAAGGAGTGGAAAAGTAGCTGACTCAGCTGCAACTCCAGCAAAGGGCAAGGCTAAGAAGACAGCAACGCCAACAAAGGCTGCCACTCCAGCTAAGACTCGAGGAGATAAGAGAAAGGCAGTAGTAAAGCCCAAGACTCCAAAGCCGACCCGAGGAAAGAAGGCTGCCCCTAGCCCGAAGAAGGCAGCCCCAAGTCCGAAGAAGGTGAAAAAGGCATCAAAGACAAAGGCAACTCCCCGAAAAGCCACACCTGCAAAGAGAACTACACGGAGTAGAAAATAATTTCATGTAGCCTTAGCTGGCCAAAACCTGTCTGTAACACTTGTCTGTAGTTCAACTGTACATTTGTAATATTTTTAAATTGTGTTGGAGACTTCTTTGAATTTGTAACCTCAATAGTTACCTCAGATGCCTTTGAAAAGACAGTGTTAAATAATGTGTTCAAATGTCTCTTTAATAAATAGTTTTTATTTTTATGTCCACTATGTTAAATGGTCATTTGATTTTATACCAAGTTTGACTTGGTGGTGTCAACGTGTTATTTGTTGTCATGTTAACTTTTAGTCACTGTTAAGTGTCCCATTTGTAACATACTCATTCATTGCTCTTTGGGCAGCTGCAACAAAGATATATATCATGTTATGCTTTATGTCATCTTGTTTTTAACGTCATCACATCCTCATGATTGCTATGCATACTTGCTATGCAAGAAAGCATAGTTTAAAATTTTATGATTGTGCTCATTGTAAATAGCCACTCTTCCCATGGACAGATAGTTTATGATAAATGCTGCTGTTACATTTGGACAGGCAATATTTATTAATAGTGTACAACCTGAGAAACCATATCAATTATTTTGCCTTCAACCTTGCATGATTTTCCTTTCTGAAATTGAGGTGAAATTTAAAAAGGTTTTAATGAAATTTAGTAATTGATTAGCATTATTTCTTCATGCATCAAATGTGTAATTGACTCATTGGTTTAATGGCATTTTTATAATGGATCTTTTTTGTAATGGAAATATTTGATTATTTCTGCAACATTGTTAGAACTTGGTACTGAATGATTAAGAGTAATCAGTAAAGTGGTATATGACTATGTCTCAAGTATTTGTATAACAGTATTGTGGTTGGTGTTTTCCATGTGAAGTAACTGTTAGACCTATTTATTCAGCTTAGTTTGTGTGGGGTAACCCAATCATTTTATGTACCTTTTGCAAATGGGGACAAAAAAGGTGATAAAATATTTGGGATTTGGCTGAATCTTAAAAAGTGCTCTTCCATTTTTGATACTTTTTGTGTAATATATTTCACAGAACCATTTGACTATACATTTTATGATTCCATGCATTGTCCTTAAATGACCCAATTGTGTTTGGAATATGTTCTTTCTGGATTAACTGAAACAGATGTATCTTCTCTTCACCAATGTGTTCCGGTCACTTCACATACATCACATATATTACCTCATGTTAATGTCTGTCAGTCAACCAGTCATTTTGGATTCAAAAATTTATTTTGCATACTATCTTACGGACATTTGCGTTGCACATTTCTTATCTAAATTTTAGATTTATATGTGTAGATTTCATTTATGACCAATCACTAAAGCCTATACTCAGGGTTGCAGTTGATGTCAGTTTCATTGTACATAGCCATGAATCATCATGTGTTCTTACTGATCATCTATCATCATGTCTACTTAACCTGGTTCTGAAAAAAAAGGTGGAAGGCATTTCAAAATTCATATTTATTTTAATGTCAAGGTGAGAGAGCTATTACCACGTTCTCTAGATACTCCATCTGATTTGTTTTTTTGTGAAACATTCATTTTGGCAGGTCACCACAAACTGTAGATATAACAATATTTCAGACAATGATAATTTTATCACACTTGCAATTGTAAAACAAACTGAAGGCAGTTGACTGCTCATTATTTACTGCAAATAGTGTAACCCGTATTTCAATATAAAATCTTACAATAAAAGATAATCACAAATTCAATCAGCATTTTGTTTTTTAGTTCATTGACTGTACAGTACTTGATGTTGATATGTTGAACACCTTATATAATATACACCTTGCTGCTGCAAGCAGTCAGCTTGAGTGCAGTATTCTTGCATATAAATATGGCACTAATTTATCTAAAATACCATGGGCGCCAATTGCCTGATAGTAGGAAAGCAAAGCTTGCTGCAGTTTGTGATGGAAATACTGAATTCCTGATTGCATCAGTTGTGGCACAAGCATTGAGCAGCTTGTTCAATTCATCTCTGGATCTGGGAGTCAAAGCCAAGTGTCGAAACTGTAATCAACTTTCTGAAGTACACAATATTTCATGTTTATTTCAAGTTCAAGCTACACAATCAAGTGACTATGGCCACCTTGAACATTGATGCAGGTCTGTCCAGACTCAATTATTTACAGACTGCCATCTTATTGTTATCTTGTTTTGCTTTAAAACAAACAAAAATACTTGTTTGCTTCACTGTGATTAGTAAACGTTGAACAGTGATTGAAAGGAAATACCCTGAGGAAGGATAAGCCAGAGTTCCTTCAACATTTAAGGATTGAAGTTGTATTTGTTGACGTTCATCAGCTGATGAAGACAGTGCCTCACGTGAGCAAATTCCATAATACGCATATACAACTTCAATCCTTATGTTGACAGATACATAACTCCTAACAAAACAATCCATTAAACATCAAACTTTAATTATTGAAAGCGAACTATATCAACGCGTGTTTGAGTCATACTACGGCTGCTGATGATAGGAATTACTGCTTAAGGCGGTGCAGTTGGATTTACTGAGGCACGATAGTGTGGAGCTCAGTGATTTTGTTTGGTTAGTCAAGCATTCTCTGTTATAGCTTCGAATCGACGCTTCATTTCGGTGACCTGACATACACATGATATGTCTGACTTCAAAGCCTGCATCATTCATAGCCTAAATCTATGTCGCTCTGTTTCCCGAATTATTTTTAATGTTATTTTTAGACATTGAGGAATTCCCCTAAAGTAGTTCTGTATGTCTCCGCGCGATTGACAACGTAATCACGTGACATACTGGCATTCATCGGGAAATGAACGACAGTCAACTTGGTAGTGTTCACCTGGGCGAGGTCACTCACTACTGTCAATATTAAAATATGTCACAAACGTCGCTCCATTTTAATGTTTGATCTGAGTTGGATACTGCTGCACAGCTCAAGCATCTTGTCTGGCATTATGGTGCAATTAATGTCACTCCAGGGTGGTTATGTTACAAAAACTAATATGTTCATATTCCCCACAAGGGTGTCACGATAAATCGAAATATCGATATATTGCTATTGGTAAGCATTTAAAGTCAATAAATCAATAGTTAAATCAGTTTCCGATCAATAGTATCGATTTCAGTTAGTAATATCGATAGTTTCGATTGAGTCAAATGCTGTTAAGATTTGTTTTGCTTTTGATCATGAGTGTTAGTAATGTACACATGATAATGTGGAAGTTTCTTTTTCTTAAATTATTAGGGTAAAGAAAAAACAAATCAATCATATCTCACTCTGTACTTGTTATTTGTTGTTGTGGTTATTACATTCAAAGGAAACTTCAGTTCCAAGGTTTAATTCAACTCTAAAATCCATCTACAATGATACACTGAAAACCATCCATATTTATCGCAATAGTTGCTTGCAATATTAAAAGTTATCGCAATAGTGATTTCCAGACCAATAGTCACCCCTATTCCCCACAATCATTTGAGTCCTTGTAACCATTAGTGCACCCCCGATCATGACCTAGTGCAATCGCTGTCAAGAACGTGGTGTAATGTAATGTTCACCTTGATGCCTGTAGACTTGTCTTGCCAGTTGGATTGGTGAAGGAGGACTCAAGGATCCTTCACAACAATTGTCTGTACAGCTGGAGATGGCAATGTTGCTTGGCTCCTGACGCGCCTAACAAGGATGCCACAGATGTCGTATATCTTCTCTCACAGATAGGCCTTTGCTGATGGGAATAGCACAGACTGTAAGACTTGCTGTTTGTTGTTTTACCCCGCACTCAGCAATATTCCAGCTATATGACGGCGGTCTGTATAAATAATCGAGTCTGGACCAGACAATCCAGTGATTAATATCATGAGCATAGATCCATGCATTTGGGATCGATGACATGCATCAACCAAGTCAGCGAGCCTGACCACCCAATCCCGTTAGTCGCCTTTTTACGACAAGCAGAGTCACCTTTTACGGCAAGCATGGGTTGCTGAAGACCTATTCTACCCCGGGATCTCTTGTGGTCTGGGACCCGTGTCAAAGCTGTATGGTTCGAATGAACAAGCAGGAAGACTATTTGCAAGTGTGCATGTTAAAAACATTCCTCATAATTTACCTTCTATACCTGAACAATTACGTATTTGGACTGCAATGTTGGGATATTACTTGCAATGTGTCACATGTTATTGTTCCCTGTGAACTCATAGTCAAGTCCAAGAATATGCTGATTAAATTGTATATGATTCTACTGTAACTTTGGAAAGTCATTGTGATTTGTCAGTCAGAAGTTTCATATCATAACATGTCCCAAATTTAACTAGCTGATTTTAACTGAAACTTAACAAGGTGATACATGTATCTTCAAGCGGATCTTGACTACATGGCACAGGTATGTTCAAGTGAATTGTTAGAGTAAATGTTGCATAATGCCACAGCTGTATTATGATGGTGTGTAGATATTCAAGTCTTGACCAGACACTCCAGTGATTGAAAGCATGAGAAAAGATCCAAGCGATCAGGGCACAGTGAACTGACCACCCCTGCCACTGACTTACCACAAGAATAAGTTACTGGAGACCCATTCTAACCCAGAAATTTTCCATGGGGTAAGTGAATGTTAATTGGGTGATACAGGTGCTAGCAGGTGTATGTACATATACAGTGGATGTTAGATTGGTTTGTTGTTTAACACTGCACTAAGCAATATTCCAGCTATATGACAGCGGTCTGTAAATAATCGAGTCTGGACCAGACAGTCTAGTGATTTATATCATGAGCATCGATCCATGCAATTGGGATACGATGACATCCATCAACCAAGTTAGCGAGCCTGACCACCCGATCCCGTTAGTCGCCTCTTACGACAATCATAGTTGCCATTTACCTTTATACCCCGGGATTGTCTTCCAAATTCATCTTCACTGTTCCTGTGGTTTCAGAGATGTTTGCAGAACAACTAGGACAACAGTTCTTCGGTCAAATGTTTATTAAAACATATACAAAAACATTTTGACATATTTAACAAACTATCCAAGCATTATGCATGCCATTGGTACATTGTAAGTGTCTATGCAGCAATATGACAACACGATGGGGAGGTATCATGTAAGTTGTGAAGCATTACCATTTCTTCTGAAGTCTTTGTATGCAATGAAGATCTTTCGTAACATTCTACTCAACATTTGATGGGGATATTCTGGGAGATAGTTCTGAAAGTGACTTGCTTTAATTGATTAATAACATTCACTGATGCCAAGTTACTGAAGCATGTTTGTTCAAGTCCATTAAACATAAGTACACAACTTAATAAGTGATGTCTTCTATTTTCATAACGTTATGAAGTAAGCCAATAATCTTAGCAAATGTTGAGTAGTACACAATGAACACATTCCAACAAAAGGTCTACCAACGATCAGAAACAAACAACAACTCTTGAGAACAAGACAACCCTTTCACAATGTGTCGCACTTAGGAATGCTCTATAACAACAGAATAACATAATAGTGTTCCTGTGCATGCTGTGTGCTTCATTTGAGCAAAAAGTCTTACAAAATGAAAAACAGTAAAATTATAATGGTGGTCCAAGTGTAATAACAAAAATCTGGTTTAAAGTATGAAATAAACATCAGTGAGCTAGTCCAAGTAGCTATAATAACTATTGACTTTTCTGAATATTTAGCAGACAAGAAAACATTTTCTAAAATCAAAAACAGATGTTGTGAAACATATTAAGATGTCTGTTGGTTATATTAGGTGTGACCTTTTTTCCTGTTTCAACTTGTTTTTTTCCCCCACAGTGGCAAGGATTTACACACTTGTTTGCTTCATGCTGATTGGTTAAATTGTTTTGTGTGCCGAGGCACATAGCAAATTATTGAACATGTTGTCATCCATTGTTCATGTCACTCCAACAATAGCATTACTGATATGTTGTCTTAACTTTATGCATTTTCTTGGAAAATGTCTACATTAATGTAAAGAATAACCTTGCAACTCTGAGTTACTCATGAATTTATGTTGAATGTGTCTCGCCAAGGCTCAGAATAAGTTCACTCAGGACACATATTTCGTAATTTTGGTCTGAAAACAATTCATTTTTTTAAATTCAGAAGACAGGGCACCCAAATTATCAAATTGCTATGTCTGTTCCTGAAGTGCCCTATATTGAGATAACAACTGACACTGAGAGCTGTCCACAAGGTGGACTTTGTAACAATGTCGTGTAGGACCCTCTTTGAGAGATCAACACTGTTGTGCATTTTGGGGGATCGCATTATGATTAACATGTGAAAACTATCTATACATACAGAAAAACTTTGTATCATGAAACTTTCTAATCAATGTCACCCCAAATATAAAGCACCCTTTTGGGAACAGTCAGAATTGTTGCAACATCGTGCACAGCCCCACAACATACTCAGTGCTCATTTCATACATATATATATTATGCTTTTTGAACAAAATGTAATGATAGGTAATAAATAGATAAAATTTGTACTTATGTTGACAATGGTCTTTCCCCAAATTTGAGTTACATATGAAATGTTCATATAAATTTTTTTGAATAAACAGACTGACATGGGCAATCATCGGATGTCCTATAGATGCTGGTGCTCAGGGGATATAGACATTTCTGAATATACACTTCCAAAGCTGAAATATCTGCATGTCTACATAATACCGACATAGCTGAAAATGAATGACTGTAAAAACATTGAACAATTGGTCAGCTTAGTTTTAGTTGAAGATAAAATAATGAATGCTCCCTGGGGCCTGAATGTTCACTGTCTCAATGCAGACATGTAATTCTTTCATGCTGGAATGTTATTTCTGATGGAGAACCAAGATCTTTCTTTTTCTGACATAATTAACCTATCGCCAGTTAACCACTACCCCAATAATCGGCCATCCACAACTGTATTTTCCCAAAAATGTTACATTGTCAGAGACACTGATGTTTTCCAGAAATGTATTTCGCCCATCAGTGTGTGTATCCAGTTCTAGATCCCCTTTTTTAAATAGTCTGGCAATTTGTCTTCAATCTTTTCTTTGACTTTTCACTTAGTTCAAAAATTTATAAAAAACAAAACACTTTCCAGAAAGTTGTCCTGATTGTCCATCTCATTCAGAAAAGTTTCAAGGTTTTCAAAGCGACGAAATGGCGGATTCTGTATCACCTCGGACGATCTGATCATATCAACTCAGAACAATTTGAGCATGGTTTGAGGCATTTGAAGCCATATAACTGACCAACATTATGTCAACTCGAAGCATGCCACCAACCCATGCATTTTACCTGTGCCATGAAAACAACACGGTAGAGATAAATTACGAAGCTAACATAAGTAACGTCAATTGTTGTATAAAAAAAAGTCTTTGGTTCAACCAGTTGTGAATATGCAAAAGTGAAAAACTCTATAAAAGCTATAACAGTTGTGCAATACACATATTTGATTTCAGTGTCATACAGTATTATGTACAAAATGTTCTTGGACATCAAGAACCTAAACATTTCTCTAAATCTTTTCATAATAATAAAATATATACCACCATACTAAAACAATCTTGAACTCAGATTCACTTTTCTCACAGCCTGACTGCTATAGCACTATATAAATTGTACATATCCTGTTTATAATATCATTATTTTAGGACCTATTCACTAAGATTGGGAATTACAGTTGTATTGGTTGCTCAGGATCTAGGATATGAAAATAGTGAAAAGCAAAAAGGAAATGTATCACTACCCTGACCTACAACAGGGCATGCACTAAAAGTAGAAAAGACAGGACAGGCTCATTAACCTCAAAGCTACGTACAAAGTATTTTAATCCATAACTGCAACCGGTATAAGAGTTATGTCACTTTTAACGGTATTCAAACAATGTCACATTGGGGACACACACACTGTACTCATGTGGGGAATATGCCCTGGTGTATTCATGAGCAAGTGCTTACCGGTACCACTAACAAGGCTACTGCTCTTATATTCTCATTTGGAACATAATTCCAAGTGTTGGGTTTTCCAATCAGTACTTCAATGGCTGTCCATACACTGTTACATATATTGTTATCTTGTACACCTCACATGGTCTTATGTGTGTTGCGGTTCAGGTTACATGACCAACACTATCATTACAGACATTTATCATAATTTATTACCTGACAATGACATTAGGTTTTCTTACCTGTTTTACTCCTATAATAAATGCCATATTTGGGAATCTATTCTCCCACATTAAATACGTTTGTGTACAAAAATAAAGTCAGAAAATGTGATTACGCAGCTTTAACAAATATATGTTGACAGTGATATTTTCTACCGATGACTGAGAACTCCGACCAGTACCACACATAGTGTGGACCAAGCAGTTGTTGAGTCTGTCACAGCCTTCAGCTACGCAGCTACTACCATCACAGGAAGTCTCAAGTAATTGCTACACCCAATTTGGAAGACCTGAAAATGTACATGGGTTACCACATCAAAATATAACTCACTGACAATCAAGAAAAATGAATGTACAAAAATGCTGAATTATCAGCACAGTACCTCTTTGAAATTCTTTTGATCTCTGGATCAGTCATCTCCAAATATATACTGACATTACTTAGAGCATGTCACTTTGGGTTATTCATTGATGATAGACCAATTTCACGAAAAATGTGTGTCGCCACAAAGTCCACACTGAAGGCTAACCTCACTGCGAGATTTGGTAGCTGCAAATTTGTTCCATGAAACAAACATATCGAAAAGAAATTACTCATGTCTTGATCAGTACTATGTTTGCTCATAATTATTGCATCTGTATTATGTGCTGGAGTTGTTAGGATGGATATAGTTGATACAGCCCCAGGACATGCATGTCATAACCCAAGTTGCCAAAGAGCGAGGTGCACTTGGTCAGGTGCACCACACAGGCCGACTCACACAGTTGTCTCATAGTTAAGCATAGAGGTCTTGAATACTAGTATCTTTTATAATACCGCTATCCAAACAATGTTGTTTAAAAATTGGATGCATGAGTTCTTGAAATGTTGGCCATGCTTTAAAGTAGGTTCATCCACCTGGACCAAGGTGTCAAATTGTTGAAATCCTTCATGATACGTGCCTCAGATTCTAACTGACCATTTCAAGGACCAAGTCCTCGAGAACTAACCTCTACATTGACCTGTACATCCGTCATAAACCATGTGCTAGTGATGATGGAACATTTACTTCAATCATTCTCCCAAAATTTATGTCAATAAGGCAAAAGTAAATTATTTTTTCGATTTCCCCCACCACCCCCACCTCGCTGCTGAACACCCCCCCTCAAATCATTTACAAATCATTTAATTGTCCCCAATGCCTACAAAGAAATCACTGCTCCCATCTCTTTACTTCATGAAATTTACCATAAAAGTAGTCCATACACACAAACAGACAACAGTTAATGAACACATGCCTTGAACAGTTTGCTATACATAATGTCAAGAAAAAGAAATGGGCCTCCTGCTTCTCATTTTTGAAAATTTTAGATGAAAATCTCTTAATTTACCATATCCAGCAGAATATATGCCTGCCTATCCAGAAAACTTGTATCACAGCTCTAGTTATTAGAGAAGGAGAGAAGCTATGGCTGGAGGCACTGTGTGGGTGAGTGTGGACTGCTACACTACTTACATTGGCATGGTTCTCCAAGCAGAGTGTTGTGGCTACTTGCTGAGCGGAATGACCAGCCTCGTGCTGCCTGCTGCATTCTTGGCGTTAGGGTTGAGTTTAATCAGCTGCTTCTTGAAGTAGTCCACAAGGCCAGACACTGTGTCAAAGTCCTGAAATACACAGAAACTCAGCAATATCTTGACAATGTCAAATATGCTCTCCCAAACTTGTCGAGGAGCTACCCGTGAAGATCCGGAATAGAATAGGTCTTCAGCAACCCATGCTTGCTGTAAAAGGTGACTAACGGGATCGGGTCAGGCCCGGTTGATGCATATCATCGTATCCCAATTGCGTTGATCGATGCTCATGAAGTCAATCACTAGATTGTCTGGTCCAGACTTGATTATTTACAGACCGCCATCATATAACTGGAATATTATTGAGTGCGGTGTTAAACAACAAACACACACAAAACTAGGGGAGCATCAAGTATAAATCTGTGATATCTCCACCTTCCATTGATGGGAGGGATGACGTCAGCATTGGGTCACACACAATATTTTCTACGTGGTATTTCCACATCAGACTTTTCTTCTGAGGCAAATGATAAGATTTAAGTCACACATGACAGAAACTGATCAAAAACATGCTTATAAACTTATACCCATATTATATATTTCACAGATTGTTTTTAATCTGATAGTTCTGCAAAGGGATGATTGGTTACATTCTACTTTGTGACATGGAAACTGATAGATATTTTCCTTGGTTTTCACAGAAACGGTGGTTGTTTCATGATACTTACAAGTTCATTTGGTTTGGCTGCTCCAAGGGCAAACTTGCCATCTGTGTTTCTCTTCCTGATGGGCAGGTTGTAGACGCGCCCCTGTTTGTAGATTGTTAACGTGTACTGCTGCTCCGTGCCACCACGCTTGCTCTTCCGGATCAGGTACATCCCGTCCTGGAACATCAACAAGGTACCCTGCACTCATTCAACTTCATCTTGTCAAAGATATTTGGCACAACACTGGCAAAAGTTGATCACAATTGACTGGAGCATGTAATCTATGGAAATCACCATTTTTTATGTCAAATATCTACATATTTTAGCAGATAAGCAAAAAATTGCCATTTATATCACCCACTGAATGATGCACATGTCTGGCTTTTAATGACGCCAGAGTTGTATCACCACTTCTGTGAATCAGAGGAATACTATAGTGCTGACAATTCCGTCAACTCGCTACACTGAACTGTGGAGATGTAGGGCATAGTTTTCCCATTTGAGGTACATTGTACATTCTATTTTTTTTATTTATTGTTCCTGGTAAAAGTACATCATGTTTTGATAAGAGTCAAAATACATGACCAGGGTTTTTTAAGAAAGTACATATCATTCACACACATCCATACACACATTCACACTCACTAGAAGCTTTAGTACTTATGAAGACAGAATGCAGGATATATATTTAGTAAAGTTTTGGAATAGTAAATGTTTATATTTTCAAAAGGTTTTCATAAGGAGCCCATTTCGTATAGAATTCAGTCTGTTTGGCTTTATTAAAGTGTCTATATTTTTCTATTTGGTAATAATATTTAACCTCATTTTGGAAATGTATAATGGTTGGTTGGTTATTTTTCATTTTGCATCTATAAATGTGAAATTTGGCCAATAAGAGTATCAGATCAAAAATATCATCGGTGTGGAATTGTTTTGAAAAGCCAAAAAGAATTAGGTCTGAAGTAAGATTTATCTTGCCAGTATGTGGACACTTGGATTCAATCCATTGTGAAAATCTTTTCCAGAAATTTTTGCTTACCCTACAGTCCCAAAACAGATGTTGGATAGATTCTGGCTCGGCATTACAGAAAGTACATAGACAGTTGTCAACAATATGCATCCTGAGTAGATAAGTATTAACAGGTAGAATTCTATGGAGCAATCTAAGCTGAAACCATCTAAGCTTTGTGTGCTCTGATAAATAAGCTAGGCCAGTTCATATCCATTAAAAGTTCCTCTTCCCACTTGTCAATAACTTTTAAGCTTTCATGGGTTTGACTTATTACATAGTAATGTTTCTTTGAGCCTTTTTTACATGAAAAGAGATTGGCAATAGATATATTTGTATTGTTTGTTGTTTCCAGATGCAGGTCTTTATTAATGCCTAATTGTATCATGTATGTATTTATTGATCTTGTAATACCATAAAATTCAAGAATATTTATATTGAAGTATTTATTACAGAATTGTTGCAATGTCATAAAATTTCCATCATTGTTTAGCAAGCAATGTATGCTGTGTATATTATTGAGATTTTGTTTTGTTATCTTATGATTTGCCATTTATAATAATATTTTTATTGTATAGCAGAGGTTCCCTTAGGAACTCTTCATAATTATTGGGTTTTATTTTATTGCTATATTTAGAAAAGGCAGAAAACAATCTTTCCAAAATTTTTTATATTTTTTTCTTAGCAAGCTTAAGTGGAAAATCACTTCCCATAAATAGTAAATCAGGAAATTCAGGAGTAGTATTAGTCATTAAAATTTTCCATTTCTTTTCCAAATCAACATTTAGTAACTTTTTTATCCAGATTATTTTCAAAGCGTCAACATATGCAAAAATATCTATCATACCAAGTCCTCCAAGGGAAATAGGTTTACAAGCAACTGTTCTCTTTATTTTGTCTGGTTTATTATCCCATAAAAACTTGAAAAGAATAGTATTTATCTTTCTAAGGAATTCATCTGGGGGACTAGGAAGGGTAAGGAAAAGGAAATTAAGTTTTGAAATGAGCATTGATTTGATAATTGCAATTTTGCCTAATGGGGTTATAATTCTTTTCATCCATCTCTTGATGGTTTGTTCAATTTCAAAGATTTTGCTTTCAAAGTTAAGTTTAATCATTTTATCTCGATTAGTAGAAAAAATTATGCCTAGAATTCTAAAGATTTCAGGCTTCCCTTCAAGGTTTAAGTCTTGTCTAAATTTGATATTACTATTCTTCTTGGAGCCTATCCAGATTATTTGGTAGCCTCGAAGGATCTCTTAGAACCGTCCAAAAGAAATTCTATATCATCTGCATATTGCGCAATTAAATAATCTTTACCGTTTATAGTTAAGCCCTGAATATCTTTATTTTTTTCACAAGAATTGCGAGAATTTCTGCACAAAGCAGAAAAATATAAGGAGATAATGGATCCCCCCTGCCTACAGCCACGGCCGACTGGTATCCAAGGTGACATATTTCCATTTATAATTAGGCTAGACCTGATATCTTTATAGAGTATAGATATCCATTTAGAAATACTTTCGCCAAATCCAAAAAATGTCAGGGTTTTAAAGATGAAAGACCAGGAGAGAGAGTCAAATGCTTTCTCAAAATCAACTAGGAGTAGCATACCTGGCATTTGTTTAGAATCTGTGTATAAGAGTAGATCATATATCAGGCGGATGTTGTCTCCGCTATATCTTCCAGACAGGAAACCAGTTTGGTCTTCACTGATTATCTGAGGCAATACTTTTTTAAATCTATCTGCAATCACAGAAGATAAAAGTTTATATATGGAGTTTAACAGGGTAATCGGGCGCCAATTTTTTATGAGTTGTCTCGGTTTATCTTTTTGGGGGATACAGGTGATGATGCCTTGCTTCTGGGTGATTGACAAGTTTCCAGTTTCATAGCTATAATTAATTGTTCTAAGTATGGAGTCGCCCAGATCAAGCCAAAACATTTTGAAAAATTCATATGAAAAACCATCTGACCCTGGACTTTTGTTATTCTTGGATCTTTTAAGAGCTGCTAGCAACTCATTTTAATAATACATCCTTCGATAAGATCAGATTCAGATGTTTTAAGTTTAGGAACATCATATTCTAGAAGTAAATCATCAAGGTCTATATCATTAATCGTGTGATCTCTAGAAGTATACAGGTTTTGATAGAAATTGGTTGCTTCATGTATAATATCCTTGGTGTCATTTAGTACAGTTCCATCTTTTGTTTCTATTTCTTTCATATTTTTGCTGATATAGTTTCTACTTTCAAGATTACAGAAATATTTACTTATAGTTTCACCTTCATCTATCCATCTTGCCTTTGATCTCACTAATATACCATCTAATCTTTTTTTTCGCAATTGTTGCAATTCAATCTTTTTAGTTTCTAGATCATTAGCAGTATTTTCATCATAATTGTTTTCTAGTACATCAATTTCTGCTGTTAAGTCATTTTCTTTTTTGGTCATTTGTTTTTTTATAAATGAAGAATAGGCTATTGATTTGCCCCTAATTTTCATGAGGAGAGTTTCCATAAAAAGGTGATCATCAATCTGGAATTGCAGGTTATCATTAGGGACTTGGTCAACGGCATCCTGATTATAGACTGGTATAGCACATTCTTTCTTTACATCAGATATTACCTGTTTTATTTGTTCAACATACTTGTGATCTTGTAGCAAGGAGTTGTTAAATTTCCAATAGGTTTTCCTTTTGGTGTTTCTTTCAATATTCATGGTAAAATTTATAAATGAATGGTCTGTTCTGTACCCTGGATTTATCTTGACATTGGTAACATTACTACACAGATTTTCAGAAACAAGGAAAAAATCTACCCTCGCCTGTTTTATAGGATTTGAACGTCTCCATGTATATTGCCTTGAGTCTTGGTTATTATCTCGCCAAATGTCAATTAGGTTAAGTTCTCCTATCAGTTCTAAAAGCTGTTCTCTGGCCTTAGGGTTGTTAATATTTTTGTAATTGTTTGTATCTTTATCAGGGTCAAGCACCAGATTAAAGTCTCCACCTAATATGTAACTGCTATTTCCATATTCCTTAAATTTTGTCAATATCATCTTATAGAAATCAGGTGTGTCGGTGTTTGGGCCATAAATAGTTCCAACCGACATTCGATTACCATTCACAGTTATGTCAATCAATAAAAAGTTGCCGGAGCCATCTTTAAATACATGGTGAATCTTATACTCTACATTACAGTCTAATAACAGAGCTACACCTCTAGCTTGGCTAGAATGACAGTTAAGAATCACATCATAGCCCTACATGGATCTTACATATTTTTCTTCCCCAAATGTGAAATGTGTATCTTGCAAAAAATATAACGTACATTTTTTGGAATACAGAAAGTTGAATATGTCCCTTCTCTTATTTATATCCCCAAGCCCTCTACAGTTTAAAGATCCAAAACATAAATTATTAGCCATTTTCTAAAATCAAGTGAAACAAGTATTTGTCACAGAGTGACGAAATATCCCCCGCCTGTACACCATACTACCAAATATGAAGACAATCCAGCGATTAGTTCTTGAGATATTGTGGCAACACCGTTTTCCAACTCCAAAAACAGATTTGCCTGCTGTGACCTTGAAAATGGGGTCAAGGTCACCAAATCTGACAGGTGTATGCAGTGTCTGTATATACACTATAGTTCCAAATATGAAGACAATCCAGCGATTAGTTCTTGAGATATCGCGGCAACACCGTTTTCTAACTCCAAAAGCAGATTTGCCTGCTGTGACCTTGACAATGGGGTCAAGGTCACCAAAACCGACTGGTATCTGCGGTGTCTGTATATACACCATAGTTCCAAATATGAAGACAATCCAGTGTTTAGTTCTTGAGATATCGCGGCAACACCGTTTTCCAACTCCAAAAGCAGATTTGCCTGCTGTGACCTTTAAAATGGGATCAAGGTCACCAAAACCGACTGGTGTCTGCGGAGTCTGTATATACACCATAGTTCCAAATATGAAGACAATCCAGTGTTTAGTTCTTGAGATATCGCGGCAACACCGTTTTCCAACTCTAAAAGCAGATTTGTCTGCTGTGACCTTGAAAATGGGATCAAGGTCACCAAAACCGACTGGTGTCTGCGGAGTCTGTATATACACCATAGTTCCAAATATGAAGACAATCCAGAGTTTAGTTCTTGAGATATCGCGGCAACACCGTTTTCCAACTCCAAAAGCAGATTTGCCTGCTGTGACCTTGAAAATGGGATCAAGGTCTCCAAAACCGACTGGTGTCTGCGGAGTCTGTATATACACCATAGTTCCAAATATGAAGACAATCCAGTGTTTAGTTCTTGAGATATCGCGGCAACAAACAGGTGGGACGTACGGACGGACGTACGGACGGTCGTGAATACTATATCCCCCGCTTCGCGCTTTCGCGCGGCGGGGGATAAAAAATCTAAAGCTTTTAGCAGCATACATTCATACCTTTCGTACATCAAGCACACCTGGAAAATAAAATGAGACAAATTACACACAACCAGTAGGCGATGTTGTCCCTGCAAAACTGCCCTTGTTTTTTTAAACACTAGATGGATACAAGCCAAGTCCAAGGCAAAAAAGAAAAAAGAAAAAGAAATAGAGAGTCACTGTGAGGACACCGGAAGTAAACAAATCCGAGGGTTAGCTCCTTACAAAGCTGAACACTCTGAACATCGCGTGTATAAACACTAGGAGCGAATCCTTCCAATCAGCTGATAGCGAGAAAAAACAAAGCATAATTCACATTCGCAATTTTTCCCCACTGTCATTTAACAAAAATAAAGATGCATTTTGATCATATAAGGTATTTATACCCCCATAGAGTCAGATCTTGACTTCAGTTTCCAGCATCCCTGCACTGGGCGACTGTAGCCACCGAAAAGCTAGCACGGTTTCAGAGTCTGACAATAGATTAAAGGGGAAAGCGTTCTTCTAGCTCGATATTATGCCACCGAGAGTCCTTGTCATATCGATACTGTAGCATCACATCACCGCCTTTCTCGAATATCCGGGTTTGGACTTTGTGAGTTTCTCGTAGATTTTTTCCTTTTGCGACAAGTTTGCTCCTCAGTTTTTTCAGTTTTACGGGTAGATCCGATGTAATTGATTTCTTCTGATCTCTGAGCACAATGGAGTGTTTGAAGCTTGCGTAGAATACATTCTGCCTATCTGTCATTCTGACAAACTTGACAATCACAGGTCCCGGCCCGGAGGACGGCCCGGAGGACGGCCATGTTGGGTCTGTACCATGTCTAGGCAGTCTATGCACGTTCACTAACAGCATCTCGCGTGCGTTGTCAATTCCAATGTCTTCAAACAATTTTCTGGTAGATATCTCCGGGTCCTCTGTAGTCGGGGTACCATAGATGAGAAGATTGAGCTTCCTGCTGTATAGTTCCTGTGTAAGCATTCGTTTCTCGAATTCCTCACGAAAACTTGCTACGTCTTCGGCAGTTGTTTTAATGGCCTTTTTATTGGTCTCAATTTGTGCTGCGTTAAATTCCACAGTATTTCAGCTGTCGTGGTTCGAAGTTGCGTGAACTCCGTTTTCAGCGAGTCAATTTGGCTACCAATTTCATCCGTTTGCCTGCGAAGTGTATCACTTATAAACTGCTTCAACTCGGCCGCCATGTTGTCGGGTGGACTCGGGTCGACTGTATCATCACGACTGACGACATTGTCGGCTGTTTGCCTCATCTTACTGAGATACCCGTCGACTTTAGGCTGATTATCAACAGTAGCTTCGTCTTGCTGTTTGTTTCGAGTACCCCCTCGCCTAGTACTTGACATGTTTTAGGTGGTTAGGCAGTTTGCTGTGAGCGAGACAAAATTAGCGGCCTCTCGCCATGGACACCTTACCGGAAGTGACATTGTACATTCTAACCTATTTGACATTAACCAACATTCATGTGAATGTTGGTTAATTTGACAGTCAGCAATAAGACAGCTACAGAACAGCAGCCTGTAAATAATCCAGACTGGATCAGACACACCAGTGGTCGATGTTCTGAGCAATGTCATACAGTGAACCAAGCCTGACCACTCTTCCAAATTGATGCCGCTTTCAACAAACAAACAATAGAGTGCTGTGATCTTGTTGGATCCCGGTCCCCATGACGCAAATACATAGTGATACAACTATCAACAACCTTTTGTACATAATGAAGAGATTAATATATATATTCAGGCACAGTCCAAAGTCGGATATAATTCAGTTTGCATTACCGGTATTTGGCCAATTTCCTAGTAGCAGTTAAATAGAGAGTTTAATTTGTGAAAATTAGGCTAATAAAGAAATGTTGTTGCTTCCTTTCTGTGACAAACAAATAGTGAAACTCCACTGATATCACTGATGGGAACATCTAGAGTTGGCGCTCATCACAAGATACTGGGGACTACCAAAGCTGTAGATATGCTGCTCATTTGCGTAATATACTTGTTAAATATACTGAACTATGCAGACAAATCAAATCCCAAGCATATCAAATATGCCACAAAAATTATAAAAACTCTATTGAAATAAAACTAATGCATATATTACAACTGACAGATACAATGACTGCGTATCAGCTGATCATGAAATTCATTTACGGACAGTTACATTCGGTAAAACATGTGTATACTACTATTCTTTTGGTTTTAAATGATTTACAGGGAATGTTATAAAACAGGTTTTCAAGTTAAATACACAAATGTAAAGAAACATGGGTAAATTTTTTTTGAATACCCACAAATAATTGTGGCTACCCAATAGAAATCCAATACCCCAAAAACAAAAAGCTTATCTGGAGCTCTGGACTACTTTTTCATCATAAAAAACCCCATGCCTTTAGCAGAAGGGAAGAGATTGTTTTTGGGGTATTTTTTGCCCATTTCATGAGAAGTGATGTATCTGAAAACTGACATAAGTATTGCCTAACAATTTTACTTATAAGACCCCCCCCCGAACTTAACACACAGGTTGGTAGATGCAACTCACCTCCCTCTTTTCCATGAGTCGGGCCTCCGCTGCCGGCCTCTCGATGTTCTTGTGGTACCACTCATACTGCTCCAGGTCATCCTACAAGATGACAAGCAGCAGCATCAGCTCAACAGTCTAGCTCAACAGACTACCTCAACACACAATACAAGACGACAAGCCACGACATCAGCTCAACAGACAATACAAGACGACAAGCTGTGACATCAGCTCAACAGACTAGCCTAACACACAATACAAGACAAGCTGTGACATCAGCTCAACACACAATACAAGACGACAAGCCACAGCATCAGCCCAACAGACAATACAAGACGACAAGCCACGACATCAGCTCAACAGACAATTCAAGACGACAAGCCACGACATCAGCTCAACAGACAATACAAGACGACAAGCCGTGACATCAGCCCAACAGACAATACAAGACGACAAGCCACGACATCAGCTCAACAGACAATACAAGATGACAAGCCACGACATCAGCCCAACAGTCAATACAAGACGACAAGCCGTGACATCAGCCCAACAGTCAATACAAGACGACAAGCCACGACACCAGCTCAACAGACAATTCAAGACGACAAGCCACAACATCAGCTCAACAGACTAGCCTAACCGACAATACAAGACGACAAGCCGTGACATCAGCCCAACAGACAATACAAGACGACAAGCCACGACATCAGCTCAACAGACAATTCAAAACGACAAGCCACGACATCAGCTCAACAGACAATTCAAGACGACAAGCCGTGTTATCAGCCCAACAGACCATACAAGACGACAAGCCACGACATCAGCTCAACAGACAATTCAAGACGACAAGCCACGACATCAGCTCAACAGACAATACAAGATGACAAGCCACGACATCAGCTCAACAGACAATACAAGACGACAAGCTACGACATCAGCCCAACACACAATACAAGATGACAAGCCACGACATCAGCTCAACAGACAATACAAGACTACAAGCCACGACATCAGCTCAACAGACAATTCAAGACGACAAGCCACGACATCAGCTCAACAGACAATTCAATACGACAAGCCACGCCATCAGCTCAACAGACTAGCCTAACACACAATACAAGACAAGCCGTGACATCAGCCCAACAGACAATACAAGACGACAAGCTACGACATCAGCCCAACACACAATACAAGATGACAAGCCACGACATCAGCTCAACAGACAATACAAGACTACAAGCCACGACATCAGCTCAACAGACAATTCAAGACGACAAGCCACGACATCAGCTCAACAAACTAGCCTAACAGACAATACAAGACGACAAGCAGTGACATCAGACCAACAGACAATACATGACGACAAGCCACGACATCAGCTCAACAGACAATTCAAGACGACAAGCCACGACATCAGCTCAACAGACAATTCAAGGCGACAAGCAGTGACATCAGCCCAACAGACAATACAAGACGACAAGCCACAACATCAGCTCAACAGACAATACAAGACGACAAGCTACGACATCAGCCCAACACACAATACAAGATGACAAGCCACGACATCAGCTCAACAGACAATACAAGACTACAAGCCACAACATTAGCTCAACAGACAATTCAAGACGACAAGCCACGACATCAGCTCAACAGACAATACAAGACGACAAGCCACGACATCAGCCCAACAGACAATACAAGACGACAAGCCGTGACATCAGCTCAACAGACAATTCAAGACGACAAGCCACGACATCAGCTCAACAGACAATACAAGACGACAAGCCACGACATCAGCCCAACAGACAATACAAGACGACAAGCCACGACATCAGCTCAACAGACAATACAAGACGACAAGCCACGACATCAGCCCAACAGACAATACAAGACGACAAGCCGTGACATCAGCTCAACAGACAATACAAGACGACAAGCCGTGACATCAGCTCAACAGACAAGCCCTGTGCATCTTAGAATGACTATTTCAGCAGTGTTGATATTTCAACTGTTTTTTCATCTATTTCTTGTGTAGTGTTTGAGCCAGATTGTTAGTATAATCATGAGCTGAGCTGAAGTGACTAATGCCGGTACTAGTTTGGACTTTACACTTTACAGTGCTAGCACACTTAGATATCATGACTACCCATGAGCTGACCAGTCCTTGTTTTATCACGTTAACGCTGCATGCCAGGCAGGGTAACAACAAGTACCATCTTTTGGTATGACGTGGCCAGGGATCAAACCCTGGACCTTCCGCTCTCCCGGCGGATCCTCAATCACTAAACCACGGAGGCTCTCTACTTGAAAAAACACACTGAGGCAACTCACCTGCTTTGGTGATGAAGGAACGCCATTTTTTGACCTCGCTGAAATGGACAATCATCAGCCAATCACAATACAGCACTGTCACTTCTTGATGCATGTAACAAGCATATTAATACCACATAATTTTACAGTTTCATATATTTTTATGTATTAAAAACCTTACATATTATAAAAAACTATTATATAGTAACTAAGTGACTGAATGTGTTGGACAACGGGTCATTTCCTGAACCACAGACCTCAGCTGACTTGCTTATGCTATTGAAGGTTGTTGGTCTCTAAACACACCCTTTCAGACAATCTCTGATGGGACCACTTTAATGTGAACAAATTTCAGGTGATTACTCATGATTCATTAATTCAGAATGTGTTAATTTGGAAACATTCAGGGGGAACAGATGCATCCAGAGTGACAGTTTCACCGTATGCCCGCATGCAACCAGCTCCCCTCCTGCGAGGCCACATGACATCATGCGTAACTGGATACATTCAGTATCAAGCATTATTAGAGTAAAACATCATTGTAAAATATTGTGTTTTAACTTATAATGATTGCCAAATCAGGCCATCTTGTCTGGTTTCGAGGCATCTTCCCAAGGCAAGGGAGTTAACTGACTACAAAAGTCCAGTTTCCACCTTTGCCGAGATACGCTGGATTTTTGTGGCTTGATCATAGGGCCACCAGTGGCTATAACGAGTAATGACCCTTCTATGTCCCGTCTATGTCCCTCCTATTGACCAATCAGATTCCACCTCTCATATCACTTGCATTTGCAGCAAACAAAATGAGGGCGCCCTGTCTAGACAATCTGATTGATAGTCAGGATCTATATTGTGATAAAACAGGCCTTACCTCATGAGTATCAACTCACTAGAGCACCTCGACTAAAAACATCAAAAGATTTGGAAAATATGTGTCTGCACCCAGTTGATGGCACACATGCTTTGCAAAATCTGCACATTGAAATCCATGTTTACGAACTGGATGTCTAGTTCATTTTGATTGAACAATGCATAGTCTCGTTAGTCCAGCCAAAACGTAACTCCAAAATTCCTGCCTTGTATGGCAAGGATGGAAACTGGACTCCCTTGCCTCAAGAAGATGGTTTCAAGGTTGATTCAAATTTATGGCCTTTTGAAGGCTTCAAGCACACACTTCAATGTATGGAGCGTCACCCTAGTTTGATTGTTTGCTTAATTAGCTTTACTTTTGTGATGGACTAACCCACAGACCACCGAGATCTGAAGCTATCATCCAGGAACAAACACATTGACAGTATGACGTACTGCAGATGCTGACCCTTTGTACAAGTTCTTCTGGACTATGTCCAACTGAGATAGGAACGACTTTATGTTCAAGTTTGCTGTAAGATTATTTTCATCATGACAGTAATAAGAGGTACCTTTTCTCTCAGGCTTCTCTGTTGAGCTAGGAACAGTAGGCAATGGACGACTTGATCTTTCAGCTGAGAAAAGTACATGTTTGTGAACATATAATTCGTCCTGTATTAATGAGTGAGGGAGTGAGTCGGTGAGTGAGTGAGTGAGCAAGCATTGCAGCAATGTGTCAATCATTCAGCAATATTCCAGCCATATCATGGTGGGGGACACCAAAATTGGCTACACACATTGTGCATATGAGGGGAATCAAACCCAGGTCTTCAGCATGATTTGCAAACTCTTTAACCACCAGGCTACCCCACCACCCCCTTTTATAATGGTGAGGCAAGGTGTACAAGAGGTCATGTGTCAATTATCATAAAACAACTGAGAAATCACCAAGGGAGCAAATCATAAAACTGAATATGATTTAAAGCCTCGTTCAGCAGTATTCCAGCAATAACAGAATTGACTAAATGGAGAAGTAGCTTGATGAAACCAATCGCTGAGACGACTACTGTATTTGTTATGAATCAATTAGGGGATAAACCTAGTGTGATTTTAATTAAGAGGTTTCAAACAGATTTGATACCTGTAAATTTCACTCGAAAACAGAACAGAAAAGGATAAGGTTTTGTATTTTAAAAAATTTGCAGGTATGAAATTGAAGTTCAAAACCTCTAAATTGAAAACATAATAGGTTTCTCTTTACAATGGCCAATGACAAAACAAATGCAAACTCAATGCTAATAGCGGCAAGGATAACTGATGTGTAATTGGTTAGCTTAATGATTCCATTAAGTTGACAGGGTGAATTCAGGAATCAGTGATGATTGGTTTTAATCGTTTATGTACGCAAAGCAACTAAGGATTGACTGTATTTTTTCAGTTCATTGAGGTATGAATCGAAAAAAACGATGTGAAAAATGTATGGATCCTTGTAGCCGTCCCAGCCCTACAATAAGGCCAAGATTGATAAGGTAATTGTTTTGCCATATTTGTATCTGGGTATTTATTATTATTAAACTAGAATATGTTCAGAAGGGTTTGTAGCTCATCTATGCATAAATCACATGAACTACAGTAGCCAAGGGTCATGACAATGCCTCAAAGAAATTTGTAATTATTGTCATTTAAGTACAGTAGAGTCCTCTGGACATTGTGAGAGCGGTGTTCTGTGGTGTGAAAAATGAGTTTGACATTTGTGACAAATTATTCTTTGAAAAACCCCATTATTATTGATCACTGCTTCAAAACATACAATGTTTGTGCTGTGAAAGAGTGAGTGAGTGAGTGAGTGAGTGAGTGAGTGAGTGAGTCGGGTTTAACATCGCTTTTAACAGTATTCCAGTTATATCACGGCGTGTCAGCTTAATGTGGGAGGAAAGCCCGAAATCTGCAGGTCTCAGACGTTTACCACTTCGGTGAAACCCACGAGCACGGGTATGGTGCTGACAAACCTAGAAACATAATTGGGGAAACCGGGATTTGAACCCACAATGATTGGCACAATCATAGGTTTCTGGCGTGCCCAAGGGACGCAACTCTGCACAGCGAATCGCGGCGCCTGAGACGACTGGGCCACCCGTGCCCCCGTGCTGAGAAAGAAGGAGATAAACAATGATTGTTTTTTCAGGATATCCAGCATGGCCAGCACACAAATATATTTTTTGTTACATCTGAGGACAAATAACTTTTCCATATTTATCTTGAAAAAATTAGAGTGGACACAATTTATAGATAACAACTTCTTTAAATGCTGTAGAGGCAACGCTACGGTATAGATCCTTGTCAAGCAAGACCGATTACTGTAAAGGCGACGTAAAGGCGTTAAGTAATGCTTATCAAACAATTTAAAAAAAACCCTTCAAAATGTTTTTTTTAGATTGTCTGTCCCTATACTAATCCAGTTTCAGTACATGTGGCTTAGTGAATTCTACTAAAGGGATGAAACATGATCCTCAGTAGCTGAGCTCATGCACAGGTCTAACACCTCACTCTAACCTGGCACTACATTTGTTGAGAACAATAGTCTTTATAATGAGGCATATAAACAAGGCATTTTTCATTATGAAACGTTCCAATAATACAAAAGTACACATTAAAAACCATCTTGGTATTTCTAAGAGAATAATGTATGCATTAAAGTTTTCTTCATAACACAAATACACACTAACTTTTTATTCAAAAAATGATGGTTGGATGACAGACAATGTACAACGTCTTGCATGGCTTGTTTGAGGTAAACATGCTTCCATAATTTGAACATGATATCCTAATTTATAACAAACAAGCCCATGCAAAGTAAGAAAAACAAATTATCTATGCTTACATTTGTGATAATTAAACCTTTGTACTTACAAGGTTGTGGGCGGGAGGATTTAGGCGGGTCAGGGACTCGGCTTCCTCCTGAAACAAAGAGAGATCCTGAAGTGTTACACATCATGGACGTAACAAAGAGAGATCCTGAAGTCTTACACATCATGGATGTAACAAAGAGAGATCCTGAAGTCTTACACATCATGGATGTAACAAAGAGAGATCCCGAAGTCTTACACATCATGGACGTAACAAAGAGAGATCCTGAAGTCTTACACATCATGGACGTAACAAAGAGAGATCCTGAAGTCTTACACATCATGGACGTAACAAAGAGAGATCCTGAAGTCTTACACATCATGGACGTAACAAAGAGAGATCCTGAAGTCTTACACATCATGGACGTAACAAAGAGAGATCCTGAAGTCTTACACATCATGGACGTAACAAAGAGAGATCCTGAAGTGTTACATATCATGGACGTAACAATGAGAGATCCTGAAGTCTTACACATCATGGACATAACAAAGAGAGATCCTGAAGTCTTACACATCATGGACGTAACAAAGAGAGATCCTGAAGTCTTACATATTATGGACGTAACAATGAGAGATCCTGAAGTCTTACACATCATGGACATAACAAAGAGAGATCCTGAAGTCTTACACATCATGGACGTAACAAAGAGAGATCCCGAAGTCTTACACATCATGGACGTAACAAAGAGAGATCCTGAAGTCTTACACATCATGGACGTAACAAAGAGAGATCCTGAAGTCTTACATATCATGGACGTAACAATGAGAGATTGTGAAGTCTTACATATCATGGACGTAACAAAGAGAGATCCTGAAGTCTTACACATCATGGACGTAACAATGAGATTCTGAAGTCTTACACATCATGGACATAACAAAGAGAGATCCTGAAGTCTTACACATCATGGACGTAACAAAGAGAGATCCTGAAGTCTTACACATCATGGACGTAACAAAGAGAGATCCTGAAGTCTTACACATCATGGACGTAACAAAGAGAGATCCTGAAGTCTTACACATCATGGACATAGCAACTAGATAACCTGAAGTCTCACACATCATGGACATAGCAACTAGATAACCTGAAGTCTCACACATCATGGACATAGCAACTAGATAACCTGAAGTCTCACACATTCATGGACATAGCAACTAGATAACCTGAAGTCTCACACATCATAGACATAGCAACTAGATTACCTGAAGTCTCACACATCATGGACATAGCAACTAGATAACCTGAAGTCTCACACATCATGGACATAGCAACTAGATAACCTGAAGTCTCACACATCATGTACATAGCAACTAGATAACCTGAAGTCTCACACATTCATGGACATAGCAACAAGATAACCTGAAGTCTCACACATCATGGACATAGCAACTAGATAACCTGAAGTCTCACACATCATGGACATAGCAACTAGATAACCTGAAGTCTCACACATCATGGACATAGCAACTAGATAACCTGAAGTCTCACACATCATGGACATAGCAACTAGATAACCTGAAGTCTCACACATCATGGACATAGCAACTAGATAACCTGAAGTCTCACACATCATGGACATAGCAACGAGAGATTCTGAAGTCTCACACATCATGGACGTAACAACGAAAATAGTTGACAGTCATGTGACACAGAATCACGTACCTCCACACAATGGGAGAAAGCTCAAGCTGCCCATACCTGTGTGGTCTCCCACCGTAACACTGGGTCTCTATTGTGCACATAATTATTGATAATGTCTTCCTGTTCACAGAAACAGGTCATGAACATTTCGTAGTTCATAGTCACAACAAACTTCCCAGAGAGTTTGGGATCATAAGCTGGTGTGATAGCTACTTGACTTACTGTATGTATTTCAACTTTGGTGGGAGTATGAAATATCAGTGGTGTATCAGCTTAATGGTAAACACAATATGACATCAGTAAAATATTCAAAGGAACTTAAAAGAAACATGTCTGACTGACTGATATAGAAGATTTAACGTGTGCTTTCCGACTGCAGCATATTTCGCACACGGGCCTGGCCGGACCATTTAGTGTATTCCGAGAAGGGTGAAAGTGGTGTGTGCAACACAAGAGGGGGCTTTTAGGGGTTGCTTATATTGATTTTTTGAAATTTTTAAATTTGGAATAAATGCCGAGGTGGGTGGAGGAGGGAACTAAGGGAGCCGGGTGAGGTGGGTGTTTGTATGTTTATTGGATTTTAGATTGGTAGATTAATTAGTTTTTAGATGTGCTTAATAAGGTCTGTTTTGATTAGGAATACGCCTAGGGCCTTGAAGTTTTCTAGTTTATTTTGAGGGTTTAGTATTTCATCTAGAGTAGGAACCTTATTTAGATTGAGGTTGGTTTGTAGTGTGGTTCTGTGTGTTTGGTAGTGGGTGCAGTGGATGAGTGCGTGTTCTGTGGTTTCGGGTTGTTTGCAGTGGGGGCAGTGTCCTGTGGTGTGTCTTTTAAGTTGTTTTAGGTGGTTATTTAGGTTCGTGTGTCCTGTTTGGAGTTTTGTAATTAATCTGTCAATTTTTTTTGAGGGGTGTAGGATTTTAGGTTTGGCTAGTGGTTTTCTGAGCACTTTTTTGATTTGGCTATTTGAGTTTTGATATTGATTATGCCATTTTTTGGTTATTTTTTGTTTGTTTACACTTTTAATTTCTGATTTTGAGATGGGTAGGTTTAGACTTATTCCTGGTATTTTGAGAGATAATTCAGCTGCTTTATCGGCGCTTTCGTTGCCGTAAATTCCTACGTGGGCGGGGATCCACAAGAAGGTTATTTGTTTGCCTGCTTTTGTTAGGTCGTTGGAGCTTTTAAGTATTTGGTTTATTAATTTAGGTTGCTTTTTGGTATTTTTGTTTTGGAGGGCTTGTAGTCCACTAAGGGAGTCGGTGAGAATTAGGATTTTTGTGTTGTTTTTAGATTGTTGGTTATGCAGGGCTGAGGCCATGCCCATAAGTTCGGCCGTGAATATAGATTGGTTGTTAGGGAGTCGGTAAGATTGTGTGGATATAACTGGTTGTGTGGTATGGACTCCGAAGCCTGTGTGGTTGGAGGTCGGGTCTGAAGATCCGTCAGTGTATATGTGACACCAATTTGGCCAATTTTCGTGTATGCATGCAAGTGTGGTGGTTTTAGCTATGTTTGGGTCGGTTTGTTTATTTATTTGGTTAGCTAGCGTTGTGTCTATTTGGGGTATTTTGAGTTTAGGGGTGAAGATATTTGATTTTTTGCAGTTTTGTTTAAGATTTTGAGTTTGGTGTTCATTGAGGTAGTTAGTTATTCTTTGGGATATTGGGGTGAGTAAGGGGTGTTTGCGAGCTAGAGCTTGGTTTCTTGGGCTAATGTTTTGGTTAAATAGGTTTTGGAAGAGAGGGTTTGTTTGGGACGCGGCCCAGAAATTAAGGCTTAGATGTTCCCTGCGTAGATTTAGTGGCATTTCTCCTGTAAGGGCCTGAAGTGAGGTGTAGGAGGTGCCATGTTGGGTGCGTGTAATTAGTTTAAGGGCTTGGTATTGTATTGAGTCAAGTTTTTTAGATAGAGAGTTGTTTAGGGTGTTGTATATGGCGCAGCCGTAGTCTAGTTTTGATCTAATTAGTGTTGTATATAGTGAGAGGAGGGTATCTTTGGAGGCTCCCCAGTTAGAGCCGGTGAGACATCTTAATGTGTTAAGGTCTTTGCTGCATCTAGTTTTTAGGTTTTGGACGTGAGCCTCCCAGGTGAGGTGTTGATCGAAAATAAGTCCTAAGAATTTGGTTTGTTTTTGGAATTTGATTGTTTGGTTGTTTAGCTGGAGGATTGGGTAGGCAGGTTTCATGTTTTTATGTTTGAATACTACTCCTGTTGTTTTGTCTGAGTTAAGGGAGAAGCCCCATTTGTCTGCCCATTGTTGTATTTTATTTAGAGATTTTTGGATTAAGTTTTCTGCCATTTTAATGCTTTTTGTGCGGATCCATAGGGCACCATCATCCGCGAATTTTGAAGTGTTTAGTTTAGGGGATAAGCCCTCGAATAGGTCATTTATCATTATATTGAAGAGGGTTGGGCTGAGGATGCTGCCCTGGGGAGTGCCATTTTCTAGGGGACACTGGTCCGATAGCGTATGGTCTATACCCACGGTAATTTTGCGATTGTTTAGGAAATCTTGGATGAAGTTTATTATTTGGCCTTTTAGTCCTATTTTTTTTAGTTTTTGTATTAGCCCGTGGTGCCATACCATATCGAAAGCTTTAGAGAAGTCGAGGAATATGCCTATGGTGTATTGCTTGTTTAGCTGTCCTGTTTTTATATCCTGTTCTAGTCGGGCAAGGTTATCGAGAGTTGATCGGCCAGGAGTGAAGCCGCTTTGGTCGGGGTTTATGATGTTGTTTTGGTCTAGGTAGTGCTGTAGCCTATTTTTAGTCATAAGTTCCATTATTTTGCAGAGATTTGAGGTTAGGGAGATGGGCCTTTAGGAGTTTGCCTGATCTGCTGGTTTATTTGGTTTAGGTATTGGGATTACTAGAGCTTCCTTCCATGAGGATGGGACCTGTCCGTTTAGGTAGACTAGGTTGTATAGTTTAAGTAAAGTTTGGAGTAGTTTGGTAGGTAAGTGTTTGATTATTTGGTAAGAGGTGAGGTCTAGGCCAGGGGCTGTTCCATTTTTTCTATTGTTTAGTACGTGATTTAGTTCTTCTATGGTGTAAGGTTGATTTATTTCTAGGTTGTCTTGTCTGTTTTCTTTGGAGAATTTGGTTTCTTTATTTAGTTTATCTTGGAATTTCTTACTGAAGTTACTGTTGCTACTAACTTTAGAGAAGTGTTTGGCTAGGTTGTTGGCCTTTTGGGTGGGGTTAGTTGAGTTGTTTATATTGGGGCTTTTTTTGTGCCGTTTGATGCCTCGGATGGCGTGAATTTTGCGCCACACTTTCCTAGCGTCGGTGTGGTGGTTGAGCTCCTCACAGAATTTTTTCCAGTTTTTGGTTTTAGCAGTTTTAACTAGGTTTTGGAGTTGGTGGTTAAGTTCATGAGCTGTTTTGAGATGAGAGGGGTCTCGTTTAGCT